CCAAGACTTCGTTTTCCAGAGACTGCCCAAAGGGCGGTTCTTGTACCGCGTCCACCGACGATGCGCCTTGATATTGCCAGATGCCATTCAGGTTCTGCCACGGGCTGCGCGCCAGCTGCGGCCGCGGATACTCCGTCCACGGGTTGGTTCCCACCTTTTCCGTCCACGGAGTATCCAAAGGCGGTGTCTTGACTGCATACTTGGTGGGGGCGCGGGCGACGTTGTGGTGTTGCTGTACCGGTGAGGCGAGGACTACATCCGCAGCCGCAACCAGCAAGGGGACGAGCCAGGAGGCGCGAAGATGCATCGGGAAAGATGTCTCTCTGAAGCAAACCCAAACCAAAAATAGAGGGAGGGAAGGGGGGGGGAGGGAGATTGTGCACGACCAGACAAACTTGCAGATTCAGGTAACACACGCCAGATCTGTTTTCCACCAGATGGAGAAGGGGAAGACAGGATCGGAGTCAAGTGTCTTGAGTGTCCATGCCCCCTCGTCCGGGCTTCCCCGAGCATTTATATCACGATCTCCATTAGTCCTGGGCGTAAGCAAGAGTGGGATGCGGTCAGGCATCTGTGCCTAGCCAACAAAGCATGCAAGCAAATTCTCCCCCTGAAACCCAGTCCCCCAGGAAGCGGAGGTGAATCCGAATAACCCCTCCCAGTGCATTATCCCCCGCACATTACTCGGCCATCTGACGACAAAGAAATGGTCTTGTGCCGACCTTGCAGGAGCCGGAAACTATTTTTCTCTCATTTTTTTCATGTTTTCTTTCTGCCTATTGCTTGTGAACCTTGAAGTAGCGCGTTGATCGCCCCCTCGTCTCTTGGCGCGATGACACTAGTCCGTCCGGTGGAGTGCGGAGGATCGGCGTCTCTTCCTTCCAGCCTGATCCCGGTCGCAAGTTGCAGGTCGCAAGATCGCAGACAAAGACCGGATGATAGTTGCTTTTGAGACCATCGGACGGTCAAAGAGATGTTGACTCGGCTGGTCCTCTGGCTGTCCGATGGGCTTCCATGCGTCGAGGGTGGAATCGATGCATGATCCCTCGCGCGATGAGATGTTTGCTGACAGCCTCGCATGGATGGCTCCACTCGATGGATCCCAGACCATAATCAACAGCCGATGTGGATCCTCCTCAACTGGGCAAATGCCCCTGTGCTTTCTTACAAAGTTAACACTCTGTTATCACGGGTGTAACCAGTCCAAGAGAATAAATAGACCCAACTATCACACAGCCATGATGGAAACCTGATTCGACTTGCGGTCCACTTCCTCCCATGGATCGCGGCTTGTTGGTTAGGGCACCCGTCGCCATGTGACGGCATCTCCAATCATGATAAGCATCAACTTGGTCAAGTTTTAACAAAAAAACATACTTGGCAAATACAACCTTCCCCTCATTTGCATAGCATCTTGAATGATGTCGGTCAGTTCAGACCAGTGGTAGCCTTGCTTCCCCAGATTTCCCACCGTCGAGCCCTGGTACAGCGCACGCGACCATCTCAGGTTCACCCAATAACACCGCGCCAGCGAACTTGGGTCCTTCATCCATCCCGATGGCACCATCGACGAGACTATCCGCTAGGTCCCCGACTTGCAGCCGTGTCTCTGTCTCTTAGTCCATAATCATCCCATTCTACGGTCCGCCTAACGTCCAGCATGGATCTGATTGACCGCTAGATCTGCCCCGCTCTTCCCATGGAGGGGCAGGCGAGCTCGCCAAGTGACTTGCTTTCCATGTGACCCGCAACATTATGGCTCCATTGTCGGCCACACCCGGTCTAGCTTTTCCATTGTACTCCGTACTTATTAATTCTTCATTTATTGTGTTGATTATTGCTTAGTGTACCCCCCTTCGGAACCGGTCCTTATGAGGTCATTTATGTCCCGTCCGGCCGACAAGACCATGGCTCCGTCTGTGTCCCTGGTGGACCTGCCCAACCCGCGACTGGCGAGGGGACTGGACACTTTCGTGCGAGGGGGAGGGGTTTTATGCGAGAAATAACGACGCATAGGTAGACCGACTGTCGCGCCTGACCAGCGGTCGATAGGAACAATGCGGGGGTCCATTATCGTGCTGGTTGACGCTGTAGCCTCCAAGCGAACCGATGATTCATTGGACGGTCGCATTCGATATTCTCAACAGCTGTGATTCTAGACCATGCATGGTCGGTCTCGGACCATATACAGCCGGCGATGCCGTGTATGATTCAGTTGTAATATCTGGAAGGACCGTCACGGGTGGGATTTCAAAGTCCAGCCGTTTTATAGCTGGGATGCTCGTATCTGAAGTCTTGGTGGCCACCTCGCTTCAATCGTTGGTGCTGCAACACCGCAGCAAGGTACATAGTGCATAGTCCTTTCGTTCTGGCTCTGGTTGGGGATGCGGACATCTACAAGGGGTCTCCCTCCGTTCATGTACTTGGCTGCCGTTCTTTGATCACGGGGACATGCAGTATCTTAGATGTGCGATAAACCGTGTCACGCCTCTTTCAAATATGCCGCAGTGAGGCTAGATTCAACTTTGGAGCTGAGTGGATTGGATTATATATGTATCTTGTATGCTATGTATCTCTCCATCCATGTATCCTAGCGACAGTTGATGGAAAGTACCGGCGGACGCATCCATGGAAGCTACTTGACTCACCAATATCTATGTGATATCTACATATCTAGATCCTAACCACAATCCCATTAATATTTTGGTGCAGTGGCCAAGAGATATAGTATGGACATGTCCATCCATAACAAACGTTCTTTTCATGTCCAAAGTCTTCAACAATATTTCGTCAAATTTGAAATCGCAACCTCAATTGCCGCCGAACGAGACGGTCAAGACGCCTGGCACATATAAGAATAAATCAATCATTGCAGATGAACGCACTCTCTCGTCACTTTCCATCAAAAGTTTCCAATATCCAATAATCGATCACCCCTGAGTACAATGCAGATCATTTCAACGTCCACAGCCTCCCGATCCTTCAGCAGCCACTGCTATATATAGTATACTGGACAAATATTGGCACCATCGATGTGCTACATCACATGCGGTGTCAATTGAAACATTTGGATCGGTGAACTTTTTTTTCCCGGTTATTGAAGTCGAGAATCTTGATGTATCTATTGCGCGCATTATGCGCGCCATAAAAAGAAGCGGATCATTTTGTTGTGCTTGAGTTCGCGAGATTAACTTTACTTAAGCAGGAATCTTATGCAAATAGCATAGGCGAGGCTATATACTGCTCAAGGTCCTGAATTTACGTTTCTGAAACGTGTCCTATCCTGATTATGTGTTGCTCACATCTTATGCACTTTATCGGTTGATGAATTCTGAGGGTCGCTTGACTATTTGGTCTTGTTAGGGTGTCTGTACCGATTCCCTGTACGCGTGGTAGATTTAAGATTGCCGGTAGGATCTAATATCTTGTCCACTTCCTAACAAAGGTTATCTATGTCTGCCAACAACTACTAGACTATCTGGGTAATGGGGGTGATCTCCGAAGGGGAAAGAAGTCAAATATGGCATTGCTCTAGGAATGTGGTAACACCATCAACTATATTCCTAGAATGGTCGTCAGTCCTATACTAAATACCAAGCCCGCGGCTCAATCCTGGTCAATCCTTTTTCCTTCCCAGGTTAGGATTCTTCATTTATATTCCCGGTTCTGCATGCGTTTCCACTACATGGGTTGATGCTTCCATGGGGCCGAATCCACCCCACAATCACCACCCTAGCTTCTGGGGAAGAAATAAGAGGAGATCCACGTGGTGTGGCTTCCAGGTTGGTATACTCCATTCGAATGGATAGAAATTTCCAGATTATGCGTAGCATGGGTAGAACCCCTGGGCCGAGTAGACATGAGATATGGCATTATGCCATATAGTAGAACATGCCGATCAACGTTTACTTGGGGCACCAACATGGTGATTCACCATTCCGAGGAATCGCGATTGTTCCTACTCAGAATCCCCAAGGGTTTGGTGCGCGAAATGGATCCTCTTTACGCCTGGAGGAATTGGCCCTTTCTGACCTGTGCCATATACTCTGTTGGCATTGGACCCAGGTAAACGCTAAAACGGCCCGTTTGCTCCTGTGGCGCTCGTTCCTGAATTATGCTTGTATCGAGGACTCAGAGCAGACCAGGCTATATTCACCAGATGAGATTCGGAGTCCCATTTGAATGACATCGGCATCGGTGGATCCAGGCCACGGTCTTCCGATAACCTAGTATAATAATTACGCCGCGATGGGAAATCCTTGATACAATCACAGATGGCAGACTCGCGAGGCCACGATCGTGATCACTGATTAGCTGGTTCGTATATCTCGACAGATGGAGACTATTAATGACTGGCCCCAATCAGGATCAAAGACGTTGCCTTCATCTGACACTCGATTGAAATCAGGCGCAGACCAGACGTTGCTACACCCGTGGCTTGGCTCAGTGACACCATTCTTCAATTAGATGGTCGAGCTGTGATTACTGACACCTCATCGCTCTCGCGAACTGTCAGGTGGCACCAGTCACTTTTGAACATGATGTACTGTTGGGTATATCAGCCAGGTTAAGCCCTACACCAATCGTTGGGTCAACGTTTTGGCGTAGCGGTCTTGAGATATACTTCACTTGCAGCGGTACCACTTATTTGCCCAGCACCACCGCATCGAGTCCCAGCGATCCTCACCCCTCATCATCCCCTACTGTATAAGGCCTAGTGTCCCTGGGCTAGGAATTAACAGCACATAAGCTAGTTTACTATGAGCGATGGCTGCTGAGTCACTTGCATATATTCAGCATGTCCTGCCCATGACGAAAATCAGGTTCAGCGGCTTCTCTTCTTCCGCAATTCATCTCGCATTGAGAACCTAGGATATTGAGGCGAACTTTTCGGGCGCTTCCAGATTTATCTCATCATTTCTTGGTGTCTTGTCGCGCCTGCGTTCGTTGCACGAACGACTGCCTCACTGACATTCAAGTATTCATCTAATCGCATCATCATGGGCGACTCTCCGGAATCAAAAACAATCACCCTCCCCACAGCGTTGATCACAGGGTGTAGCGACGGTGGGATTGGCTCTTCCCTCGCCAAAGCGTTCCAGGCACGCGGCGTCCACGTCTTCGCGACCGCGCGCAAGCTGTCCAAAATGACAGGCCTCGAGGGCCTACCCAACATGACGCGACTGGAACTTGACGTCGAGTCTCCGTCCAGTGTGGTCGCCGCAAAGGAGACGGTCATCGCCGCAACCAGCGGCGATGGCCGCTTGAATTACCTGGTCAACAACTCCGGGGTGAATCTCAACTTTCCGGCCGTCGAGACAGACATCAAGGACGCGAAGAAGGTCTTCGATGTCAATTTCTGGGGCGTCGTCTCCGTCAACAATACGTTTCTGCCGCTACTAATTGCCTCCAACGGGACGATCATCAACAACGCATCGGTTTCGGCCGCTATGTATGCGCCATGGAGTTGTAAGACTTTTCCCCGTTCTTCTTGCGCATTGTCGTGGAAAGGATCTGATTGGACCGTGTGCGTGTTTGTCGAGTGTAGCATTCTACGCTGCCTCCAAGGCGGCACTACGCACGTATAGCGAAACTCTCCGTCTCGAGCTGGCCCCGTTGGGCGTCAAGGTCATGACCGTTATGACTGGTCTGGTGACCTCCCAGATATTCGACAACAGCCAGCAGAACGACCTGGCCGAGACCTCCTTTTACACACCGGCGGCGGCGGAAATTGCTTCCCTTGCCAGCGGACGCTCTATCTTGCCCCTCTCGATGTCCACGGCAGTGTATGCGCAGAGGGTGGTGGACGATGCGATCGGCGGCCGGAGTGGAGTGCGCTGGAGGGGGAACACGGCGTCCGTGGCGTGGTTGCTCACTTCCTTGCTTCCAACCTGGTTGATGGTGAGTCTGTCCACGATACTCTCCATTTCTGTTTGTTGATGGGGCTGATCGAGATGCGTAGGACCTTGTGCTTCTTTCCACCAGTGGATTAAAGCACATTGTAAAGTGATGTCCGGTTGAAGGGTCTACTTGTTGAGTTGAAGGGGCATCTATGTTTTAAGAGACATGGTGGTGCCGGAGATAATTGGAACTATAATTCCACACAACTGCACTTAAGACAGAAAGGAGAGATTACCGAGTCCTCTAATTATAACAACTTCGCCATGGTACCACTCCTTTCCGTCCGTTTTAAGGTTCACATAGCGATTGTGCTGTCTGAGAGATCCAGTCTACCAACCGACTTGATGGTGCCCCTGATTTGGGGACGAGCGAACGGCGATCGCTCCGGCCCCCCAGATATAACGCATCTTTTGTTAGAAGGGGGGCTACTCGCACTATTCCGTACGGAGTACGCGCTGGGCAACGTTGAAACCCCTTATCATCTTAGCGTGGCTGTGCTGGAGTGGAGGGAACCAGTGTCCACAGTGTAAGCGAAGGATCGTGCTATGCTGACCAGGAGTCAGTAAACATGTCAGTGTGCCTTAGACTTGAACTGCGGTGAGATGGTATCAAATTTGGTGCAAAACAAAACCTCTGGGGTTGGGGTTCGACCGACACGTTTCCGGACTCCACTGGGATTGAGGCTTGGTTAGGCCTCCCATATGTGGGGTTACTGTCACGGTGATGTCCGTGATATCGCTGGTACGGATACTAAGTTCGGGAAAATAAATGACCAGTCACTGGTATGCTCATAACTCAGCCCTTGGCGGTTTCATGTCGTCGTGTTGGCTGTTTGTGATGTATGCCATATTGTTCAGTTTGGTTGAACGCGTCAGTCAAAGGCGATAAACCAAATATATTAACCAGTATAGCCACAACAAGATCATGGAATGTCCAGTACGAATGAAGAAACCTTTCCCGTCCACTTCCTGGGGACATTGGCCCAATAGCCAGGTAATATCATGGTCTAATCCCTACGATATCTCCCCTTGTTAGAAGCAGGGGTGGGTCAACACCGTTTATACCCGAAAGGAAAATTGCAAGGGCTCAATTATTGGCCCATCTGACAGAGGACCCACTGCTTATATATGGGGTGATCATTATCTTCTATGGGTATAGTCATCGCCGTGTTGATGCCGCCTCCACGATCCTGGACGATGATATTAGCAGAGCCGCTAGAAGCTCGGTTCCCTTTTTTTTGCTTTCTTTCTCTTTTCTTTTGCTCTTTTGCTTTCGTATTTTGATTTTTTTTTCTTTCTTTGGTCTTTTCCCCCGGTCACCTTCCCCAGTCTGAGTTTTTTCGATACACATATCTCCTCTTCGATATTGCGTCAGGGAAACGTCGATGCGAACTACCTATACATACTTGATCGGGTGCCGAAAGATCTCCAGATTGCACCGGGGGATCACCGCGTAGACTTGTCTTTCTCCGGCGTGAACGAACGATGACGGCCATACTGATCCTCGGTCTCATTGCCCCTCTGCTCGCATGGGCCGCTAACGATACAGCTACAATCACTCCTCTGACAACTAGCGAGCAGGCGTGGTGGTACAACACGGAGGAAACTACCTGTGGGTTCAGCATTATCCGGTGATTCTACCTTTATAACTTATCCGAAGGTCTTCAACAGGGCAGGTAATCACCTGTAACCATAAAGGCGAAACCTATGTCTCCAGGGACGGATATGGCAGATGCTGTGAGGACATCAACGCGGACTGTGACATAATAACATCCTGTTCCAAAAAGGCGACTGTCCTCTACGACAACGACTCAACCTCCACCTGGTACGACGATTTTTTTATATCCCTTCCCAGTTCCCCGGACTATTCTGAGAATTGGCAGCAAACCGGGAAGTACATGCGTCTATCTGACAGTCAGCGAGTCCCCATCGGCGACCGAACCCCATATTGTCGACATCTTCTGTGAACCAACGAATGATAATTGGCCCGATGTGACCTACCACGCTTACCGCGCGCCTTTCGCCCAGGCTACCCCCGGCTCCTCCGTGCCCTCGTCCATACCTACACCGACATCCCGCGATCCCAAATCACCTTCCGACGACGAGGGGTCAAACCGGGCCTGGATCGCGGGCGCTGTGGTCGGCCCCGTCGTGGGATGTGCCCTCGTCGGCTTCCTGGGTTTTTGGCTCGCCCGGAGAAAGCATGCCAATAAACAGCAACCCGTCGATGCAGGTGCCACTACCCAGCCCTCCGCATCGCAGTATGACCCGCAAACGGGACCGCGGGAGCTAGACAGTAAAGGCTTCCCCGCGGAACTACCTCAACCGTACGAGAGAGTCGAAATGCAAGGGTCTACTGGGCCTCCTCCGACGGAGCTCATGGGGTCTGAACCGAGTCATCGATGACCGTACCTCATTTGATAGTTACGTTTCACTTCTGCCCATCATTTTTACGCGCGATACTCAATTATGAGTTGGAAAATGCACAAACCGGCCGCCAAATTACAACCGGGATTATGCACATAGCGAATCTTTTTTTTTGTCCCATTCTTCTCTATTTTATTCATTGTTATTTTATGATGTCTTTCAAAGGTGAGGACGGAATGAAAAACCTAATACTGTATATAGTTTGATTATACCCGGAGTACAAGATGAGCTCTCTCTTCTTGCTACAAAAAAGTGTTAGTCACTTGCGCTTTCATGGCGTAGAGAGAAGTATACAGTGATTGCAAGAGTGGGGCGCTGACATGGTACAACAATTTCCGTTCTTCTAACCCGCTGCCTGATATCTTTTATCTTCGAATAGATTGGATGCTGTCGCAATGTAAGATAGTGCAACAAAGAGTATCCACAGAGCGCAGAAATGTCTAGATATCTTTTGTAGCCAAGTGGGATTATTCTTCACGACAAATGCTATCCAACACCATCAGTCAGGTTGAAGGAGACCTACTAACAAAGTCTCCCAGGATACTGCAGTATATCGAGATTCAAACTTACCCCAAGGGCCAATCTACCCTACAAGAAAATCTACAACTACTCCATATATGTCAATTGGAGACCATGCGGCAACCCCACTTCCTCCCCGTTATCGAAGGATAGAAACACCAAACGGGGCATTTCAACCCGCTCGATATCAACAAAGATACACTAACGCGTCTAGTGCGGGGGCCCTTCACCACCCCCGCGATGTGGGGGCCGATAAAGCACGCGAATCAAGGACCAGTATCCTATCGAAAGGATGCACGCTGGAATGACCAACTCCTTAGGTATGGGCGTCCCCCTTGCGTCCGTCTCCCCCTTACAAATACACCCCTCCGCTCCTTGTTTGTTCATTGCCTAACGAAATCTAAGTACGACGCGTCTCGGCAAGACCATACAACTGGTTCTACACCCTAACATCCAATGGAATCTCCAATCACTATGTACGGCCCTAAAGTCGGCGACAGGCTCGACGATCTGGACACGCCTTCTATGATCGTCGATCTCGACGCCGCTGAGGCAAACATCAAGAAGCTCATGGACCAGCTATTGCCCACCGGTCTCAACATTCGTCCCCACCTCAAAACCACGAAGAGCGCTGTCATCGCCCGCAAGCTGGTCAACGCCGGTGCCAAAGGCGGCTGCGTCGCCAAAGTCAGCGAGGCGGAGGCGATCGCCGCAGCGGGGTTCGACGACTTGCTAATTACGTGCGAAATCGTCGGCCCGGCTAAGGTCCGCCGTCTGGTAGAGCTGTTCCGTCGGCATAGAAACATCCGCATCGTGGTCGACAGTGCGGTCGGTGCGACGGCTATCAATGACGCGCTCGCGGCGGCGGGAATCGACGACCCCATCACGGTGTTGATCGATCTGGATGTGGGTCTGCACCGCACGGGCGCGCAGCCCGGCGAACCGGCCTTGGACCTGGCGCGCCATGTGGCGGGGCTGAAGCACCTGCGGTTGATCGGGGTCCAGGGCTACGAGGGCCATCTGCAGCATTTACACGACCGCGAGGATCGGCGGGCGCAGTGTTTACAGTCGATGCAGATCCTGACGGGGACAGCGGATGCGCTGCGCGCGGCGGGGTTTGCTATCGAAGTGGTCACCACTGGCGGTACCGGGACGGCTGAGTTCTGCGCGACGGTCCCCGGTGTGACGGAGTTGCAGCCTGGGTCGTTTATTTTCATGGATACGGACTATCGGAATGCCCTGGGGACATTCTATTCGAATAGCTTGACTATCCTGTCGACGGTTGTCAGCCAGCAAGGGCCTCGGGCGGTGACCATTGACAGCGGACTCAAGTCACTCACGACGGATAGTGGACTGGCCGAGTGCAAGGATTCTCGATATACATATGGCGTTCTAGGGGATGAGCATGGGTCGCTCACTTGGGAGGAGGGGACGCCGTCTCTATCGGTTGGAGATCGGGTGGAGATGATTCCTAGTCATATTGACCCGACGGTGAACCTGCACGACTTTTATTACGCGCTTCGGGGAGGGGTCATTGAAGAGATCTGGCGTGTAGATTCACGAGGGAAGGTGCAATAGTGTCTGAGCATCGTTCAGATGACTTTACCATCATATAGGACTGACTAGATACTATCTTGGTCCGAGACCCGCCTCCATATATTTATATATCGCACTGCACCCACCCTTTCAACTGCAACTAGTGTTTACTGGCTCTCGATAAATGATCGAATATACATATATATATATGTTCATATAAGTATAAAAAAAAGAATCCCCAGTCGGAACTTGAACATAAACCGTTGATCGTGACTACTTAGGGCAAGCTTGTCATTCGCACCACCTTAAAGCTTCATCATGACCGAATCGACTGCGAAGAGACCCACTACATACCCAGTCGAGTAAGTTGAACAAAAATCCGACAGCACCACATCAACGTGAACCTTTTTCCGACATTAATAATTGCCCCTGTGCCTGATATGTAGGCGACAGTGGTAGAAATCCTCCATGATGCGCAAATGACATCATCACCCCTCCTGAGGTCAGTCAACCCGGATCCGGTTCTTTTTTTCGCCTCGTCGTTTGCGGAATTTTCTGCAGTCTCTATATAAGATTGCTATCTCATTGTATGAAACTTCCCTCTTGCAATTCACCTAATAGAAAAAAAAAAAAGGAAAAAACTACATCATGGGCTACAAATTTCCCGTCGACCTCTCCCAGTTCAAGCGGCTCCAGCTGGACCCCAAGAACTCCAAGCTATCCCCAGAGCAGAAGAAAGACCTCCAGCATAACATTGACGTCTTCCGCGATGCTATTGTTGCCTTCACGGCCACGGGTTCGGCCCGCGGCGTCGCCGGCCACACCGGTGGTCCCTTCGACACGGCCCCCGAGGTCTGTATCCTGCTAGCCTTCATCAACGGCAACCCCAGCGGATGGGTCGACGCCCTCTTCGACGAGGCCGGTCACCGCGTCGCCACGCAGTACCTGCTCGCGGCCATCGACGGCAAGATTCCCGCCGACCATCTTCTTGACTACCGCGAGGCCAACTCCAAGCTTCCCGGCCATCCGGAACTGGGGCTGACCCCGGGCGTTAAGTTCAGTTCCGGCCGGCTGGGCCACATGTGGGCGATGGCCAACGGCATCGCCATGCAGAACAAGGACAAGAAGGTGATCCTGCTGGGCTCGGACGGCTCCCAGCAGGAGGGCAACGACGCCGAGGCGGCTCGCATCGCCGTGGCGCGCAACCTCAACGTCAAGCTCTTCATCGACAACAATGACGTCACCATCGCCGGCCACCCCTCGCAGTACCTGCACGGCTACAACGTGGCCAACACGCTGAAGGGCCACGGACTTAAGGTGGTCCACGCCCACGGCGAGGACCTCGACTCGCTGTACGGCGCCATCTGCGAGGTCGTCGCCCATAACGGCCCCGCCGCCGTCAGCGTCGACCGCACCATGGCACCCGGCATCGAGGGCATTGAGGGTCAGACCAAGGCCCACGACGTCATCCCCGTCGACCTCGCCCGCAAGTACCTCACCCACCGCGGCTACTCGGCCGACCAGCTGGCCTTCTATGACCAGATCAAGCCCCAGGGCAACCCGCACCAATACGAGGGCTCCACCAAGGACAAGGGCTCCAACCGCACCATCTTCGGCGAGGCCGTCAACTCCGTCCTTGACGAGCTTAGCACCGAGGAGGCCGCGCGCCGCGTAATGGTCATCGACTCCGACCTCGAGGGCTCCACGGGCCTCAAGAGCATCCACCAGAAGCACCCCGAGGTGTACATCCCGTCGGGCGTGATGGAGCGCGGCAACTTCTCCGCCGCGGCAGGCTTCGGCTTCGGCAGCAACGGCGAACGCCAGGGCGTCTTCTCGACCTTCTCGGCCTTCCTCGAGATGTGCATCTCGGAGATCACCATGGCGCGGCTGAACGATTGCACCGTGCTCTCGCACTTCTCGCACAGCGGCATCGATGAGATCGCCGACAACACCTGCCACTTCGGGCTGAACCATTTCTTCGCCGACAATGGCCTCATGGATGCTGAGTCCACAACGCTGTACTTCCCCGCCGACGGCGAGCAGATGAAGGCCGTCGTCCGCAAGGTCTTCTTCTCCAAGGGCCTGCGCTTCATCTTCTCCACGCGCTCCAAGGTCCCTTACATCCTGAAGGAGGGCAGCGCCGACGAGAAACTGTATGGCTCGGGCTACAAGTTCGTCCCGGGTAAGGAGGAGTTCATCCGCAAGGGCTCCGCCGGCTATATTGTCTCCTACGGCGACATGCTGTACCGGTCGCTGGACGCTGTCGAGCGCCTGCGCCGCGAGGGCCTCGATGTTGGCCTCGTCAACAAGCCCACGCTGAACATCGTCGATGAGGAGGCCATCCGCGTCTACGGCGCTACCCCCTTCGTCTTGACAGTCGAGTCCATCGCACAGAAGACGGGCCTCGGCTCGCGTCTTGGCACTCACTTGCTCGAGCGCAACCTGCGTCCGAAGTACAAGACCATGGGCGCTATCAAGGAGGGATGCGGTGGTCTGTACGAGCAGATCAATGCTCAAGGTCTGGGGCCGGACGACATCATGGACGCCGTCCGGCAGGCTGCGCGGAAGTAGACGTCTATTTAAGATAGCGGTCGATTAATAGTAGCAATGAATACACGATAATGTCGATGTTTGCTTGTTTTTAGTGGCCACAGGATCCAAGAAAGAGAAATAAATGTATTGGATAGAAAGAATGAAAATAAACTGGCAAATCCTGTCCAGTTATCCTATGTACGGTTTGACATCAAGCCTGCTTAAAAATACACCCAACCCCTAGTATATACCGCAGTATATCCATTTAACCGGCAATCAGCTTCTTGAGGACATCCTCACCGCCGTTGAGGACATCAGAGTCGCCGCCGAACTCGTAGCTGTCGTTGTACTGCCACACCGTGTAGGTCTCCCAGTCGCCGGGGATGGTTGACGGGGCGGACTCGGTGTAGGCGGCCAGCACCAGAGGGGACTTATCGCCCAGGCCACCGGCGTCGCCGGTGCACTCAGCCCACCAGCCGGCGTTGGTGTAGACGAGAGGGTACACGCCCGTCTGGGCCTTGTACTCGTCGACGAACTCGACGGCCCACGCGGCCATCGCGTCGGGGCTGAGGCCGAAGCAGTTGTCACCGCTGGGGTTGAACTCGATGTCCAGCATGCCGGGGAGGGTGATGCCGTCGTCGGACCAGCCACCACCGTTCTTGATGAAGTAGTCGACCTGCTCCTTGGCCGAGGAGATATCGGGGTGGGCGAAGTGGTAACCACCGCGGGCGATCTTGGCGTCGCTGGCGCCCTGGTAGTGCGAGCTGAACGACGAGTCGATGTAGCTCAGTCCTTCGGTGGCCTGCGATGCATTAGAGAACAGGCCTGGTGAAGGAGAACGGCAGTCCTACCTTGATCATGACAAAGCGGGCACCGGCATCATAGGCTCCCTGGAAGTCGACACTCTCCTGGTAGTGCGAGATGTCGAAACCCTGGACGCCGTCTGCGCGAGCGGCGAGCGGGCCAGCGCTGGCCAGGCCGGCGAGAGTGGCGGACACGGAGAGGGTGTTGAACTTCATTTTGGCTTGCTTGGATTGTTATCGGACAATTCGATTGTTCTGCTGAAAATGAGGAAGCGGGCGTGATGCCCGCCTTATATGGTCTCGACTCGGGCCGGCCATGGTCGAGCTATCCAACAATAGCATCAATCCCTGACACTCCGCTTGACCCATGTAATACCCCGAACATGTACCGCCAAGAGCCTCAGTGCAACACCAGCTGCCATGCAATGGTCAGGTACACGAAGATCAGCTATCTGTTTACCCAAGTGCGATGAGTCTGAAGAGATGACAGGGCTGCCATCTAGGGACCGCGATGCTGATCCCTGCCGGATGGCGTAGCGATCGTCGACATTCTGAAGTGGCTCATGCATCAATCTGCGACACTCACAAGCTCGGTTAAGCAGTGACTGATAGCGTACCCCATTACCATGTTTCATTTGCCCTTGAACCTCCAACCCCCGGAGTCCAGGTCCTCTCCGACTCGTGTTGCATCCACTGTCCAATCTCCAATTCCATCAATCTTGATGGGACCGTAGGATGAGCCTCCCAAATTGCACTGAGACCATGGCACGGTCTTTCCGGAACAGGCGATGTGACATGCATGCACTACGAAGGGAGTATACGGGATAATCGGGTTGATTTACCCCGTATTCAAGTTGATGTCTGTTGTCTCGATTTTCAATCAGGGGAAATCGTGATGAACAGGGTTATGCAGGGATGACTAAGGAATGCACAAGGATCCCATTCCGCATGCGAACAAAACAAGAACAACATCTGGATCGACGTTTCCTCTTATCGTTTTTGGATGAACTGATTCATTGGCGCAGAAGGTGTGTCTAGCTGTCAAATTGCGAATCTGTCAGACATGACGCTATCGCCACAGAGATGATGATAGAACCAGGTCGGCCCCATTCGAGCGACCGGTGCCATGAGCAACCTTGGTTCGTGTCGCGATCAGCTTGTTGAAACATTCATTGCTAACCATCGTATTCTCCATATAGATACGATCCATAGATTGAATCCGTCGCCTGTTCCTGTCCATCCTCGCGGGAATGTCTGCCGCTCAATCAGCACATCCATCCAGATGTCTTAGATCGCCAGTTTATGAGACCCGGTGCCCATTACGTACATACAGTGGCACACGAGAATCGTCCTCGCTCTATCACGTTTCCATTTAGTCCTACGTCTGGAAGGCTTGACGATTCCGACAAACACTGGTTCTTTATCATGTCCTGGTCTCGAAGGGGTACTCGCGCGGTCGCGTCGCGGTAAATCGCTAGAAGGCAGGTATGGAATGCACGACATTCTCCACGGAGCCCTGTCAAGAATGAGTATCGCCCTTCGACTGGCCAGGATGTCCGCGACTTAAGACATGTGCCCCCGCAACCAACGACCAGTGGATAAGCAGAAATGCGATCGGGTCGTCATGGGCGGTTCCCATTGCCAGGCGTGACACAAGTAGCGAGCTCACCGCGAGCTCGGCGAACGAATAACTGGGGTGCGGGGAAACAACAACAGCAACTGCTGGGAACATCGATCAGGGCGAGTCCCCCCAACATGCTGAACAATGGTAAATCTGGTCTGCAGTCTCTGGCTGGCCAGTCGGATGGGATTTGTATTCCGGCTTCCTGGCAAACCCACGTCATGCTGTCGAGGCAAGGACAACCGCTTGAATTGTATTCGAAATTTCCATCTGTCTTAGAACTAGGGGGGTTGAGTCATCACGTAAGGCCGGTCGGTCTCTCGATCTGGTGTCAGATTATAGCTGACTGTCGGCCAAACAGTCCTAGCTCCTACAAATTCCAGAATTCCATACGCGCCCCATATATTATTCTCGAGTCTATACCATCCCTCGCAAAAATCTTCCACAAGAATAAGCAGTATCGAAATGCCTCTGGTTTACTATCAGTGGGTGACGAGGCAGCCGTGATCGACACGGCATGGGATGTTCATGATAGATGACATCATCGACCCTTGCAGTCGCAGGCTTCGGGTGGAGACGGACACCCAACCTGCAGCCATGCCCATCCGCCAACTCCGACAGCCTATAATTGGAATTTTTCTGCCTATTTCCTGGTTCTTACTAGATATCTTTGACAGAAAGACACTCTTTCTGTTCAACCACCATAAACATGGCCAATTTCGAACTCGCTCGGAAAACCCCGCATCTCATCGTCCAGCCGGCCGATGCGGCTCTCTCCCCACCTGAGAGCTATCTTTTTGTTCAGGATGGTCTCATTATTGCCTGTGGCGTAATTTACGCCCTCTGCTACACATTTTGCATCATCCGCACATACAGCGACCACATGTATCCCGGTGCCCGCTGGGGCAGTATCCAATTCATGGGCCCGATCATGGCTTACGAACTCTACTACGCCGTCGTGACGACTACGACTACGTTCGAACGATTGGCTTTCCTGGCGTGGTTTATGCTAGATATATCTTTTGTAGCGACGGCGCTGCGAGGCGCGCACGCCCCGCGCGAGAGATGGCCACTCCTGCGGAACATCCTAGGTCTCGCGGTTGCGAGCCTCGTGGGGTTGAAATATCTTGGCATGGCTTTTCCCGATGAGCGCGAGCAGATGACGGCGTATTGGACTGGGATTCTCCTGCAGTTTCCCATCGGATACGTCTGTCTTGGGTTGCTGTGGAGTGACGCCGACACGAGGGGCCACTCATTGGAGATCTGGTAGGTCGCTTCTCAAAATTCCATTCCCGGGCTATCAATATGGGATCATGCTAACCAAACAGGCTCACGCGCTACCTCGGCTGCTTCACGGCCTATGGTGTATTCTTTTGGCGTTACTGGAATATTCCCCAGAACTGGTCGTACGTGGGCTCTCCGTGGAGCGTGTGGATCATCATCCTGACCTTGGTGCCCGAGACGCTATATCCATTTGTGTACTACAAGGTACATAATCAGATGAAGCTGAAGGGGGAGTAGACGGCTGTCTATCGCATGGCACTGAACATATGCAGAATGCGTACTAGGCCTATACCCGTCGATTCGTTCATAATGGTTCCCTCATCGGCACATCACGTTTGCACCAGTGTATTTCCAAATATATAGCCGATTTACTACCCAGTATGCGTAGAATTTTATAATCTATTGATCTTAACTAATTACGTCACAGCCTCCACACCAACCTCATTCTAATAGCTAAGTGAGATCGGAAAGCCGTGAGTCCGAGGCTGACATGGTCTGATCCTCGCGCGTAAGCACTTATAGACACGCCTTTTCCCATTCCCGCATCCCCCCCCAAAAAAACATCAGCCGTTGCACCCCATTCACGGTCCCCAACCTCGTAGACCACAATGGCTTCCGGACTCATCTTCGATCCCACTGCCCTCCTGAGGGTTGCCCCCCTGGCCTCGAGCACCGGAACCGTCGCCCATGCCGTCCTCGAACTGTTTGCCTTCTCATCGTTCGTCCAACCGCACACGCGCAAAGACGCGGACGGCCTGCTCCCCCGCGTGTTTCCCTACGTTTTCAATCGCGCCGTCTGCACCGTCGTTGCCCTCAACTTGACGACCGTCGTTTCTTCCATCGCCAATATTCGTTCCCTGCGTCACCGCTCCCCGTGGCCGCTCTCTCGCTCCACTTTCTACTGGGCGGGCTTGGTCGCCGCCATCGGACATATGCTGTTCGTCCCCTTGGTGGCGAAACCTGTGCAGCGCATTTTTGAGAGTTCGGACGAAGATGGACAGCCATCGAGGGATATGGAGCGGTGGTTAGCTATTCACCGTGTGCGCATGCTCGTCGCGGACTTGCCGGGATGGTTGGCGTTTGTAGGTGCCGTTCTCGTCGTATAACCTTTTTCTTCAGAGCGTTTTTCGCGACGGCACCTGGTCTTGAGGGTGTATAAATGAAGTATGACCGTGTGTACTGGTTTGTCAGTGAAGGTGATTGTATTGATCCTGTAAGATATATCATTGTACAGTACCGTGCGAAATCCTTACTCCAGCTGTGTCTTTCTTCACCCATGACGGTCTTATATGGTCTCTCGTTTAGAGCTCTTCCACTTGACCTCCGACAACAAACATACTTAAACTTGGATTTGCCCTCCCTCGTTAATCTCCGGACATGTAGGGTCTCCAAATACACACATATATATATCGTCAAAGCAATGTTTGTGTAGATGGTCTCCTCCATTGTCTTGAATAATGTACGTTGTCTATGTCACTGAACCATGTCTACCCACTTAGTAGGTCGATATGAAGGGATTTGTTAATTGAATGTGGACGTCGGCGACCATCCCTGAGTAGCGTTAAAGTTGTCGCGGTCGGAATGCTGACTGTCGGCAAGATGTCATCCATCCCTATCCCCGTGCTATATAAGTTGTCTTTTAGTGCCGCTAGTGCTGCTGCGCGTCGCCATTTTGAACATAGATGAATCTTAAGTAGGTCGTGAGATAGATGTAGAAGAGCCTGAGAAGAAGAATCATCCCTGCTTTATGCTATGATATGCTATGATATGCTATGATATGCTATGATATGCTATATGCTATGATGACGATTGCCGCGCACGACACATCCACTGGGAAGGGGCCAGCGACTGCGTCATTGTACGGCGGTGGTTGCTCGATGGCCTAGCTGTCTTTGTGGTCATTATACCCATCGGGCAAAAACCTCCGAGATGGGGCTGTGCTAGTGCTGAGTTGTTCGCTGGGACGCGTGGAAAAAGATGAACAGTACAGTGTGCATCCATCTGAGCCTGCAGAGAGCGATCGCGTGGCGTCGATCAATAGTTTATGCAGTCAAGCCCGAAATGGAGATCGATCTCGATAGATCTCAAAGACCTGCGTATTTGTTGCAACTTGCTGCATCATAAAACCCGTGGGTCGGTGGGGCGTCGATTCTGACCTGTCTTTTGCCCCTCTCCCCACTGGATTACATTTGCTGATATGATCGACTCGTCGATTGCCTGTGGCACCATCATTCCATATCTAGTATCTGGTTTCAATTCAATGATGGGCTAGGGAACAGTGAATGGGGTGAACGGGGGCTATGGTCACTGTCTGCATCACTTCCTCCCTTTGTTCAGGTTTGATTGATCTCTTCCAGACTTATCCATCACCCACTAGTTCCACACACGTAATAAATCATGAGATCAACTTCCTGAGATGTACAGCAACAAACATAGCATGACATCCTCGCAATTGTCAACAATTTTTTGCTTCATTGACCTGGCACTAGCTAAAATTATAATAAGGATGGACCACAAAACGTGCCAAAGTCTGACCTGCAAAACATCAAAATAAATCCACACCCTGTGGACGACCATAAGCCCGGCAGGGCATAAGCCCAATCAATACCCCGTGCCAGCCGAAACCCGGGCCAAAACAAAGTGGTATCAGGGGAGAAAGCAAAGAAGGAAAAACGGAAGATAAAGAGTGAGAGCCACATCAGTTATGACGGTATACATAAAAGTGTGTGTGTGTGTGTGTGTACGAAAAAATTCCAGCCGCCCAGCCCTGACATGAACCCAAATATTAGACTATAACATAAGAAAGGAGGAACGTGCAAGAAACGAGGGCGATTAATGTCGCTCCAGCGATGACGATCGGCCGCTATAATCGCGACTCTCCTCGACGTTGGTCTCGATCTGCGTCTTGGCGTAGATGCGGCCCTCGGGCACGAAGATGCGATCCTCGGACGTCGTGCGTCCGATCTGCGTGCCCATGGCCGTGTCGTTGTAGCTCTTGCCCATCCCCCCCATGGCCATGCCATCGTCTTGCACCCGCGAGAAGCCCGTGCCGTACTTACGCGGATCGTCCGAGAAGGTCGCGTACTTGCGGTTGGAGGTGTATTCGCCGATGAGGCGGGGCAAGAAGCGCGAGGCAATCGCCTTGAACGAGGGGATCGAGGCCGCGAGGATGCCGATGTTGATCTCGATCACGGACCAGTACATGGCGCCCGTGATGGCGTACGTGGCGTCCTCAGAGGTCAACATGGTGGGAATGTAGGTGATGCGGATGATTGAGGAGATACAGGCACTAACGGGGTCAGCAACAAATCGAGCAGAATCAAGATAGGGCAATTCGTACAAGAGACCCAGACTGAGGATCAACCCCAGCACCATCTTCTGCTTCTTGGGCACCTGCAGCTCGAAGACGACCTTGATGGGCAGGGTGTAGGTCAGCACATCCGTGAAGATGTTCAGGGCAGCGTTAGCGAGGTAAAAGACGTTGATCGTGACGCATTTGCCCGGCAGGGCGTCCCCCTTCCAAGCCTTGGGAATCGGATTGCATTGGAAGGCCGCCACAAGGACAAACGAGGTGGCCTGGCAGGCCACGACGATCATCATGATATAGGCCAAGCGTGTGAGATAGCGGGCTCCCAGTCGGGTGTAGAACCAGCACACGGAGGTCTTGATGAAGCCGATTGAGGCGAGATAGAACATGGAGCTGAGCCAGACAGTCTGTAACGGTTAGTCTGCTAGGACTCCATGGCGGGCGATGAGACTTACAAAGGCATACGTCTCCATCCCCGTCAAGGGGACATTGGTTATATGAGATCCCAACCCATGCCGAACGGCTGTGTTTCGTGTTAGCGAGTCATTCTGGAGCTATATAGACGTGCATAGTGAGATTTAAGTATGAATGCACGTACCGACAATGGTCACAGCACTGAACGCCCACGAGAATAACTGTGTCGGTTAGTCCTGTCTGGGCCAGTGGATATGAGGGTCCCTACACAAGCACCTATGATGAGATCTAGGACGTCTGGTCAGCACTATTCCCACGCCCTTGTTGCAAGAACATACAATCATCGAAGCCCATCTGTCGCAGGACATAAATCCGCGCAAATAGTCGCAGTACAATCACAATAAAAGTTATGATAGCAAAGGCCAGAGCAACGCCGATAACGACGGAGCCCTGGGAATCTGGTCCGTATTCGTTCGAGGTAGGCATCGTCCGGAGATGAAACGAGAGGAAAGGACGAGGCCGTCACGTTGGTGGGCGCAATCTGGGCACGATGAAAGCTTATAACAGGGGATAGGCGTAAAATCAAAATAAATTAAAAGAGAGACAGACAGGGATCCTTAGCAATCCTTAGCAACCCCATCTGTCTATAAGGATTGCCCTAGAAGACTCCTTGGGAAGCCACCAGGGGATCGAAGGACTGGACTTATTTTACCATCGATGATGGACACCGGCCCGCGAAGTCCCCGACTCTGGCTTTCGCAGGATTGAGCTAGACCTGGCTACCGTTCGGGATATTTTGGAGCGTGCAGGCATCACGCTGTGATGGACAGACGACCTACTGAGAGGGGGAAAGGCGAATTCGACTTGTCATGACACCAGGCGGCGGCAAAGAATGGTCCATCCGACAAGTACTCCGTACAAAGTCTACACACGCCTCTGCGGCAGACTAAGTGGGCCGTCATCAAATCATGGCTCTATCCCAGGCCCAGATGCCTGTGATGCAGCTGGAACGGTCCCCACCACGCCGCAAGGAATGCATAAGGCCAAGCCACATCTTCATACATGGATGTGACCCCTGAGACTAAGGTTTTGGCATCATGCACCACTCGCATAAGGTGATGACGGGGACGGGGGTGTGGACAGGGACAAGACTCCTTGATAGAGATGGTTGACCATATAGATGGGATGCTATTGAGATTCACGTATATTAATCGGGTCTAGTAGACCTCTCACTAGACCATCCCTCCTCAATAGCTAATCTCCAGAACCCCGTCCTGGAAGTACCACACCCTCACTGTCGCGCTGCACTGCCGTCATTCAAACGAGCCCCTGGCCACGCCGTGGAGGCGAAATCCCTGCCGACCCCAGCAAGGCTGTTGCCGTCTGCTGGTGAGGGGCCCCTGCCCGTCCTCCCATTTGATAGACACGCCTAAGCCAGGGGATCGAGCCGTGGAGGAGGAGGTTGCGATCCGCATCGCATCGCAGAATGAGGGGCTTCTTCTCTCAGCGGCGGGGGACAAAAATAACAATAGCGTCAATCGGGCCGCACGCGATGTGGATCCGTGTTTTTCCGGTGAACTAATCAGCGATGGCACGCTGGAAAATAGTATCCGACGACAGGCCAAGAGCAAGACCGTTGAAACAGAAGCGAATAGATCGCCACGGAAGACAGTCTGCACAACCAGGGTTACCGGTGGCCAAAAAAAACCTGACAGGCCCCCCTGGTCTGACATATGATGGACCGACACCCTGATTCCAGCTCTATTCCTCCTTCCATCGGACGCCCCAACCGCAACCGCGGCAACGGGTGGTGAGGGGTCATGCTATCCTTGAACCGACCTAGCAGGGAGATCGTCGTGTCTGGAAATTCATGGAAATGCATAGCCTGGCAATAGCGAAGTAACATGACACTGCCGATCGTTGGTGGTTTAGTCCTCGCCGAGATACATGCCTCGTTCCCTAGGTGTGTACTGTACTACTGTGCAATGTCTACGGAGTAGACAGGCAGACACAAAATACGATAGCTAGTCCTGTGCAGACTCCACTTAGACCAGCAATCGTCTTTTCTCCCCGTCCAAGACCAGTTGTCCCAAGTGTCCACCCGGTGGGGTCGTTTGCGGGCGCAATCCGTCCATTTAACTCAGTCGGGCTTTGGTTGCGCCCGTTTTCCTGTCTGTCTGACTCCCCTGGTGTTTCAGCGTGCACGACCCGTGGGGGGAATCCAAGAACATGTTCGGTTGGAGGCGTTGGAGATCGATGAAACGAGGACGGTCGCGGGGAGCGGGGGGATGGGGAGTGGGTGGACAACTGGACTCGCCCGACCATCGCATCGACCAAGCCATCTGTCTGGCTTGTGAGATCTCGGGAAACAGATGAGCAGCAATGGTACAATGGTCGATGGACCGCAGGCTACAGGGCTTTTGATTGTCCACTTTGTGGGCAAGGTAGAGCGATAGATGGTCTCTGAATTAGGGCTTTGTGGATCACCGACGGTCTCTTCGCCTTGAGGCCAGCTGAAATCTCTTTACCCACTCTGTCGAGAAAAAAAATAATTCAATAGAGACTATACGATTTCCGACGACTGACTCTGATGCCATGGCTAAAGGAACAGGAATGAGAACTAGTGAGTTAGCTAGTCCCACAGATTCGACAGACAAAGTCATTCTACTGGCCGGGGATATGGACGTCCCTCGCCCCCCCACTCGCCGTTGACAGCAGTGGACCCTCGCGTTTTTTTCCAAACGGGGACCTTTGCCGGGCCCCTACTGCCATGATTCCATCTGCGTTTACCCTCCGCGGCATTAGCGTTTCCCAGTCAGGAGATACCGATGCACCCTTGTCTCGCAACTCCTGAGGATGACCGTTAGCCGGGTCGCCATTGGTGTATAAAACGGTGGGAATTGAGATGTGCGGGCCTAGACACGCTCCCAAGAGTAGATCTACGACCAAACACGGTAACACACTTCGCCATCATTGAGCCGGTCTCTAGGTATGCCCACAGCGGTCCCCTCTTATGGGGGGGTCTCTCTTCCGCGCAAGCTGGGAACGAAGAGGGGTGGTGGTCATGGCTCGCAACGTGCGTCGGCGTAGAACGATGGGGCGTTTGCCTTGGCCATGAGTATTTGGGCCATTGAACTGCCACTTAAGCGGCATCCTGTATCCTGACTTCAACACCTACCGGCCACTGGTTGAACTGTCATTCATTATGGGGTTCGTCGATGAAGGCCTTGCCAGCAAGGTCACGGTTCCGACCCTGATATTAGCCCTCGTAGGATACTGCGTCCTGCGGGTTGCATATCAAATCGTGTATTACCGCTTCTTCCACCCCCTGTCCGTCTTTCCCGGTCCATTCTGGGGGAGCGTGACTCGTCTGTGGATCGCATGGCACAATGTTCGTGAGACGGAGCTGCCAGCGGTCACAGCCTTGACGAAGAAATATGGTAGGCTCCATCAGTACCGCAGGCACGATGAGAAAGAAGAGCAACCTCTGACAGATCATAGGACCCGTCGTCCGCATCACTCCCACCCTCCTGCTCGTCGCTGACCCGACCAAACTCCCGGAAATCTACCACCGTAATGCCGACAAGACCGGTCACTACATCACGGGCAGCTTCGGCGAGACCGAATCCCTGTTCAACATGCGCTCGCACAAGACTCACGCCTCATTCCGCAAGCACGTCGCTGGCCTGTACAGCTTCACCCACGTCAAGAGAATGGAGCCAATGATAGATGCGCGCATCATGTCCTGGCTGGACAAGCTGAACGAGAACTTTACCCAGACGGGCGATGCGTTTGATTTTGCCTGGTGGGCAGTGTAAGTGCTCGATCATATCCAAAGTGGGTGAGATTACTACTCACACCCAGTTTCCCAGCTACATGGCCTACGACGTCATCAGCGAAGTCGGCTTCGGCGCCCCCTTTGGCTTCATCGAACAAGGTAAGGACGTTGGCGGTCTTATCCAGGGGTTCCACGACGGACTGCCCGCGTTCGGTGTGCTCGCGCGTCTGCACCCCTTTACCAGCTGGATCAAGACCACCTGGATGAAGAAGTACTTTGTCGCCAAGCCCGAGGACGACTCGGGTATCGGCGTGCTGATGCGCTTCCGGGACAGCCTTATCCAACAGCGCCTCGACGATGTCAAGAGCGGAAAGGCGCTCGACCGCGTCGACCTACTGCAGACCTTCATCGATGCTCGGACCGAGGACGGCAACCCCTTGGATCTAGAATACATCAAGGCGGAAGTGCTCCTGGTGCTCCTGGCTGGTGCCGACACCACCGGAACTGTCTTCCAGGCGATGATCCCCTACCTGATTCAGACCCCGGGCGTCTACGACAAGATGATGGCCGAGATCGACGAGGCCGCCCGGAAGGGCATTTTGGGCGCCGGCATTGCCCAGTATGCCGACGTTCTCGAACACCTGCCATACTACGTGGCCTGCGTGCGCGAGACGCTGCGACTGTGCCCCCCGGCTCCCAACATCTTCCCCCGCGTGGTGTCCGAGCCAGGCATGAACCTTTATGGCAAGTACGCGCCCGCCGGTACCGAGGTTTCAGGCAATCCGTGGATCATGCAGCGTGACCAGACTCTGTTTGGCGACGACGCCGAGGACTTCAAGCCTGAACGGTGGCTCGATGCCGAAAAGGCCAAGCTGTTCAATAAGTACCTGTTTACCTTTGGCTACGGCGCCCGCATCTGCTTGGGTAGGGAGATCGCGATGATGGAACTGTACAAGGGGCCACTCGAGGTATATTCCGTTCTTTCTGCTCCCTGCTATGATTATGGCATATGCTGCTTTTTGGCCTCCATGACATTCACTAACGGACCTAGCTCTTCCGTCGCTTTAAGCCCGAGTTCGTCCCAGGCAAGCCGGCTCCAGAATTCACCATCAAGGGCGGCGTTGGCTACTGGCGCAACGTGTGGCTGACCTTGTCCAAACGTCCTGCCGTTTTGGCTCAGTAAGGGAACTGTAAGTGGAAAAGGGGGTGGCAATTGTACAAATTTGTATCTCTTCACGTGTTGTATTAATACTTTGTCTTGATTGTCTATGGTTTCTCGCTTATATACCACGTTTGTTTATACCGTGTGTATGAGTCAATTCCTCATAGCACGACCGGCAGTGGATGCTGCTTCCGGCCAACACCGTTGTATATTCAGGGGTCGGGATGCTCCAATTTTATAACGTTTTGCACAAAAATCCTCACTGATGCGGGGCATCCGGATCTTGGAAGGATTCTCTAGTATAGGCAATACACGCTAGGCACCATTAGCTCATTTCCAGGAAGTCTGAAGATTACTTCTTGCAATATCCACAAGGAACAATTATCCACGGCGAAGAATCCTTATGCCCCGCTTGTGTTTATCCGTGTAATTTAATTTGGTGACTGACTCGCGTGAATAGTGGAATTGGAGTCCCTCGTGTCGAAATGATATAGTTTACGGATCCCCACTCCCTGTAACTAGTAGGATGGTAGTTATTATTAGGGCAACCGGGATCCCTTCACTGCTTCCTGCCGGTCGAAGGATCTACTCGTATTGCTTTTTGGACCCCGTTCTAGCAGGATGCATTTATGGAGAATGCTTGCTGCATCACCAGGCACCTTCGGCATTCGAAGTCGGCATCGTCGTGTTTGGACTCGGGGCTTCCTGTTGCCATCTTTCATTCCCTGATTTCATGACACTTTTGCTTTTTTGGTTTTCACATTCATATTGTTCATACTATTCTTGATGTTGGTCTGAATTGTGTTGGTTCTAGGCCCTTTCGCGTAGAGTAAACAGGTAGGGGATGGTTGTTCAGGCAGAACATCTATTACCAACAATGGCCATATCTATATTTGACTGGAGATCAACCTTACAAGACAACAAATGTCCGCGGCCGGGTTTCGGGGGGGCAGTCCTGCCACTCTACCTGTGAAGTCTACCTACTATGTAGTCCAGCAAACCACGGGTGAAAAACAGACATCATTCGGCGTGCTATCGCAAGGGTACGTGTCTTGACGATGGGAGTAATTTCCGTTTCTTTTGTTTCTCTTTGCTTGAAGGCAAAAATCAAAGTCAACAGTAAAAGCAAGAAGGTAAGTTACAACAGATAAGCAAAGCGCGTCACAAAGTCGTCAAGAAAATTACTGCCGCAGTCCCAAAGGCGGCCAGTTGCTGATCGCCATGGTTGGCTTTGACAGAGCTGACCTCCGGCGCCCGCAGATTCATGGAATTCACCGAGCACAAACAAAAGACAAAAGGACGGACAGACCAGGATGCTGCTTAGGATGCCTCGATTGTCGTTGCGGATGGGTCCCTGCCCTTCAGCGCGCTCCCAGAATCTCTCATTCCCCTTTTATTCGCCCCGAAGACTGTCCGCCTTGGGAAGCAACCCCAGCACGATGACGTCGTCTCCACTCCGGGGAACAGAGTGGGAACGAACGACTCCACGTCGGTAGCATCATGATCTATAAGAAATTGGAGTGCCATGATCCCTAACGAGGCTGATACTATGGACAGGACTCGATCCTTATAGTTACACGGATGGACGATGGCTTCACCGAGACGCGCTCCAACGCAAGGCTCGCCGCATGATGTTCGACTTCTCTGCGCTTTGTGAGAGAGCCATCCGCTTCTGCCCAGGGGCGACTAGGGTCGTCCACTGTGAAAAGAAAGAAGGGAGATGCAATAGGGTCTTTCTTCTTACAATGAACACGGGCTCCCGTGTCGTGGCAAGATTACCCACTAGTATCAGTGGCCCTCCGAGATTGACAACGAATTCCGAGGTAGCAACAATGGCATATTGTGCGCCTAATTCCCCTTTCCCTGTTCCATGGAAGATGCAGTAAACATTCTAATTGTCGCCTCCTGTATAGTACGAGGCAAGATCTCGCTCCCGATCCCAGATATCCTGGATTGGAGCGATGATTCATCGAATCCCATCGGCACGGAATATATTATTCAAGGGCATGCGGCAGGTGTTCCCCTGTGTGATATTTGGCCTCGGATGAACATGGAACAGCATATGCTGTGTACAGAAGCGCTCTCCATCGCGATCACAGAACTGGCATCCTTTAACTTCCCGGCCTATGGGAGTCTGTATTTTGCAGATGGGCCCCTGGAGTCGCACCTGAAAATTTCTTTCGACCAGGGATTCTGTATTGGCCCGAAGTGTAGTCCGGTTTTCTGGGATCGAAGTCCGGGCGAGCTTGAGCTTTATGGGGTTCCCAGTTCAAATTGTGGTCCTTGTTAGTCTCCTAATACCCTCTCTCAGCAAGCGACTCTAATGCAACGGGCACAAAACAGGGCAAGATCTAAAGAGCTACTCCCTAGGTCTGATAGATACCGGTTTTTCTCGCTTACCAAAACGAGATGCGGTTAACCATGATTTACTCCCCTATCAAGGATCAGTCCAGGATCACGTCGCTCTGATCAATATAAGCCGGGAAGTGATGCAGCGCTTAGTCGAGGATAAGCGTGTCCAGGGTGCCGCTAGTCCCACTCTACTTCATCCTGATTTTCACAAAAGAAACATCTACGTCTCTGCGGAGGACCCGACTGTCATTACTGGCGTTATTGACTGGCAATGGGCAAGCATTGAGCCTGCGTTCATCTACGCAAACAAGCCACCCGATTTTGCGGATCAACCCGAAGAAACAGTGGAGACCATATTAGACCTAGACGGGCAGGAAGTTCCCGGCCGTAGCAAGAAAGAACTCAAGGATGCGTCAATCCGTTGTCAAACATACGATGTGTACATGAAGGCCTATGCCCCCAAAGTACAACCCGCGAGGTCGCTCGACCCAGCATTATTTCAGCTCTTTCACTGCTGTCACACGTCATGGCGAGACAGCGCTACCGCTATCCGACACGCGTTGGTGGAACTCTTTGCTTGCTGGACGGAGTTAGGGTTGCCGGGTTTGTGCCCGTATTCTCCCACCGACGAGGAACTGGAGCGGCACATTCGCGATTATGATGATTTCAAGGCGGTCCAACAACTGAAGCAGTGGTTGAAGGTTTCGCTCAATACTGACTTTGACGGTTGGATACCCGATGAGCGGTGGGATGCTGCAAAAGATTTTCATCGCGCGCAGTACGATATATGGATTCAGACGGCCGAGGAAATGGAAGCGTGTGGCGATGATGACATGACAGTAGCAAAAGCAGAGAAACTATGGCCATTCGATGCCCCGTGAAGAGCACGAACTATAGCTTTCGAGGCAATTGAAGGTATGAATCGTCTCTACAATAGGATATAAATGACCTGAAAGTGAATCCCTATCTGTCACGTAGGCATACCCGTCACATTGTGAAGCACAAACAAAATCTCGTTTTTCCCACTGACCGTTGGCCCCTACATTATCCAAGGGGGTAATGATGTAAATGTCACAAATTCCAGCACATACACATCGCACAGGGTATCGGAAGCAGTATGGACCCAATTGTCATTTCTCCCAACATCATATGGCAGTTCACATCTCAACATACATCACGACAACTGTATCCCCCTCGAGCTGCAACTCGCGAAAGATCCGAAAGTCGCATTTCTCCAAGGTTCTGACACTCCCTTGATTCGCTCGATTGGTCGCCGCCCACAGTCTTTCCCCATCCGTCTCGCCATTTCCACCCATGCGAGGCAGTTTCCACCACGCGTCGGCAAGCCCTCGCACGGCTTCACTGGCGTACCCCTGTCCCCAGAACTCCGGGTGGATGCCATAACCAAGAGACGGCGCCGGGTCCAGCGAGTTGATCCCGATCGAGCCTATGATCTGCTCGCTGGGGTCATCAGTGCGGATAATCACGAAAGTGAATTGTCGTCCAACGGCCCCGGAGGCATCGGGTGCTTCGAATTCTCGGCGTCGCATCCATTCTTTGGTCTCTTCGACACTGTGGTGTGGGACGCGGGGCCACCTGGGATGTGTTTGTTAATGCGTATAGAGACTGGAAGTGGGGTCGAATGCATCGTACAGCCAGTCGGCGACCTCTTGTCGGCGGCGAATCGCAAATAGACCATCTGCATCTGCCTCGTTGCCGATGCGCAGAGGTCGTAGGGTGAGTCGTTGGGTCTGGATCTCGGGAGGGTCCGGTGGGATCACCACGACGGTGGGTTGAGTGGGATACAGCGATACGTCTGGCATGATGCTATTTCTTACGACACAGATACCACCTCGTCTTTGGCAAGCTCACCAAGTGTTTCTCATCTTTCCAAGTCGCACGGTACCGGTCCCTGGGGATCCTGTTTTATTTTCCGATCAAAGCCCGGGTCGTGAGTCATTATCGTCACCTCGGCGTTTATTGGTTTAGCACCGATTGGGTTAGAGTGGAGGGGCTGCACTATCACCATAACTCGGTACTGTTGGAGCTCCAGAATGAAACGAGATTCATCACAGATTGTCGAGATGCAAGACCCGGGAAGTTTCGACTGGAGAAGTTGATTTTGCAGATAGAAAGAGTGAGTGGTCACGTTGGTCGCCCAACGAGACCAACTCGGACATAGACAAAAGTCACATAAGGTCTACATGCTGCATCCTTTGCGGGGCCATTCTATTAGCCCCCTTTCATACTATATGCAGGATGACGAGTCGAATGCGGGGAAAGAGAGCAGTTTCTGCGACATCTTTCTCCAGATATCGCAAGTCAAGGGGTGTTGAGCCCTCCACACCAGCAGCATGATCGGGTAAGTCTCTACTACTTATCGCATCTACTACTTCTCGCATGGAAATCGTTAACAGACCAGAGTTGCCCTCATCACCGGTGCTGCCTCCGGAATCGGGCAAGCCACGGCTGAGACCTTCGTGAAAGAAGGATGCACCAAGCTTGCGCTTGCCGACATCGACGAGGGGGGGTTGCAAACTGTTGCAGACAAATTGCATGCAATCAACCCCGACGTCCAGGTGGTCACCGTCAAAGTCGACGTTTCCTCCGAGTCTGACGTCCAGTATATGGTGTCCACTGCCGTTGCGAAGTTCGGTGCCATTCATTATGCTGTCAACAATGCCGGGATTAGTAGCAAGCCCCGTGAGAAGACACACGAACTGGCCACCCACGCGTGGGATCAGGTCATAGTTGTGAATTTGCGGGGAGTGTGGCTTTGCGAGAGGGCAGAGATACAGCAGATGCTGCGCCAGAAGACTACCATTGTCCCTAGGTGGGAGTTCTGTCGCTTGACTTGACATAAAAGGGCACAGGAGGCTAATCCACAATGATAGAACCGGAGCGCCTCCCCAACGAGGATCCATCGTCAATGTGTCATCCATATTCGGGGTGCTGTCGCACCCCACCGTTGGAGGGGTATGGTTTCTTTTCTGATATACTTCCAGTATGGGACTGAATTGTATAGTATGCTGCAGCCAAGGCGGGTGTTCTGGGGATCTCTCGAACGGATGCCGTCGCTTACGGTGCGGAGGGTATTCGCGTGAACAGTGTGCTACCGGGGTTTATCAAGACACCACGTATGTTTCTCTTGTCTTTGAGGTCGTCGTCTTGATCTGAGGAGTATGTGACATGCCTAACAGCCTGCAGTCTTAGAAGAGGCTATCCGTCAAGGATCCAACTACGACGACCTCATCAAAACAGTCCCTGTTCGGCGATGGGGCACGTCACAGGAGGTTTCGGAGGTGATTGCCTTCCTGGCTGGTGAAAAGGCCAGCTTCATCAATGGGTCGGAGGTGCTGGTTGATGGAGGATATAGCAAGATTTGATCATGTTTTGTTATCTTTTTCCTACTTTGCTGGGAATAGACAAATGCCACAGATACAATACAAGGATATTCCAATTGGAGCGCGTTCTAGGTCATCTAAAGCCAAAAACAATCTTCGAGTCATGGCAATCATCACGACACCCGCGACACACTGCTTGGTATCGTATTCAGCGCCGGTAGAGTGTGCTCTGACGAGATAATCGGTCCCTGGTCACTCCGCGCGTCCTCCTGCTTCTCAGCATGATGCTTTCCAACCACGACTTCTACCAACTTCTTCAATGTTGGCAAACATGCGCATATCAACCCGATGCCACCTTCGGCGGTACTATTACACTTGGCATCAGCCGAGATTTCGAGGACACAAAGGAAAAAAATATGGAAGGGAAGAAAGATAAACCTACTCCGACATCAAGATCCTCAATATCAACCTCATCTGTTCCCCCATCGCAAAGCCCAACACAAGTACCAGTCGATACAAGCTAAACCCCACGGCAGCACTGCCCGCCCCTAGAACGGCAATGACAGACAGCTTCTGCGTGCGCCCCATCCGCAACGGCCACGTCAGCGCCGCCGAGAACCCCAATATGGCCAGATCCGTCGCCACGCTGACGCTGCTGTCCGCGATGATTACGCCCCGTCGGTCTCGGCATTGCTCGTTCCATCGCGGATGCACCACGGCCCAGTAGGCGCTGATTGGGTTGCAGATGAAAACCTTAGCAACTAGGATGGCGATGTAGTATAGTGTTAGGAGAACCTCGAAGATGTAGACGATATAGACGCGTTGGAAGCGGTGGAACAGACGTGTGAGGACGTAGAGGATAGTCAGTTTGATGCTTAGGATCATGGGTGAGAACACCAGGCTGGTAGCGTAGAAGACCTATCGCGTATTAGTGATTTCTTCAACTATACTGAGTGCGAGCGGAAGAGACTTTGGATTTGGTGGCCATTTCATCCGGCGTCATGTGGGTCGTGGTCGGTCCCTGGATGTAGGTATCTAGTTATTTGATTCTCTTAGTTGTTTGCTGACTTGTCAAGGGCGAGATACGTACACACGATGGCGCAGGCGTTGTGAACGTTATACAGAATCTACTCCGATCAACCAGTGCCTTGCTCGACGGGTTCGCGGAGAGATACCCATGCCACAATGCACAACACTGTCTCGTTAGCTCGTCTTGTCTCTAATTCTCGATTGATGAAGAGAAATACCGTCTTCCCCCACCCACGGCATCCGCAGCGAGAATTTGACCACGAACCGCAAAGCCACGACCAGCGTGACGATGCTGGAGCCCAGAACCTGAGTTACCAGGCTGATGGTGTTTAGTCCATCCGTGCCATGATGCTTGCGGTGCATATCAGGTGAACGGAATTGTTAGGCCATGGTGGTGGACGATCGGGGTTGGAGATGAAGAGCTTGATGGTGAGCGAGCGGTGATGATATCACCACCCGGTCCACTCGATCGCAATCTCCACCAAGTCTACACAGATATGATTTCTACGAGTCAAAACACGGAATTCTCAGACGCATTGCAGAAGAACAAACTTAATTCAATACTAGACTTATCATATCAATCCGCAATTCATGTCATAATCACAGTCGAGGCCGTCCCGCCGCCGGCGACACCGCCACGTCAAACCGATCCAGATTCATCACCTTATCCCACGCAGCCACAAAGTCGCGCACCAGCAGCGTCTGACCGTCTGAGCTGCCGTACAACTCTGCCAACGCGCGCAGCTCTGGCTGCGACCCGAACACAAGGTCGACGCGGCTGGCGGTCCAGCGCGGCGCCCCCGTCTGCCGGTCGACACCCTCGAACCGGTCTCCGTCGACGGGCTTCCACAAGGTGCCCATGTCCAGCAGATTGACAAAGAAGTCGTTGGTCAGGGTTCCAGGGCGTTGGGTGAGCACACCTTGCGCCGACCCGTCCCAGTTGGCGTTCAAGGCCCGCAGCCCGCCCACCAGCGCCGTCATCTCCGGCGCCGACAGCGTTAGCAAGTGCGCCTTGTCGACGAGCGCCTGTTCGGTGTGCACACGCAAGTTGGAGGCGCCGTAATTGCGGAACCCATCCGCCGCCGGCCGCAGCCACTCAAACGACTCGGCGTCCGTCTGCTCCGGCTGCGCGTCCATCCGCCCCGGCGTGAAGGGCACCGGGGTACCGGCCGCCCGCTCTACCGCCGCGCAGCCGGCCAGTACGATCAGATCCGCCAGCGACACCCGCTTGTTGCCCGTTTGGGCCGCGTGGAAGCGCGCCTGCACCCCCTCCAGCGCCGCGAGCACCGCCCGCAGCGCGTCCGGCCGGTTGACCTCCCACCCGTTCTGAGGCGCCAGCCGGATGCGCGCTCCGTTGGCTCCACCGCGCTTGTCGCCGCCGCGGAAGGTCGACGCGGACGCCCACGCCGTGCGAATGAAGTCCGCCGGGTCGATGCCCGTAGCCAGGATCTCACGTTTCAGCGCGGCAATGTCCTCGCTGTCAATCGGCGGGTGGCTCGGGGCCGGGATGGGGTCCTCCCACAGGACCGTCTCCGAGGGCACCTCGGGACCCAGCCAGCGCGACCGAGGTCCCATGTCGCGGTGCAGCAGCTTGAACCAGGCACGGCCAAAGGCATCGGCGAACCGATCGGGATTGGCGAGGAAGCCCCGCGCGATCTTCTCGTAGGCTGGGTCGGCGCGCAGGGCCAGATCAGTGGTCAGCATACGCGGCTTCTGCTTCTTGTTCGGGTCGAAGGCGTCGGGAACGATGTCGCCCGCGTCCTTGGCCGTCCACTGGTTGGCGCCTGCGGGGCTCTTGGTCAGCTCCCACTCGAAGCGGAAGAGGTAGTCGAGGAAGCCCATCCCCCAGCGGGTAGGCGTTGACGTCCAGGTGACTTCGAGCCCGCTGGTGATGGCGTCGGCGCCCCGGCCAGACCGGTACCCGTTGGCCCAGCCCAGCCCCTGTGATTCGATGCCCGCGGCGGCCGGCTCGGGCCCGACCTGGTCGCCGGGACCAGCACCGTGGGTCTTCCCGAAGGTGTGGCCACCGGCGATGAGGGCGACCGTCTCCTCATCGTTCATGGCCATGCGGCCGAAGGTGATGCGAATGTCGCGGGCGGCCGCCTGCGGGTCCGGCTCCCCGTTGGGGCCTTGGGGGTTTACGTAGATGAGGCCCATATGGGAGGCCGCCAGGGGGTTCTCGAGCTCGCGGGTGGCGATGTTGGCCTGGCGGGCCTGCTCCTCTGCAGTCTCGGCCGCGTAGCGGACGTCGTTGCCGGCGGGGAACATGGTCCGCTCGCCGCCCCAGTAAACGGACTCGTCGGCCTCCCAGACGTCGGGGCGGCCGCCGGCGAAGCCAAAGGTCTTGAAGCCCATGGATTCGAGGGCAACATTACCGGACAGCAGCAGCAGGTCGGCCCAGGAGATCTTGTTGCCGTACTTCTGCTTGATGGGCCACAGCAGGCGCCGGGCCTTGTCTAGGTTGCCATTGTCGGGCCAGCTGTTCAGAGGGGAGAAGCGCTGCTGGCCCTGGCCGCCGCCGCCACGTCCGTCAAAGACACGGTACGTCCCTGCGCTGTGCCAGGCCATGCGGACGAACAGACCCCCGTAGTGCCCGAAGTCGGCAGGCCACCAGTCCTGAGAGTCGGTCATGAGGACCTGGAGATCCTTCTTGAGGGCCCAGTAGTCGAGGGACTTGAATGCTGCGGCATAGTCAAAGTCCTTGGTATAGGGGTTGGTCAAGTCGCTGTGCTGGCGGAGGATGTTCAACCGCAGCTGATCGGGCCACCAGTCGGTGTTTCTGGTGCCACCACCCGCCGCATTGGACGGTTTCTGGAAGGGACATTCACCCATGATGGAGGTCAAACAATGTAGTAGATGAAAGATGACAGAAGAGCAGTCGTGAGTGAGGGATTAGGAAGGGGAGAAGGAGGGGACAAAGGAGAAGAGGAGGAGCGCAACCCCGCTTTGTTTATGTAGGACGAGCCCAGTTCACGACGAATGACAACGGAGGGATTTCAGAAGCAACAAACGGCAGATCCCATGAGGACAAGATGGATCATTGGCGGAGAGTTCCGAGGGAAATGCGGGGGACAGTGGTGTGATGGTGCGGGGGATTACCAGGGGGGAAACTGAAACTGCGCTCTATTCCTAGTCGGTGCATTCCGCTCTTTATATGGGCAGGTCCAGAGGGGATGGTTGGTCCAGTCAGGGGAGGATCAGATGGATTTCCAAGCATTCCCATCTCTGCTGGTCTGGAACTGAGCTTTTAGTCAGGATCTCCACTCTGAATAATTGGGTCCGTCTAGATCCTACTCGGCATGGACTGCTTAATCAGTCGTCATCCACCTATGATCGATGGTGGGATGGGATGGGCCAGTGAGGAAATTGAATGCATGCCATGCTATTTACGGTCGGTAGCCGAGTGGTTTGTCTATGGGTCCCTAATGCCTCGTGTTGGGGCCCGAAGACAGGTATACGATAGATTGCGAAGCCCTAATTGCAGCCGAAGTCTCCACCGATTCGTGACAAATGGACCGGACCGGTTCCGACGACACCAAACAAAGGGCGACACTGGATCTAATCGTATGGAGCAACCCGATCCCGATTCTACAAATTCGCTCGCACCGTCTGATAATCCCGCTTGATCTGGTCGCTCAGCTTGTAGGCCATGGCGGCAATTGTCGCTGTCGGATGCCCGCTAATCTGCTCTGGGAACACGCTGGCGTCCACCACGCGTAGCCGTCGCACGCCGTGTACCCGACACTGGAGGTCGACAACGCTCGTCTCCGGGGAGGGCCCCATGCGCGCCGTCCCGACCGGATGGTACAGCGTGAAGGCCTTGGCCTCCATCCAGCGCAGCAGCTGCTCGTCGGTGATCCGATCGATATCGGTGCTCGAGTACGGCCACCACTCCGACCAGATGTCGTCGTTGGGCGCCACCGGCTCCAGGTATCGCTGGAATGCCGGGTTGCGCATGATCCGGAGGCAGACACGGATGCCCGCCAGGAGCACACTACGGTCGTTGTCGGTCTCATCGCTGAAATATTTGGGGTCGATGATTGCTATTGCTCCCTGCATTAGTATCTCCATGTCGACATAGAAAGGATAGAGAAAGGATAGAGAAAGGATAGAGAAAGGATAGGAAGAGGAAAGCAAGAGAGGAGGGGTCACTCACGAGCATCGAAGGCGTCACGGGTCCGCAGGGTGATGCTCCCCTTGCTCTTGGGTCGCAGTCCGACCGGGGCCAGGGTGAAGGCGCTCGCCCCACCCGGCCCCGGCTCCTCGCCGTGGTGGATGTAGGCCATGGGGGCCCCGACGATCTCCACGTCGGGCCCCCGGGCACCGGACGTGTTGTCTTCGGGCGCGGGGCGCTCGGACGATGAGCCAGGAAAGGGGTGGTGCTCCCACGACCGGAGGAAGGCAGCCGCCTCACCGGCATTGTGGGTGAGGGGTCCGCTGCCGAGCAACTGCCACCGCGCCAGCGCCGGCAGCGCCCACAGCGGGTTGGCCAGGTAGTCGAGGGTGGTGCCCCATTGGGCCTTGCAGATGATCGGGGTGGAGACCAAGTGATCCTTGAGGTTCTGGCCGACTGCCGCATTCTCACGCACGACGGGGATGCCGTGGCGGTGCAGCTCCTCGGCCGGACCGATGCCGCTCAGCAGCAACAGCTGCGGTGTGTTGATGGCGCCACTGCAGAGAACGACCTCGCGCCGGGCGTGGACCTCGAACCGCGGCCCGCCCCGCTGGGTCTGCAGCTCGACGCCGATGACCGTCGGCTCGGGGCCGCTGAGTCGGTCGACCAGCAGACGGGTGACGTGGGCGTGGCAGGCGATGGACAGGTTGGACCGCCGACGCACCGCGGCGGGCAGGTAGGCGGTGGCCAAGGAGGCGCGCTGGCCTTTGGGGTCGATGAAGGTCTGGAAGCGAGTCGCGCCCAGGGTACCCGCGGGGGTGTTGACATCCGGGTTGGCCGGGATGCCCGCGTCCTCGCACGCCGGCAGGAAGCCCTTCTCCCCGATCTCCGTCAGCCACGAGTATCCGACGTCCCATAGGCCGGTGCGGCCTCGGTGCGCCAAGTCGATGCGCGGGCGGGCGGTGTTCGGAGTGAAGCCCTCCATGCGGCGCCAGTACGGGACCAGATCCTTGTAACTCCAGCCCTGACAGCCATGGGTCGTCGCCCACTCGTCAAAGTCGGACGGGGCGCAGTGGTGGTACATCATCGCATTCATCGAGCTACTACCACCCAGCATACGACCGCGGGGCCAGTACAGACGGCGCGCGGCGAGGCCCGGTTGCTCGGTGGTGTAATAATCCCAGTCATGTTCGGTGTGGAAGAGCTTGGAGAAGAGCATGGGGGCCTTGGACTCCAAGATCTTGGTGTTGTCCCCGCCCGCTTCTAGAAGGAGGACGGTGACGTGGGGATCTTCGGACAGCTGGCTGGCCAACACACTGCCTGCGGGCCCTGCGCCGACAATAACTATTCTCGATCAGTTTTTCTCCTTCGCTGGTGATCGGGGTGAGGGGGGGTTGTAATGGTTGTAATTGTCGTACCATAGTCGTAAGCTTGCAACTGACGCTGCGCTTCCGCATCCGTGGAGGGAGGGCCTGTGTGCCACTGGGGGGTGGCGTAATGTAGTGGGTTAGACAGCGGATTGCGACCCATGATGACCAGATGGAAGATTGAAAACTACAGTGTCGTCCCACACATAAACCAGCCTGGGTCGACTTGCTATATATACAAACATTCGGCATGTCTGACTTTCTCCACTTTCGAATTCCCCCGCACTGCCAAAGTCTTATCTCTGGCCTCGTATTCGTTGGTCGATCAAGCATGCCCTTGGCATTTCTACAAATTTGCCCGGCCCTTGGACGATCTCTTCGTCGAGCCTGTCGCAATTGGAATCGCTTACTGGACGATCCCAGGCGGGCTTATGGTGAATTTTTCTGTTCCCTGCCCTTGTTCTGGTCTGTTCCATCCTGTTCTGCTTTGTCCTTGTTGGGACTGGCTTCTCAACGGGCTGAGTGATCGCAATTGGCTCGGAGACAGTCTGGACTGGTCTCATATCGGTTTCCTGGGGGACCATCACGCCGCCATCTGTTAGGCGTCCCATCGCGGGTCCAGCACCATACCCGAGGTCCGGTCTGGAGTTCATGTGCCCCCACTGAGCTGAGGCCTTTTTCTCGGCCTGTACCGTACTCCGTAGTTTGTAGCCCAATCCATGGCCTGATGTTCCAATGCGGACCATGGTGTCCCGCCTACCAACTGCATTGCGAGGCGGGGCTGTACTCCCCGAACTCTGCAGGGGACACAACAAGTCGTCGTCGAGCGACATGGCGGTCAGATCGGACATTATCCGTCTAAGCCTATCGGGGGGGCAGCGATGTTGCCATTAGCGAGAGAGGGGAATCAAAACAATGAGGTTGGGAAGATGCGACGTTGAAGAGTCGAGCACGTGGTTGATCAGCTCGCTCGTCGCCAATTCAATTCAATTTCTTCATTTCTTCATTCTGTCTTCTCTGGTCCGGATTGATGACTGCAATGCTCTAGTTATCCCATCTGGGGGTTAAGACGGAGTTGGTTCGAACGGATATATATGTCCCAGCCCCCACACCTGATGTCAATCTCTCGCCAACTTTCAAACCGACTCTATCTGTGGATGGTCTGATAATAATCACGACGGATGCAACAATTATATGCAGCTAGAGAGACCAGCGACTATGGGGATGTTTGACCAGATATCCATTTCCCCCGAGATCATTACCACCTGAGACCAGATCCCAGTCAATAGCCACGCAAGCATGTCGCGATCAAGGTTGTCGCCCCCCATACTCGGCCATCGCTCCGCCATTATAGCATCTTGTCATGTTATCCTCTCCGACGCGCTACGTCTCAGCTCCCGACCGTTTCACGTCTGTCGCAGCGGTGAAGTGGACAGGAACCATGAGTGCTCATCCTCCAACCGCCCGCAACAAGGTGGCGGTTCGCAGAGGTGGCCGTGGCGGGTGCTTGGTGAAAGCGGGCTGACACCAATCGGGATGATTCGTGGCGCTGCCAAAAAAAAAAAAGAAAATACTAGGCAATCCTCCGCGTCCTGCCTCAATCGAGGGGTTTGACTGTGACGCGGTGGGGCGATCGACGGTAGCACTAGCCGCCGCCGACACAGGATCGTCCAGGTCAATGATCCATCAAGTGGATTCAGGGGTCGGCGCCAGAAACGGCCACCAGCCTACGGTCCTTACCTGAAGGAGGACGAGTCGATGAGTAGGAATGCAGCGGGCCAGTGTTGAAACTCTAGGGATGTCCGTGAGGGACGGCGGTCAATGACAGCCAACCAGCCTAACGGTGGAATGAGTGATGCCGTTGCGTTGCTTCGTCCCTTGCACACGTCGATGGTATCCACTAGATGGATCCCCGTGTCGTGGACGGACATCCAGAGGACGGTCCCAATGAAAAAAACCGATGCTGATGTCGATCCTCAAGATGGAACCCCCTGAAACATCTGCATCGTCGATCGAGCCGTCCTTTTATTACCTGTCCAACGTCGTTGTAGGTGGGGTTCACATCGAGTCGCCTCACGTCTCTTGAAAAAGAATCGACTCCCGCGACAGCGATCGATGCTCAAGAACCGTCGACATCATGTCCGGGGATCGGACAAGTCCACCCAGCGAGGGTACCACCGACCGACTGGAGACACCATGGGGGCCAACGCCCCCGGGCACCTCCTCAGGTCTCTCCCAGAGCGCCTGCAGCACCACGTCCGGGCTGGAGAAGACGGACACGACACCTATGGTGAAGCCGACCGACGACGAGGAGTACTCGGCCTTCGGACGACATGAGAAGCGGTTTATGGTGTTCATGGCCGCCGTCGGCATCATCTCGGCCTCCATCTCCAGTCACATCTACTTCCCCGTCATGCCGACCCTCATTCACGACTACAACATCACCCCTGCCCTGCTCAACCTCACCATCACCTCCTTCATGATCATCCAGGGGCTGGCCCCCTCCTTCATCGGCACCTTCTCCGACGCCAACGGCCGTCGCCCGGCCTACATCCTGGCGTTCGCCATTTACTTCATCGCCAACATCGGGCTGTCAGTGCAGAACAGCTACGGTGCCTTGCTGGCCCTGCGATGCATCCAGAGCGCCGGCAGCAGCGGCAGCGCCTCCTTCGGCCACGCAGTCGTCGCCGACATCGCCCCCTCCTCCATCCGCGGCAAATACATCGGTCCCATGACGGCGGGGGTCACCGTGACCCCGGCCCTGGGCCCCGTCATCGGGGGCATCCTCACCCGATATCTGGGGTGGCGGAGCGTTTTCTGGTTCCTGGTCATCATCAGCGGAACCTTCCTGGTTGCGTACGTGGTGCTGATGCCCGAAACCGCCCGCAAGGTGGTCGGCAACGGTCGCGTCACCCCGACAGCCTGGTGGCGGCAATCCGTCGCCCAGGCAGTCTCTGCCCGCCGAAAACCCCATCTCGCCCCGCGCGACGAGCAACCGTTCCGGTTGACATGTCCCAACCCGCTCGAGACCCTCGTCATCTTCCGCGAAAAGGACATGTTCATCACCATTTTGTACATCGGGATCGGCTCCTTCACCACGACCGTCCTTGGGACCAGCACAGCCAACCTGTTCGGTGACCTTTACGACCTAGACTCGCTCCAGATCGGACTGTGCTACCTGTATGTTCCCCTCCCTTCATCCCCGTCCATCCGGTGATACTGACTGATATGGACCAGCCCCTTCGGCGTGGCGGCAACCATCGGAGCTATGGTGACGGGCAAAGTGCTCGACTACAATTACCGCCGGATCGCGCACCAGCTGAATATCCCACCCGAGATCGTCCGGTCCAAGGAGTTGCTGGACTTCCCCATTGAGCGTGCCCGCCTGCAGATCGCCTTCGCGCCCGTGGTGCTCTTGGTCGCCGCCTTCCTTCCTTACGGCTGGGTCCTGCAGCTCAAGCTTCCTCTCGCCGTCCCCCTTGTCCTGCAGTGCGTCATCGGTTTCACCTCCACCATTTGCATCGGCACCATGTACACCCTCCTGGTGGACCTGGCTCCGGCACAACCTGCGACGGCCTCCGCCGCGGCGAACCTCATGCGCTGCTGGCTGGGCGCCTTGGGCGCGGGTATTATTGACGTCATGCTCCGCGGGATGGGCTGGGGGTGGTGTTTTGTCTTTTTGGGTCTGGTCATAGCTGCTGCCTCGGGGCTGCTAGCATTGCAGTATGTGCATGGTCTGAAGTGGCGCGAACAGCGGAAGGCGCGAGAGGACGAAAAGCAACGGAAGGAAGCTGCGACCGGTTCGTAGAGACTCCGACCGTCTGTGATATTTGTATATATTTTACAGTTGTGTATAGTGTGTTGTGGCATGTGTGTTTGATGTCACTTGTTCTATTGAAGAGAGGGTTGCCTGATGCAGGTTCATCGCCGACTCTCGACACCGATCTATTCCTCGAGACCAGTCTAGTCTTGAACCCAATCTCTGTGGACAACGCTAGAACTATCTACCAACTCACTATATGGCAGAAACCTCCCACACAACAATTGAATAAGCACTATGATGATTCCAGCCCACCATATTAGTATTAGAGATTTCCAAAATCCCACCATGTCGAAAAACCATCCACATTCCCGATCGCCGCCTCCGCCTCCTGGTAGTCCATATTCTCGAGGTCTGTAAATTGCCCCGGGTCCGTCCACAGCCACGGCGTATTCAACATGAGACTGTCTGCAGGCGCTACCAGCGGGTCTATGCTCCCTCCGGTGACTCCACCTGAGGCCGGTGCCCTGTCACCGCCACTGCTACTACCCCTGCCTCGTGAAGAAGAAGGCGAAGGAGACAGCCGCGCCATATGCGGCGGCATGTGTGCGGCGGTGCCCCCGTCCGCCGTATTAACCGTGACCTCAGGGGACATGGCGACAATGATTTCGAGCGTCGAATCGAAATGTTCAGCGGCGGAGTGGTCGCGCGCGATAGTCGGCACCAGAGACGGGTGTAGCAGTCCGGCGGTGGTGCGGTGCGTGTCTGGGACGCAGTCGACTTGAAGTACGTCCCACATGAGGGGCACGCTCAGGTAGATCTTAGAGGGAGTCCAGTCGTAGTCGACGCGGTCGGCGCCCGAGGCGATCCGGAGCATTTTGTCGAGGGTTTGGTTCTGGTCTCTTCGTTAGTTTCTTCCCTCTTCTTCTCTAGTACTATTGCCGTATGGTGGTATATTATATGAACGTACCAGCGCCCTACACACCGGAGAGAATGTCGCAAAGCTCTCTAGGAAGCGTCTGCACTTGGCGAAATCCGTCTTGGATTTCTGTTTCAGGCGGGGATCAGCCGCGCAGCAAAAGTATAGATGGACCGTGGCAGCGATGGCCGCACAATGGCCGAAGAAAGGGTCGATAAGACGCATCTGCTTGTCAGAGACCATGTCAATCATGCGCACCAGCCAGGTAGCGTGCAGAAGGACCAGCTCAGATGACCGGCGCCAGAAAGCATTCGGGATGGTGAGGGTGGGGTTGTACTGCGACGCGACGATGTATAGGAAAGGGTGGTTTAACACAGTGAGGATGCAGTGGTATGTGAACTGGATCTTCAGCCAGGGCGCCCAGTAGTTTCGGTGGGTGCGCAGCTCGTCGGCCGTCCGCTCATAGAATTTGACTGAATCGTATCGGTGGCATTGCGGCATATGGTTTTCAACCTCTGTCAAGTCCGATAGCACCATCGCGTACATGGAGTCGTGTCGCCAGGGCTCTTTGAGACGATTATCAGCGCAGTTGGAGACGTACGACCGCACGCGACTCCACACCCATCCGAAGTGCACGGCAAGACTCCAGATGCCGAGGTCGTCTGCCGTCGTACAGCCCAGGTCATCTCGTGGGAGTGGCGGTGGTTGGGTCTCCAGACCCCTCTGGAACCCATGGTCGTCTCCACCGGGGGCAGGAAACGGTCGACGGACGGTGGCGGGCGCGCTGAGGAAACCGTTTTGCTCGCCGTAGCACTGCTCTAGAGATTGCAGGCTCCAGAACAGTCGTTTCTTCCGTTCCAGCAATCCACTATCGCCAACATAGGTAGATTCCAGATCCAACGCGGCTGAGCGGCACAGCTGAAAGGCCAGACCGAGGTGGAATCGCCCAAGGGAGACATTGCCTTCTATCTGCGGTAAATATCTGACTCCGTTCTCAACTCCAAATGCTGAAGGGGTGTGGACATACCCACGAACGACAGGTAGGACAGCAGGCAAAGACTCTCCATGGTCTCGAGATCTACCGTCCCGTTGGCCACGCGCAGCATGATCAAAGTCCGAGCGGTATTGCTATAGTGGTGCAGATGGTCATGATCGCGCGAGAACCGCGACGCCAGCGCCAGAATACTACAGACCAGCTCCTGCGAGTCACAGCCGCTCTCCTCGAGCTCCTCGCGGTCGAAACACCATATTGGCTGGCGGTGACAAAATTGAAAATAGAGATTGATTCCTCTGGCGATAGTCGAGGTCGACGGATGGGGGGTGGATTCCTCGGAGCCCACATCGGACGAGAACAGATCGCTGATGCCCCCACCAGGCTCGCCAAACAAGGACCCCGATCGCTCAGATGGCGCGGTGCTGGCCTTGTCCCGAACCTGATCGACGGGTCTGCTACGGGTCAGCTACTTTCGTGGTGAAGAATGAGGCGAGATGGTCGCTACCTGGAACCGCGCAGGATGAGGTTTACCTTCTCTTCTAATGACGCCAGTCGATCCTCCTACGAGCAAAGGTTCAGTCTTGGGTTCCTCGCAGTGGAAGGGGATGCATACCGATTGGCCTCCGCGTGAGGTTCGTCGCACCGGGGTGTAAAGACAGGCTTGTCCCAGGCGCAAACAGCTCGAACAGGCCGGTTTCTCCGCCGGGCACCGGATCTTCTTTCGCCTAGACCAGATCAGTCGGTTCGATTTCGAGGGGCGAGTGAAGGTCGTCACACTCACCGGCAGTTGAGGCAGGCTTCGTGAGACCGTAACCTCCCTCGATTGCTCTCACGCGGCATCGTGATAGAGGGGGTGAGCACGGAAGTCGGACATCATACGGAAGACATGCCGTCGGTTGTTCGTCTGCAATTATCTACAGCAGCTCGGTCGGGGGGTGAGCGTTCAGATGTGGGAACGAAGGTCAAGACGCCACACTTGTTGGCAAACAGAATCATTTCACCACGACCGCCGATATGTGGGGGGTATCGGTCGTACAAAGCAGCAGGTCCGACGACGACTGTGGAAGATTATTAGAGGGAGAGGTCGCTGTAAGGAGAGTTTCTTGAACACGTCAGGTCATCCACTTCGGGATATCTCTCCCCATCCGCGAGACTCGACCGGACCAGGATAGACGACAGTATCTATGATGTTCCCAGTTCAGTCGGGCTTGTGACGGTCTACCCCGCTCATGGCGTTCCACATTGCTAGTGAGTTGGCTATCCCGGTCCGTTCAAGCGGTCCGTCCGGGTCTAGATTGCCCCCAGCGTTCCTAGAAAGGGTTAAAATGTCCCGGGAGACCCATTCCAATGTCGATCAAGTGATCCTTTTGCATTGTTATCAATCTGCTTTGTTCGTGTGGACGAGAGGTGCTGGTTTTACACCCACACCCATCGGACGATGGACGGTCCAAACTATACTGGTGATAAGGAAGGCGATCTGACAGCAATACCAGGGGCTTCGTGGACGGGATGGTTGGAAATACAATGTCTCCTTTTAATACGAAGAAAAAGCAGGGTGACAGAAAAAAGTCAATGCAGACAGACCATCACTGAGTGGTGGTGAATATCACTTAACCACGACCGACCCACTTCTGAACCAGAACAAAGTACTACGACTGAAATTCAAACCGAATACAGGACCCTCAAACACTCGCTAGTGCATTCCTAGTACGCAAGGGCCTTAGTGGCAGCCGATGTACACATTCCCGAGCAACCCTTTCCCGCCAGACCCGAAGATTCGCAGCCCTCGTTCGATGCCGTCAGCCGGGAGCAAAAGTCCAGATCATCGTGGCTTGCCAAGGCTGTCAATGGGAGTTGCTGTCGCGCGGGCCAAATCTCTTTCTGTACCTCGTCTTCGCGCCGGTGATGCGCCAGCACCAACTCCCGGCACATGGTCTGAAAGTCCGGCGAACACGACTCCACTGGGGGATCCCGGTCGCCGATCCCGATGTCCCTGTTGACCAGTTCCTCTTGTGTGCTGGCGCACTGATCCTGGGTTTCGCACATAATCCGCTGATACGACATGTAGGTCTGGTCAAAATCCTCGTCGCTGGCGTTCGGGTTGCGGTACACCTCGTGGCGCACGACGCACCTGGTGGCTGAGGTGGGCACGCATCGCTGGATGCAGAACCAATGCGGCGACACCGTCAGGGAGGCGTTTGGGAAACAGCCCGTGCTGGTTACCTTCTCCGATTGGAGGTTGGCGTGGATGATGCCGCCGTCATCTGCCAGGAGCTTCCAGTTGTACGCCGCCTCCCGCTCCCAAGTGTGGTGGAACTCGTAGTTGTCGAACGGATCGTTCTCACTCCGCTGCTGCTGATTCGGACCCTTCAATCGGTTTTCCCATACAATCTCCGGGCTCTCTCCCGCATCCAGGTTGATCCAGACGAACCCGCCATCGTCGATGTGGACGTGGATCGGGAAGAGGCCGTTCTGGCTCTTGTCGAAACCCGCCAGGTCCTGATAGCCCGGCGCCTTGGCGAGTTTCCCGTTGAGGCCGTAGGACCAGCCGTGATACTGACAGGAGAAGATACGCGTCGTGCCAGACTCCTGGGTCACCACGGGGAAGGCGCGGTGTCGGCAGACATTGTGGAAGGCATTGATCCCGCCATCCTTGTCCCGCACCAGGATGAATGGGAAGCCTGCGATCTCATCGCGAACGAAATCCCCGGTGGTGGCTAAGCGGCGCTTATGCGTGGTTAGCAGCCATTTTTTGGAGAAAATGGCCCGTCGTTCAAGTTCGTACATCTCCTGAGATGTATACCACGACGCGGGCAAGACCCGTTCCGGACTCCCATCGCTAGAGCACAGGGCATTTGTAAAAGATGACAGAGACATGACGCGAGTACCCAGACAAAAGAGCTTGGATACGAGCTTGATAGAATATCTTTCCACTTGATATGGTTCTGATATAGCTCTGATCTTATATCAATCCAAGCTGTTCGGTCCATCCGGTGCCCACCGTAGGGCTCATTCCGATCACGGGATCGGTTCGGGGACGGTTTCTGTTCTCCAGGACGGTCTCTGCGTTGTCTGCTAAATGGTGGGCAAAAGCCCTGGATTGCATTTGTTAAAGTGTGATAAATAAACAAGACTAATTTATGAGAAGTAACGTCCCGATATCATCCTATCTCGACTACAGCTTACTCTCCCGGGACGCCTTTCGCCACAGCACCGCCAACGGTCCATCCAAGCCATACACCGGGTCATGGTCCGGGATGATCACTTTTCGGATCTCTTCTTCCAACTTGTCCATCGCTTCTGTACCCTTGCAAAAGTCATTACGCCATCGGGGACATTGCTCCGGGTAGACCCCCATATAACGATAGTCGACTGTGGCGCTGAGCGACCGATGCGACACGCCCGCTGGGACAACAACCACATCTCCCGCGCGTACGTCTACCTCCACGCCTCCTGTAGACTCTGCGTGACGCTCACGGCCTAAAACTAGGATGGACTGCCCTTGGAGAATACCTGTCAGAAGTCAATTGGTTGTCACAGTGATGGGGGAGACCACTGACCGTAGCATTCGTGGGTGTTGGGGTGGAAATGCGCCTCCCAGATGGCACCCCATTCGCCCTATTCCTAGTTAACAGAAGATCTATTTCGGGCGTTCTACCAAACAACATACTCTCCGTTCCCAGTGATTCCCCTCGCAGAGTGCCTTGGCGGACTCACGGCTCAGCGGGCGGGGGAGGACATCCCGGTACACCAGAGCCGGAAGACGGTTGTTGGGGACGAAGGTGCCCTTCTGGAGATAGTACGCCTCGGGCTCGACCCTTGCTTGTGGTTTAGACATTGCTCTGTTGGGATCGGTGTATTGTAGGCTCAGAAAATTACGATCCCAACCTTGTTCGGTTTCCGAGACACTTGACCAATGCCTCCGGTACCACTATTTAGCCACCCCGCACGTATGCAGGCTTCTTATCAATGCCGATCACATGAGCGGTTCGTCTGGCTGCATCAACCGGGATCTCGATCCACGGAGGGGTAATATGCTCCCTAATTGATCGACCGTCGTGATATGACCTGCACGATGCTATCTGAACGGTCCGTCCGGTCCGTGTGATGCCTCAGGCTAAGTGGGCATTTGAACGCGTCCGCAATGAAATGAATTTTTGCTAGACAGGATTGATCACCTAGAATTTATTTGCAGAGCTGCGTAGTACAGGGATTCATTATTTGGGTCTGGATTAGTGTTGGTGTATGTGTTTCAGTGGCGGATGCCCTTGATAGATGAAGTGATATATATCGGGGCTTGATGTCATGAATGCCACATATTTGCAGATCTTCCGTCATAGCAGAGCGTCTCTAGTTCCCAATATACATTCTCCAGATCGTACCAATCGTATTCTTATATATACAATCAAGTAACAATGGAAAATAAGCGCGTGTATCACAAACCTGTAAGTTCGGTCGAGTCATCCCGTAACCCCACATATCGCCACCTCGACCAGTCAGGATGAGGATTCACCCTTCAACTTCTTCATCGTCAACCGTGACGGAGGATCAGTGTCATCCCTTCCATCCCCCGGATCCCTTCCCCCTCCGGACCGTCGCCTGATCATGAGCGCCGCCAACGACAATTATACCATCCATAAAGTGTCCTTGAAGCGAACCCGACAAGCCTGTGGACCCTGTCGGTATGGCCCTCATTCATGCCCCACCGGAGGACGTTCCCATCTCTCCCACACATGGGATCGTTGACGGTGGATTAATAGTTGTGTTCATGCTAACTCTGTCTTAGGCGAAAGAAAGCCCGCTGCCCTGGAGAGAAACCGACATGTTCTCTCTGTCAACGGCTAGGACAGAACTGCTCCTACGGGCTGCAGGCCCTGAACCGAGTCGGGACGCGGTCATCGACGAGTCATGGCCCGGCGCGCAGTGAGGCGCGCGATGTACGTGATCCTTCACTGATGTCTTGCCCCGGTAGCCGGGATGCTTCCTGACCTCCTCCAGGCCGACTGTCCGAGCTCGCATCGCATCCAGCGCATCGAGGATCGATTGGAGGAAATGACGCATCTGCTCCAGTATCTGCTCCACCACACCGTCGGCGACTGACCGTTGTTGATTCGATTGTCCAGGGAAAGCCTATCCCAGGTCGGCGCTTTGACGACCAGGACCGGGGAGAAATCGTCCGCTCCAGGACCTTTTTCGGGGCACAGTGAGAGGAGTAATAGCATTCCCAGGTTGTCGGAGAGCCCGGAAGAAGCCGATGAGCCCTCCATGTCGTCTCTCCCGCCGGATTTTGTCAAAGCGGAGATCGACGTGTACGTGACTTACTTCCACGATCAGCCGTACTGTCTTTTCTCCCACGACTGGCTTCTCACCCACGGAGGCCTGCTCCCCGCGGAGATCGCATACCCGTTGGTCGCGTTGACGTCTCGCTTGTCTGGATGCTCTCCTCTCCCTTTGGGCACGAGCAGGGCTCCCGCGGAGTATTGCGCCGAGAAAGCTTGGGAGATCCTATCCCACTACCACCGCAGTGGAAATGTTGGCATGTCCGTCATGCAGGGCACCTTCCTCATGGCCCAGGTCGACTTCGCCGACGGGCGCCTGCACCGCGCGTATCCGGCCGTGGCCATGGCCATACGAACACTCCAGTCCGCGGGGTTGAATAAAGACCGCTACGCGCACTGTTTGAACACCCCCGAGGCGGAGGAACGCATCCGTCTCACCTGGGCGTTTTTCATGCTCGACCGCAGCTACAACGCCTCGCGCAACTACTCCCTCTGCCTGTCCGACAAGCACTTCACGCTTCCCTTCCCGTCACCCGACCCTGTCGCCGCCCACCGCGACCCACACTCGCCCATCCGCGGCAGATTGCTGGACGGCCCAAGTAAGCAGGGAGAGAAGGTCGACCACGGTGTCCTTGCCTGCCTCATCCGTCTCTATTCCATTTGGGGAAAGACAACCGAGTACGTCTTCGCTCCGTCAGATAAGAACGCCTTGCCCCCCTGGCAGGCCGGATCCGCCATGGCCCGCCTCGAGTCCGACTGGTTGCAGTTCGAGACCCATTTCGCCGACGCCCATCGCTACATCCAGGTGGACTTTCAGCGACGAGCGCGCGAGGAACCCCAGGCCCGAGGATACCTAGCGACGTGGCTGTACGTCCAGTTCCTGTTTCATTCCGTCCAGGCCTTCCTGCATCACCCGTTCGTCATCATGGTCAAGCTGCGCCAGATGGACGGCAACATCCCCAACACCTTTCTGCAGAAGTCCTACGAGAGCTCGCTGCTCCATTCGCGGTGGATCGCCCGCTTCGTCCGCGAGATGTCCGAGGTGGGTTTTTGTCTATACGACCCCTTCTTGGGCTATCTTGCCGCTATCGCGGCGACCATCCAGCTCGAGCACACCAGCAGTCGGAACCAACAGGTCGCCAGCTTGGTGAACAAGGACTTTCGCACTTTGGTGCAGTTCATCAACGGCCTATCCGCTCACTACGACAACATGGGCGTGCTGGTACGTTCCCCTCCTTTTCTCTTGGGATCTACCCCTTATTGATATTGCAGGCCAACCGCGTCAACGAGCTAGCCACTCGCCACAAGAACTACGGCTCCCTATACTACACGCAAGACCGCTACTCAGGCGCCCTGTCGCGCATGCCCACCCCGTCTAACATCCCCCACATGTCCCCCGACGACGAGTCCCTCATGTGGCACATTCTGGACCTCAGTTCGTGCGTACCACCGACGGACACGACGCCCCTCGGCGACCTGGCGCTCCCGCCGAACCCTCCCGCCCGACAGCCGCTCTCTGAACCGCCCGTGACGCCCACGCTGTCCGATGACACCGTCCACGCACGACCTGCGGACCATCGTGCGAATTTGCCTCCGCTGTCGTCGCAGGACTTGCCGGCGCTCTACGGGCTTGATCCGGATGGGATGAACGTGCCGGGGTGGCCGTTCGCTCACCGGAATGCGAATGATGGGCTTGAGGCGGGCATTCCGGATATTCCGGATTGGTTAATGTTGGGGGGGTATGAGCAGCTTTGAGATTTTCTTTCCTTTTTATCTAGGAGTAGTGGGTTGTGTATATGTTTCTCTTGGGTTACTCCAGCTGGGGGGTCACATTAAGGTACTTGAACGTTGTCATAAATCATGCATTGGGTTACTCGGACAACCACGTCCCGTAATAACAAGAACCATGTAATTGTTTCGGCCTGTAACAGTCCATCCATTCCGTCACCGTCCCACTACAATCCGTCCTTAAAGCTTGCTCTGTCGCATCGAAGCCGCCAGCAAAGCAGATTGGTATCGGTGCTTCTCCTCATCCGTCAATTCTCTTCGTTCAGGCCCACCCCGACTCCCATCGCCCTTGAAAGGTTCGCCATTGGCGGCACCCCGGAACTGGGTCGGAAACTTCCATTTCTCAAGAAGGTCGCGCGGCAGGCTGCGTTGGAGGCTTCCGACGATGTATTTACCGATGACGGGGAGGAACTTGTAGGCACTGTGGGAAAAAAAAAAGTTGTTAGCGAGAGAGTGTGGCGGATATGAGGGAAGGCAAAAGGGTAGCATACTGGCCACTCCCACCGGTCGCGATGAACAGGTTCCGGTGTTCCGGGTGGTAGTCGAAGATGAAATCTCCCATCTCTGTGTCGTTGTACCAGCATAGCCCGACCCGTTCAAATCCCCGTGGGGCCAGCTGGGGCAGGATCTCCCGCACGCCCGCAAGCAGTCGCTCCGTACCCTCGACGGGGATGAAGTCGGCACGGGAAGACACGGAGCCTCCAGGAGGGGAGGAAACGATCTGAGACGATGCGGAGGGAGAAGATACAGTGTAGCCGTAGCTGTGGCAGGCGACCTTGAGATACCCCGAGCCGTCATGCGGCGGGAAGCAGAAGAAGCCCGTCGAGAAGTTGAAGTAGATCGGCATGTCCTTCAGCTGCACCATCTCCTCCGGGGTCAGCCGCAGGTATCCCACAATCTGGGCCGCCGCGATCATCGAGTTCCACGCCGGGATCAGACCTGCGGTCCACGCCCCAGTCGCCGCAATGAACCGATCGCCCTCCACGCGGCTGCCGTTGGCAGTGCGCACGGCCGTGACCGTCCCGTCGGCAGCCTTCACAAAGTCCGTTACCTGACCGTTGGGCCCCGTTTGGAAGGATACGCCCGCCGATATACATCGTGCGGCCATGCGGGCGACTCCCATCCCAGCATCCGCCCATCCCGCCTCGGTATTATAGAAGGCATCGAAGCCAGGCCCCAATGGCCCAGACAGTTCGGGGAACCGGGCTTTGGCCTGCTGGGCGGTGGTGACGGCGTGCCATTCCTGGCCCATCGCAGTCAGGACGTCCTTGGTTTTGCGGCTGTACTCGCGCGAGTTGGGCTGCACGGGCTGCTCGGGGGTGTCATCCTGGCACACCCATAGACACGGTGTCTGGTGGAAGGCTTCTTTGAAATCGGGGGTCTTCCACAGATCAAAGGCTTCTTTCCCAATCCGCGCATACACATCATCCCCATAGTCAAACCGAATGACGCGCGATATGTCGTTGCTGGAGCCGTCGGGCACGGGGGGCATCGATCGGTCGAGGACCGTGACAGAGCGATACCCTTGCTCGGCCAGGTGGAATGCCGTCGACAGGCCAAAGACGCCTGCGCCGATGATGACTATGCGCTCTGATTTATCCATGGTAAGAATTTGGGGCGCGACTCAATGAAGCCGATATTCCAGATATCCTTCTAGACATCCTGCCGGACTGCATGCTGCTCCGGCATTATATAGCCGATGAGCGACCGTAACTCCTCCTCCACAATGGTCAATCGAAACCGTCCACGGGCCGAGGGCTACACCCATCCATCGGTGGATATGACTCAATCAATGCTCCATGGATGCAGCGTGAGGATCGAGATAAGGGAGCGAATGGCGAAGACGGCAAAAGAATCCCTGCGGGGAAATTCGTCCGGTCCGTCACGGCCCGTGTGCACGTGCTGCCCCGAATCAACACGTGAGGGGTAATACGTATTGGTGACTCAGCTGGGCATAACGCAACGGTTATGTACCTCGCCGTCTCAGCGACAATGCCAGAGAACTGGACGATGGCTCCAAAGAAGATTTACCTAGCATTACTTGACTTACTGCCGAACCTCAAGAGCGTCGATCTCCATGTTTTGCGGACCCACAGAGTCCATCCCATCGTAAATGGACGAGTGTTCGCCCACCTCCGTCTTCCCCGGATCCTTGGTCGTACCGCCCAAGACGACGGCGTGGTTGAATTATTTAAAAAGATTACATGGCCATGTTGTCCAAGTAGGTTGCCAACGTGATATTTCTAGTGTGCTCTTTCGTAAGGTCTAGCTGTGATGATCTCCGACTAAAAGTAGCGTATATATATAGTGTACTCGGTAAGAGGCACACAGAGCCCACTGCTCTCCGCCTGGGATGATGCCTCCTAAGCTAACCCAACGCGCATGCCCGTTCCACGGTCAATTCTCTCCGTTCCAGTATGACCCCCCTACCTGTTCTGACCTCTTGGACTCAACTCCATTGATCGCAGAACGACAGATGGTGATGTCATGTCAGGATCCAAATGCTGAGTCATCCGAGCCCGACCCGCGACGGACTAGCGCGGATTCCCATCGCCCGGAAGTACCGCCGTTGACTTCTCCGCACATCCACTCGCCCAGACGGGAGAAACCTCACCGATAGCCCCCAATTCCGCGGAGACGATGCCGGCAAGGTGGAGGACAAAGTCAGGCTGTTTGACCTGTATGTACCCTCTTTTGGCCTGACAGCGATCATTGGCTATCATGGATGTTAGTGTTGTTAATGTTGTTCGATCTCGCAGGTCGCATGAGACGGAAGAAATGTGACGAGGAGGGCTCGGTATGTCGCGCCTGTCGTCGCAATGGCCTCACGTGTATTTGGCAATCTGGGATCGAACCGGGGAAGGACCGTAAGGGAAGTGATGGTAAAGCACTGGTGAAATCGCCGCCTCCGGAGACTGCGTCGTTGTCTCCTCGATTCTCGGCCCTGGAAAACACCCCGCGAGATGCCCTCTTCCAATATTTCGCCGGGTCCATATTGCCGCAATTGATGATGCCAGGATCACCCCCGAACGGGGCAAATGATCTGCTCAAATTAGGGGTCCAGTTTCCGTGCGTGCGGGACTCCTTCCTGGCATGTGCCGCGCTGTTTCGGTCGAGCAGTGAACAACCCCCGCCGCGTGACGCCCTCGGATACTATTCCGGCGCGTTGCGCGCGACCCGAAATATGATCCAGCAATCAGCGGTCCATGGCACGGAAGACTGGTTCTATATACAAACGCTGTCATTGTGTATATTCGAGGTTCGTGAGACAACCCCCGACCGACGCCGCTCGAATGCTAACCCAACTCAATTAGCGCGCCCAGTCAGGCCCTACGTGTGGAGCCATGTCGCATGTGCTGGGTGCATCACGTGTCATGGCTTTGGAAGTCAGGAATACCTCCGGGACGCAGCACGACCCAGCGCTCATCACTCCACTCCAACGGATGTGTGCTGCAGCCCTGCTGTATCATGCGGCCACCATGGCTTTCCTGAGCCCCGACATAGGATGGCTCCCCGGAGACGCAACGTGGGAGCAGGTGCAGCAATACTTCGAGCCAGATTCTGACGCGTTATTTGCCATGCCCCCGTCGATGTGCCGACAGATTCTGGAAATCTCGCGGTTGGCTCGTCGCACGCCATTGTCCGAAAACGACCGCCTGGTAGCGTCGGACTTGCAAAAGCAGCTGGACGTATGGCTTCAGCCACTTGTCCATGTCGTTCCGGGCCAGAATATTACGGCAAACGATATCAGCGACATCCGGAAGGCAGCCGTGCTCTATGCAATGGCAGCCGATATTTTGCTTCTGAAGGTGACGCAGCCGCGTATCAAGGCCGCTGATTCCCGTGTCCAGGGCCGCGTGAAGCAAATCATGAGCATCTTGCAATCGGACGTACACGGGATATTTTGGAATCAGCACTACTTGTGGCCATTCGCTATTGTCAGTTGCGCCGTGCAGCGCGAAACAGAGATGCTTTTCTTGTTGGGCCGACTCGATAAAATGTGGGAACGATCTCATTGGGGGGATATAAAACGCACCCGTGAATTATTACAGAATATGCTACACTCCCGACGAGAGAACGCGCAGTTTGCTTCGCTGCGAGACAATCGCTCGGGGAATGTCCCGGAGCCATTTGATTACTTGCTCCAGCCCGAGGGGTTGTCCAAATTCGCCAGCTGACCCCGGAACGCTCAGTATTGGTCAATCAACAGCTCAGCCATGCTGGAGTGTCCCGTGAGAGCGAACCCAGCAAAGGCTACCCATTTTGGAACCATCAAAGCGCTACTGCGATAATCACATTGGGCCCATCCAGCTCGGAGTCAATGCAGTCTAGGGCGGAATATGATTGTGGTGTTTCGGATCGGTTTGCGGTCGTGTCGTTTCGTGTTCTGGGTGCAGCTGTTGGTACAGCTTGCCGGGATAGGAGGAACTGAGCTGCTCTGCCGTCTTTCTGGAAGGGCCGTCGACTCCGGTTCCCCGTTATATTCCTGTGCCGCCTCCCGTCAGACATGGGCATGTGGCATTCGATCAGATGGCGGATGATCTTGGTCCCCCATGCGGGTCGCAGCCGTTCGCTAGTCGCAGGATCCTCGGTGTGTATTTTCTGTGTCAAACCAGGGTCGCGGACGCTTGTGCTGGTAGCTTATTCAAAACAAACCCGGCCTGCGAAGACATGCAAGATAAGCAGGGAAATCCAGGTCTAGATGTCAGATTTGTGAGATAGGTTCATCAGGAATAATGGTTCACGAAATTATATGTTGTTGGCAACCAGCCCTATAACACCACTTCTGTCGCAGTTTTCAGACCCCCCTGGGACATGGTGTCGGGTCACTACCGGCGATCCTAAAGTCGTGGGTACAGGGTTCGAATTTTGCAAGGCAGAGGTCAACCACCGATTGCGGTAGTTAAGGCCGAATTGCGCATACCGGCACTTGGCGTAACTGGAAAAGGATACTGCGATGGGACGTACCACCGTGAGTGTCGGTTACTTTCTGTCACGTCACCCACCCGATCATTCCGGACGATCCTGTATATATCATCCCATATTTTCTTTGTTCAAGTAATTTCGCCAGGAGCTCTTCCCACCATCTGACCTGAATGCATTTGAAATGGCGCTTAAGACCCGTCAACGCACTAGGAAACGAGAATGGGAGTAGTTTAAACCGCCAGGGACCCGCGGTCTTCCAATCATACGCCGAACGTCTTAAGTCCGTCGCCAAATGTTCATCCGCCGCATGTCAAGACCACCTTACTCCCTTGCTAGCGACATGCCTTTGTGGGCCTGAAGTTCGAGTGCGACTGGCAAGGTATCATCGACATCGTATTTGCCGGCACAGTAACCAATGCTAGCTGGGATGGGGCCATCGTGAGGGGTGCGTCAAGCGAGCACTGTCGACCTACCAGGATGACACTTGGCAGCGTAGCCGTGTGAGAAAGCTTTCCATAGCTTGGTTTCACCCCCTCATTGGTGAACCGCCTAGTGTCAAAAGATGAAGGATGGATATATCGACGGGAAAAGCGAGTTGTTTGAGCAGCGGACAACAGCGGTCAAGCGGTCGTGATTTCTTTGCCCACGGGGGAAGTCCCATATTTTATTAGTTTCGCCTGGAAATGCCCGAGGTCTCTACAACGCCGTACGGAGTATGCATGTCAGGAAATGCCATGTTATTCTCCTCCTCCATCGGCGATTTTGTGGGGCGCGCAAAGGCCCGCGATTGGGCAATAACGCAGCCAAGCCCCATCGGCGCATACAATATCCGCCTTTCTACCCGCAGTATTGCGCCGCGCAATGTGTAGCCATTGGGTGGCTACTAGGATTGCGCCAGGCCCTGGGATGGTCGTTGAACCCCATCGCAAGCCATCATGCATGTTTCTTGACAAACATTATAAAACCTCAATGCGTCCAGTCGTCCGACAAGGTCATCCCTGACGCCATGTTCAAAACCCGACCGCCATGACCACGCCACCATCCGCCGGGAGCGCCATCTGCTCTTTGAACGAGTTTCTGCAGGTATCCTATGACTATATCATCGTCGGAGGGGGCACGGCCGGTCTCGCGGTGGCCGCCCGTCTGAGTGAGAACCCGAGCGTGACGGTTGGTGTGATTGAGGCTGGGAGCGACCAGACGAAGAATGAACTTGTGCAGACCCCGGCTCTCTTCCCTCAGATGCTGGGGATTCCGGAATACGACTGGATGTTGGAAACTGTGCCTCAGGTACGAGCATTTACCACCCAATGGCGCCCTGTGCAAGCAACTAATGAGACAGTAGAGAGCGAACAGATACAAAGTCCATGCACAGACTCGGGGTAAAATGCTGGGAGGGTCTAGCGCCATGAACGGAGTAGGTCACACAACGTTGCCCTAGCCAAGGATGATGGATCTAATATAATACTTGGTGTAGATGATGTATGTCCGCGGCTCGAAACAAGACTACGATGATTGGTCGACATTTGGCAAAGGATGGTCATGGTCATCCATGGCACCCTACTTCCGGCGACACGAGACCTTCGATCATACTAGGATTGGACCCCCAGGAGACGATGACTTCACCCAGTTCCGGATACAGAGCCACGGTCAGACGGGGGCGATCGCAACCAGCTTCAACAACTGGCGGAACCCCCTCGAACGATACTTCATTCTCGCCGGCCAACAGGCCTCGGGAATCGACAGAAGCCCTAGCGATCCCTGGGGCGGTGATCACGTCGGGTTCTTCTCGTCGCTGGCCACGGTAGATCGGCGGAACGTAAAAGGCACGCGGAGCTACGCTGCCAGCGCGTATTTGCTCCCGAACGCGTCACGCTCCAACCTGAGGGTGCTGACCAACGCCCTGGCTTTGAAGGTCCTATTGGAGGGGCGCACCACCCGTGGGGTTCAATTCATGCACTCGGACAAGATTTGCGAAGTCCGCGCCACCAGAGAGGTGATCCTTAGTTGCGGCGTGTACAAGACACCCCAGCTCCTGGAACTGTCTGGGATTGGGGATCCAGTCGTCTTGCAAGATGCCGGTGTACAATGCACCGTACCGCTGTCAGGGGTGGGCGCCAATCTCCAGGATCATGTGCTCACGGCCGCGGTCTATGAATTGAGCGAGGGGATCACGTCGTTGGATGCTCTCCGCCACCCGAGCATTCTCCAAGAACACGTGGACATGTACGCCAAGGACAGCACCGGGCTTCTGGCATCCGCCACGAGTGGAATGGGGTTTCTCCCTTACTCGAGGCTAGTCTCCTCGGCTGAGCTGGAGCGGACGTGTGAAAAGATCCTTGACTCGCCGGCGCAAACACCCTTCCAGCGCAAGCAACGCGAGCAGGTCGTCGGACAGCTGCGGAGTCCGACCTCGGGGAATATCCAGTTCATCCTCTCTCAAGGCACCCTGAACGTGGACGAGGTGGTCGCCGACCAGGGCAAATTCGCTAAGCCGCTCGCCGGAACCGACCCGGATGGCTTTACAATCGTGGCTTGTCTCGAATATCCCGCCTCGCGAGGTACAGTCCACATCACTAGCAGCGACCCCACCGTGAATCCCGCCGTCGACCCGGCATACCTCAGTCATCCCGCCGATGTGGATATCCTGGCAGCGGGGCTCGGATTCTGCGACGAGATCGCCCAATCTCCCGCGTTCAAAGATAAAATCCGGCGGCGAGCGCACCCCCCTGGCGACATTCGCGATCGTTCCCGGGCCACGGAAGCTGTGCGCGACTTTTGCATGACCGAGTACCATCCTTGTGGAACGTGTGCGATCGGGGCGGTCGTGGACGAGCGCTTGCGTGTGCGCGGCGTGACAGGACTGCGCGTAGTCGATGCCAGCGTGTTTCCGGGCAATGTGAGTGGGAATATTTTATCAACCGTGTACGCTGTTGCGGAGAAGGCGGCGGATTTGATCAAGGAAGACGCGTCCTGGGTGCATCCATCTCTATAGAATGATGAGTTCCGAAGCCCATGGATGAATGTTATGAGTTACGTACTACCCTGTCGAGTAAAAGCAATTTATATGAATCGCTATATGCAAAGGCAGCCACGGTAGGAAATCTTGAATTGCCGCTGGAATTCGGCGGATACCTCCAACTCCCAGCAAAATTCATCCTCGCGTCTGTCATCATTTCTCATCTACTCAGGAAGATAAAAGTTATCGTAACCAAGTGGACTGGACAAAGTAATTTCTCGTCGCTAGACATCCCCCACTACGCACTGCCCAGCATTCGAGCGAACACATCTCGTGTCAATCCTTCTCAGTTGTATTTGAACCTATCCGAAAGCTGGGTATTGGTACACTCCCCAATCTAGAAAATGAACAATGGCGCAGATCTTGCAGCACAGACGACATCGCATCCCACGATACAACGATGTAAATGACACAATTCCAGAAGCCCTGCAGCGGAAGCACGAAGCTCGCGACGCTGGTCAATCCGAATATGTAGTGATTTGCCGGCGTCGCCAAGGCGTAGATCCGGTTAGCGATGGAGGGGATCTAGACGGTGGGAGTCCATCAATACATGAGCAACCGGGTGTATGGGGGTGAAAGCTTACCCAGGTAATGAACATCGCGAGGAAGAACGTTAGGGCGTACTTAGTATACGCCCGCACGGCCGAGTCAGGCTGGGGAATGTTCGAGTTCTCGAGTCTGACCCTCTCCATTGACGATCCGCCCGTGGTCTCGGTTTGCACCGTGCGATTGTCGGAATCCATGGACGAGAAAATCTCCGGTCCCATCTCGGTGTCTGGACTGCGAAAGCGGTTGAGCTCGCGACGTCCGCGGTAGATATACCAACCCACGCGAGTATATATAATGAAATTTACTGCGATGACCAACCATATCGGTCCGTAAAAGACAGCGATCTGTAGGTAATCCCATTCGTTTGAAATCCAACACCATTGCTGCCATCATTAATCACCACCCGTGGATACAGGAGCCTTCGGAGCGACTCACCGTGGCTTTCCCAAAGACCTTTCCCTGGCGGTCATTTTTTACGAAGAGCAGGACCAAAGCAGGGATGAACGGAACCCCGTAGCATAGCAGCATATACCTCCATTCCAAATTCCGTAGATGCTCCGTGTCATGTTTTCGAAAAAGGGCCAGGTAAACATTACAGGCCATAGCGAACGTCCAGAGCGCATCGGACGCCATAAACCTGAGAGATCGATCAGCTGAATGCCTGAGCCACGTTTCCTTCGCGCCGAGTCTCACCATTGCAAAAAGAAGGCCTGAAATTGACAGAGGTCGCTATCTGGCCCGCTGTCCAGGCCCGACACCGATACCAGCGTGGCGACATTACACATGACATTCCCACATGCAGCAAAAAACACCAAGCGATTGATAGGTTTGCGAAAGCGGGTCGACCCGATAAAGGTGAGGATAATGATCAATGACCCCGCGACCGAGATTGAAGAACACGTCCTCTCGATAATCGAAAGGATGTATCGCTGGTGCGCGGTGAAGGCTGTGTACTGAACTTCCATGAAGCACCCGTCTGAAGTCCCAATTGCGACGACGCGCCCGTGAGCGGCATTGGGGTGGAGTGACCAAATGGTCACAAGATCGACATCGATGATGATAATGATGTACCAAACTGCAGCTGGGGAATAGACGAAACAGCTGTCGGATGCCAGGTATCTGTCTTACACGAGGGTATCCATGAGCTGATTGACAAGTGGCAATATGTAAGAGACTTGAGTGAACCACCAAAGCAGTCTCGTTGTTGGGAGTCTTTCGCTTCACGCCGTGGGGTTAAGTGGGACGATGGCTCTTTTGTAGGGTGATGACATCATGATTCCACGGACGAAATCTCAACATCCGGGAGTTCCCTGGCAATCCAGCACCTCACAAAGGTAATTGGTCGGTACTGGCTGGTAATAGTTCCGAGGCTGGGTACACGTTACTAGTTGCCTATTATACGAAACTTGGATCAATCATACAAAAATGAGCCATTGCATAGTCAGTCGTCGGCACCCTGGTACCTCGGGATAGGGCTCCGAAAACATTGCAACCCGGTGCCCTAGCCTCGGGCCCGGAACCTGTAGAAATCAACTTGTTGCCGAAACCCTGCCATGTTGGATCCAATCCCAGGGTATCATGGTCTGCTATATTTGACATATGAAGATGTCAATAGATGTCGACAGCTGTTTCGTCCAGGACGCCCCGTCCAGACATGGTCCCATCAATACATAGAAGATTTGTGTTCACCCTGTCCCCGGGTCTCGGGAGTCGAAAGGACGCCAATTATGTCACCAGACGAGAGATACTCAGCATTTCTTGTATGATCTGGATTTGGGTGCGAGTTTTGAACTCCGTCTAGTCCCCAAGTACATCACGTTGAGAGCGCCATCCCTATTTTCCTGTACACCATGGGCCATCCAAATGATGGAGAAGCCATACCCAAGTTTATTCCCAACGAGGGATCTCTCGTTGAGCACTGTTCCGAGACAGACGGGGTAGAAGAAGCGCTCACATTTTGTCTCAGTTATGCTAGGGTTCAACACCTAATTCCACGTCAGTTTACCCGTATCCTTCTTTCACGACGTCGAGGAAGTCTGTCGTGTCATCACTCTTGGTTGATCAGGGAGCAATGATTGTACTGCATTCGGTGACACCATGATTGCCAGTGCGAGAGAAGCATTGTTGGTTTGTATCAAAACCACCATGCACTTTTGACTCGTCTGGCAGTTCTTTCATCCATAGATATGAGTGTAAATCTGAATGATCTTCCTTTTCTTTCCGACAACAATGCCCAGTACTCTTGCGGTCGGGACTTAAAGAGGCCAACGTGCATTTCGCACATTTGAATTGTTGTTAATCCCACAGGTCAATGAATGGTTTGTGTAATGAGAACCCATTTAGTTCCTCGGGGGAGATTCATTATCCGGTTATCCAGTCACCCCAGTGGTCACTGACCGAAAGGAAACCACTTGAAATGTCTGGGGTGGGTGGACTTCTTGTCCGCTCTTGGGACGGGGATCTCTTTCCTATTATAAGTCTTCTTTGGGTTCTCAAAGAAAGGACGAAGACAAGCAAACACGAGGACAAACAAAAATGAAATCCCCCTCGCCATTCAACCGATTGCCAAGCGCACGACATGGAGCGGGGTTGGATTTGAATGATTTGGATAAAAGCGATGGTGTGCGCCTATCTTTCAACCTTTGGAAGTCTACCTGCAAATCCAAGCTGGGACAATGCTCCCCTTTGACAATAAGGAGCATCATCCCCGCCTGAGGCCTGTGGTATATAGTGTTCGTCATGATCCCCGTCTGTCGAAGCGTTTCCCGCACTCTATCTATCCAACATTTGGACTTCACTCACCGCAAACACTCTCATCTTATCCCGTTACTTTTTTCGTTCTTCTGTACCAACCCTCGTTCCTTTATACTACAGGAGCTCTTGTCACTTCCCCTGATATCTAATAGACCCCCTTACCATGTCCTTCGCTAACTCTCTTCCAGTTGATTCTTACGGGGGAACGGTCAATGGCCGCTCCATCACATGGACCAAGGGCGCAGCGGCAAGGCTGCCCGCCGATGCGAGCAAGTGGACAGTGGATCCGGCCCTTATGAAAGGTGCTACTGAGCATGCGGCCCATGCTACTGCCACACGACTCGGTAAACCCAAAGTCGTCATTATGTAAGTCGTTCTGCGAGTCCAGTTGTTGTGTGGGCTTTCATTTAGCCGTTACGCTAACCGTCTGTTAGGGGATCGCTTCATGGCACGACAACTATAGGTGAAACCCGTCAAAAGATACCACACCGGCCTCATTGCACATTTCGAATGGAGCCAGGCGGCCATATCAAGGTTCATGTTTACGTTGATGTTTCCAATGCCATCTCGGCGGACGGGTTGAAAGTGGTAGGAGAAAGTGTGAGTATTCGCGATCGGGAGCCGGACCCAAAGCTTTCCATCGGGGACTACTGGAGGACATATAGTGAGTCCGCATCGGCCTAATGGGGACCAGGCAAAAACCATAGACGTCCCAATGTATCTTGGTCGATATTCATGGGCTCTGACACCGCGAGTTTAAGGTACTAAGCACAAGGTGAAAGCATAGCCTCCTTCTCCCTTCCCTTCTTTGTCTCTCTTTTCTTCTCTTTCGTTTCTTCCTTTCGTTCCTTTCTTTTCCCCTTTGTCTTCCAATTTTCCTTTATCTTCCACTATCATTTTTATTACCTATTCTATTCAGGGAAATATGCTGGGGGTGTTGAGGATGTATCATCCAAATATATATTTGTCAGGCCGGAGATAATCTCTTTTTCTCCAAACAAAGCTTCAGGTAAAAGTCTCGGACACCCTCATTATTGCTTCTACTCTTTTGATGACAAGACTAGCTCCTCCATGAAGAGCAACCCGTCACGCAAGGCATGTAAATATGCCCCAAAACGCTTTTTTGGTCGAATGGTTGTACTACCAGGTAATTCAGGTGCACCACCCGACCCTTAGGACACTAGAAACCTCTGTAGCTTCTACTCCACTGGTCCTTCTAAGTGAGTAATACAATCGAGTGAGTCAAATTTTGCATTATCAGCAAAGAAGGAGGCACTAACAATAATATTCAATGAAGTAGTGGATGAATACAAGTTATCAATCAATCTTGATGCCACCCAATTACCCATTTGGCACTTGGTGGATGACAATTCCGAGGCCAATAGTGATATATTAAGTATATATACCCAAGTACCCACATCATTATTACAATATTCTCACAATATACAATACCAACTCATGGAAGCCAAATGTGCCACCTAACTATTTACACGTACATTTAACGCCACGGTAAGGTCAATAATGTGATCGCCCAGATACACCCGTCTGCGTCTTCTCCAGCTCAAGGTGGACATCTGTCGTGACTCGAATACCCATGTCTGCGTCCCCATTCTGCTTTGCGCCCGAGGGTGAAATGATTTCCTCTTGGCTCTCACCCGAGGAGGGCTTGCCCTTGTGCTTTCTCCATCCCGCGGAAGGGCCCATCTCGTAAGGGGTTTGATCATGGGTGGAGACAAGGGTGTTAAAGTTTCCTGTCTTGGAAGAGAATACTTTGCCGTGGGATACTGTGTTTGAGTAACCGTTGCTCGACGTGTTCGTGCGGAACCACCGAAACCGTTTGAAGAGGGGCTTGATCCCTGGGGCGCAGACGATGATGACCGATACGAAGCACTCGCGTGACGCCCATCCCAAGGCGGTCGCGAGGGTGTTAATGTCCGTGACGGAGTAATAGGCTCGGAGAATCGCGCAGATCATGACAAAGATACCGGAACAAAAGAGGGCCACTAGCATTATCTTCTGCGTCGCGGGTATGCGAGCCGCCACGACCAGGGGGACGGGGACACACATGACTGCGAGGTCCGTTCTATTGCAGTAGAGTCAGAGAGAACTGTTTAGTTCAGGAAGGATTGATGCATACAAGATGCTGAGCACTTCGATAACAATGTAGTTCAAGGGTCGGAGGGTGCAGTTGTCTGTGAGTCGGTATTAGTCTCTGATCCAGGACGAGGCGGGGGTTTCTGGGCAAACTGACCCCCGGCGTAGGGCTTTACCTGCCAGTTTTTGTGGATGGGTCGGCACATGGCAAGGTCAAAGATCAATGATACGAGAAAAGTACAAATGCATAGTACTCCAACGATTAACGAAAGGCGATGCTGCCAGAGGCCCATTCTGTGTACATCAGCAACGTCCATTGCCGCATGGATCAGTCAATGCCTTACGTGAGTCGATTGCACAAGAACACCAGAACTCCCTTGAACGCCCAGACTGCTACAATATATGCAATCCAGGCGACGAAACCGCAAACCGAGCCGATTCTATACGATGGTACCTCGTCGTCCGGAATATCACGCGCAGTCTCCGGGGTGAGACCAATATTCGAGCCATAAACATCTGATTGAGAAACGGTGTGTTAGACATGATTCGTAATTGCCAACGTTTCAGATAGAGGATACCTGTGCAAAGATAGAGTGTGATGGTCATCAAAGTCCAGAATACCTATTCTCGCGGCGTCAGAGACCTGGACGGTAAGGATAGGCAGCAGTAGAGAAATCTCACCAGGCCGAGGATCAAGAACACATCATCCCAATACAGCCCTCTCTTGTCAACGAAGCATCGCGAATAGATGCGGATGCCAGCCACAATGATTCCAATGGCCCATTCGGCGAAGAGCTCTGCCGTGAGATTGTAGACCATGCTGAGCAAGACTACCCCAAGGGTTGTATATACCTGGGTTGATTACCAGACACAGTGACAAGATGTTCCCAGAGTGATATATATTTTCCAGCAGAAAATGGTTGACCGAGACAGTTTAAAGTTCCACGGGACACCAATGGAAAGGGTGACCCAGGCTAACGGTACAGAAAGCATACCAACTCTAAGTGAATTAAAAATAGCATAACAGTGGGAGCCGAGGAGAACATTTCCAGCGACGTGAAATGAAAGACCAACCGACAAAAAGAAACGAAACAACAAAATACCAATGACAGGAGCAAGAGCAAAAGCACTGTTGGCGATCTACCAAACAACAGCAGGATCTGTCGTCCCCAAGTCGCCAACCAACAACCAGACGCGTAAAGGCCCATAAAAAGGATCACTGATCTACAGATCATAGTTTAATATACTAGACAGGGGCAAGGTCCCTGCAAATGGGTCAACGATAAGGAGAAGGCGGGATGTGGTGGTATGATTTCCGCAGACGCCGGTGCGTCGCTTGCATCATGGAACAATGGACACACCCGTGGATAAGCCATGTACGAAGGAGCATGTGAAGGCACAGGACCGCTTTTGGCCCCCTCTAGCGTTTCGGGATTGCGCCGCAGCCGCTCCGAATCGGGGTCTGGTGGGGACGAGAGGGGCACTTACAAACATGATGGGGATAGGGCATTGATGGGCCGAAATAGTAGCCACCACTTTGTAGTGGGGCCGGATGGCTCCAAAAACTAACGGACCGGGACAAGTTCCGCACAGTCATAACCGAATCGTGGTAAAGTCACAGTTGGAAAGGGTGCCACTATGACAGGCGGGGAGGGGGCATCAGATACCAAAAAGCTTAGTCTCAACACCGTCCGTTAGCTTGGAGATGCCGATCGGCTTGGCCTGGTCCCACTTCTGTTCTCGATGGCTACCAGGTCTTCCAAACGGTGGTCTTCGTGACCTAAATCCGATGATCGTCGTTGTTCATCGGCCTACTAGGGCGCGAATGGTGGCATCTACACCCCTCCCAGAGGATTCTTAGTACCAGTCCACCCTTATAGAGCGGCACGAGAGGGAGAAACTTGCTGATCATGACAGTTGGGGGTGTGGTGACAGGCCAACGCTACCCCCTGTCAGTTGTATTTATGGATGGTCGACCCCTTGAAATTTGGCCCCCAGTCCCTGTGAGAAGCATACACTTCTTCACTGCCCTTCTTAGTCAAAGCAGATATGGACACACAACAGATCCAGAGCCTTTGGGCCAACACTCAAATATCGCTGGCGGGATTCCAGAAAGATCAGTCAGAAACTTGCCGCAAAGAAGCCCTGGCCCAGATCACCAAGCTTCAACGAGCACTTGAGCAGCCCAAAGATGCCATCTTGAAGCTGTCGTACCAGGTGGGCTTGGAAATTCCCCATGATTGCCATCATGGATCCTGGACACTGACAGACCCTCACTCAAGCCAATGGTCTTCATGGCCTTGAAAGTGGCCCATGACATGAAGGTTTTCCCCGTGCTGGCAAATGCGAAAGCACCCGTATCAGCAAAGCAGTTGGCTGCTGCCAAACCGGCCAACCCTCTGCTTGTTGGTACGTCTGTCCGAGACTTAGTCCGGTGTACCGATACTGTTTCTAATATTGGTGAATGTAGAGCGGATCATGCGCCTCCTGGTGTCTTTTGACATCGTCGAGGAACCCGAACCGAGCGCCTACCTGCCCACGGCAATTGCCAAAGAGATGGTGAACCGACCGGCCATTGGCACAATGGAATCTTTGTATGGACTCCCCATCCCGGCAGCGCCTCTTATAGTGTCCCTAACATGCCACAGGTTTTGCGAATTCCTCCCTATCTTGCAAAAGACTCCCGAATACCTGGCCGCGACGAATTACCAAAACCCCGAAGACCCGCTGCAAGCCCCCCTCCAATACACCCACAATGTTGAGACCGATGGATTCTCCTGGCTGTGCGAGCACCCGGCGGCTCTTACCCGTTTCAACGATTTCATGGAAGGCCAGCGTGCCAGCCGCGTTCACTGGGGCGACTGGTTCCCTGTACAGGAGCGAGTCCTAGCGGGCGCCGACAGCAATCCTGAGCGGGCGCTCGTGGTCGACATTGGTGGTGGTCGCGGTCATGATCTCATGCTGTTCCAAAAGCGGTTTCCCGACGCCCCAGGTAAGCTGGTACTCGAAGATCTCCCATCGGTCATTGATGAGGCAGCTTCCGACCTGGGCGCTTGTGGCATCCACGGTGTCAAGTATGACTTCTTCAAGGAAGCCAACCCGGTCAAAGGTCAGTGAATTGGCCCTAATGACCCCTAATCCGACTTCGCTCCTCTGCCCCTGCTAACCTGCGGTTGAAGGCGCTCGTGTTTATTACTTCAAGTTCGTGTTCCATGACTGGTCCGATGAGAAGGCCCGTGTTTTGCTAGGCCACGTCGTCGATGCCATGGAAGCTGGATACTCCAAGCTTGTGATCGAGGAGTATATCCTGCCAGACCGCAACGCTGAATTCCTGCACGGAACTACCGACATGGCAGTGATGATTTTCTGCTCTGGACTGGAGCGCACCCGCCAGCAGTGGAAGAGTCTCCTGGAGTCGGTGGGTCTCCAGCCTACTTTTTGGACACGTGAGAACGACGGCCTGGGAGTTATCGAGTCCGTGTTGCCGGTTGCCAACGGGACAAACGGGGTAGCCCATTAGATTCTATAGTTTTTAGGCTCGCGAATTCAACCATTTTGCATCAATAGATAGTTTTCATATCCAACTCCAGAGGCAAAAGCAAGACACCGTGCTCGGTGTTTGGGGCGGTTTGCAGTACGGACAGTCACGTCCCATGATTGGTGCCGGTTCAAGTAAAGATGAAGAATCAGATCGATAGCCCCACCTCCGAGCATCTTGCGATGCACCTCCAATCTGGTAATTTATTGTTTAGCCGTTCCAGCGTCGTAGGTAACAGGTTTGCACGTGTGACAGTGGATGGGATGTGTTCGAACGGTTGACGGCCGGTAGCCAGCGAGGTCATGTGGTCGTGCAATCCGAGGCCAGTCCACAACCACAAAATAAAGCTGTTTCATTCATATATCCATGAATGCTCTTGGAGACCATATTTCACTATTGAAGGTTGTAAGACGGCACGAGGGGCGGCTTAACATCAGATGACCGATGCCTTGGCTTGCGGGAGAATAGTGGGTTTGAATTGTATTTATTCGGAGTGACGGTATGCTATATCGAAGGCGATCTAAGGGAGGAGAACAGTAAATACCAGAATGGCGGGAGAAAAGCGGTCAAGATATTGAATATTTGGATGATTTTTGTAATTATGAAAAGGATGCGAATAGTTGCAGTATTCAATATAAGATCTGTGGCAAAAACTTCGCAAGTCAGCTGACATGTTGACCGATTGCATTGTCTAACTCGTTCACAATGTTCGCCTCAAAAGGCGACTCCTTCAAATTAAGCATAGAGAGATGATACACTACGGAGTGGCCCCATCCCATCGAGTATATGGAGAAAAGGGAATGGTTTACTTCTCCACGTCATGCGCGCTTCCCATAACCCTGTCTAGACCTTTATCGGCCAGAGCCCACTCCCTCTCGATCACCTCCATCACCCAGTCACCCCGAGGTCGAAGGTGCACTTGACACTCCGTCGGCACTGTCATGAATCCAACTACGGTCATCTTCCACGGATCTGCCGTGGTGTCCGAAGCGGCCCCAATGTCATACGCCCAGAGCAAGTGAGCCACCTGCATGAAAGCCCCGTCCGTGGCAACCCGTTTCCCCTGACACATCCGTCGACCCTGCCCAAAGACCGGCAAAGGAAGGTCGGCGTGTAATCTTGTCTCTCCGCCTGGGTCCGAGCGCAACCATCGTTCAGGGACAAAATCCTGCACATCGCCCAGAGCCGGGTCAAACACCATCTCATCTCGACCAATCGCCCAGGCGTTGGCCATAATGGCGACGTTCTTTTTGATCGTGACACCCTGATACTCGTCATTGCGGTCCGCCCGGCGGGGGATCGAGCCTGGCGCGATGGGCCGCCAGCGAAGCAATTCCTGCACGATGGCGTCGATCAAAGCTAGGCGCGGACGGTCCGAGAATCGTGGGAGACGGTCGCGCCCAACGACGGAATCGAGGGCCGCACGAGCCTGGGTAAAGACGGCTGGGCGGTGGAGCGCGGCGATGAACAGCCACAGCAGCTGGCGCGGTAAAATCTCCATGCCGCCTTGGACCGATGTGGCCAGGGTGAAGGACAGATCGAGATCGGACACTGGGCTGTCTCTTGTAGCGCATTTTCTTGCGATCGAAAGCCCCTGCTTTGTAGCATTCCAGCCTACTGAGTGGCGGCCGTGGTGGAATAGACGCATATAGAGGTCAACCTGCGTGGCGTAGAGCATATCGGCGAACTTCTTCCACGGGGACATCCAGGCTGGCAGGTGGCGGAGGACGGGGATTAGGTCGGGCAAAGCAGGGTTGGCGGCGAGATGTGTCACCTTGTTTTGAATGTCGACAATCTCATGCAGGATGGGCTCCTGGGCCCGTGGGATTCGTAAACCATAGTGCAGTGCCAAGATGATACTGGACTGGGTACGCTCCAGATAAGGGTAGACGGTATTCGTGCTAATCGGGGTACCCTGGGTGGATCGCCCAGTCAGATTTAAGAGATCGAATAGCAGCTGCTTCGACTCCAATTCCATCAGTGGCTGATACTGCGGGGCGGCCACGGCACCCAAGCTTGGGGCAAGCATGCGGTGGTGGAACTTGAGATGATCATCGTAGTCATGCATCAGGGTGAACCGTGATCGACCTGGCTTTGCGCCCGTAATCATCTCCATTGTCACCGAGGCCGGCCGATTGCTATACCATTGACTGCGCCGGCTAAATAGTTCAGTGACGGCCTCGGCCGAGTTGAGAACGACGATGGGTACGATTCCAAAAAGCCTGCGCAATGCGATAGCACCATTCTGTTCCGCCCAGGCGTCCCAGTTGGCCAACGGCCTGTCGATGGGCGAGTCATGCAGGTCGCCGATGAGGGGCAGTTTCAGAAGAGGCTTCTCCCCTTTTCTCACTCCCAATTTCCCGTTGGTTCTGATGCCAAGGTACAGCGCGAGAAGACCAACAGCCACGGCAAACACGATAGTCATCCTGGCCGCTGGTTCATAAATGGGCTACCTGAAGGTCGTAGACGAGAGTGAAAGGAGGGCGGCAAGGTTTTCATAGTTGACGCTACCAACGCAAGAGGAAATGGCGGACAACGGGACTAGTATATAGAGCATGCGGAGAAGAAAAAAAAAAGCAGAAATGCACCAACAAGTACGCGAGACCAATGGTTGACACTTGAGGCTCTCAGGCTCTGGTGCTAGCCTCCAAAACCATTAGCCCTAACTCTTTCCCCTCACCACACGGACCACCGCTACTCCTTTGAGTTTAGCAGGGCCAAGGAATTGGACGTGCAGAGGCTGACAGAAAACAACTACTCCTACTGTCGCTCCAAACCTCAAGCTTCTCTATTGGCTTTGTCACGCTTCCATGAATCTGGAAGGCTTCCACAAAGAGGCCCAATCGGCCCTTCGCGAACGAGACATGAGTCTCGCACAGAATGGCGGTGCATATCACGTCCATCAAAGAAATACCAGAGGGGGAGTGCTGGAAGGTAGAAATAGGAATGCAAATAATTTGGGGGAAATGAGGCAGGTGTGGAAAAGGAAAAATAAGCACCTGTTTTATTGCAAGGCTCGTTGGGATGGAAATGGGGAACCACGTTCCTTGGATTAAAACTGTTGGTCCTGCATTCCGCCGCCGGCCAAGGAAGAGAGCTTGTATGGCGGTCGTCTTCGCCATCGTAACGGATGTGCAACGGGCGGCACTTACGGTCGCCATTGTCAATAGCACGTTGACCGTTGTCGCGGTATCGCTTCGGTTGCTGGCCCAACTTATTGCCCGGAAGAAGTGGAATATGAGCGACTACTTGCTGATCATGGCCGGCGTAAGCTGAGTATCCCACTGGGGTAGGTCCCTACCGACATCCCACATCTGGTCCTGACAGCGATAGATATCTGCCGTCAGTCTCGAATCCATCTCCGTCATCTTCGTTGTCCCGACCGGCGTGGGGTATGACCATGAAAAGGCGATCATCGCCAAGCATGGCAGAGAACCGATCAACAAATTGTACAAACTGATCGTCCCGATGCAGATCTTTTGGGTTTTTAGCCTCACTGGCACCAACTTCTCCATTTTATTGCTGTATCTCCGTATTTTCCCGGCCAAGGCAGTCGTGCGGATTGTCTGGGGTACCATCGCCCTCGTCGGCACCTGGGCTATAGGAACCATTCTGGCCACACTTCTGGTCTGCCGACCAATGGCATACAACTGAAACCCGGATATTCCTGGTGAAACCTGCGGCCATGAGATCTTGTCCTGCATCGTTTCAGGGTCTATTAACTTATTCACAGATCTGATGGTGGTGGTGATCCCCATGCTGTTGCTATACCAGCCCCAAATATATCGGCCCCAAATGGCAACTTTTAAAAGATGACCTTGATGGCAGTCCTAGGACTCGGATTTGTGTCAGACCACCCAATCGCACGTTTTATTTTCCGACATGGGTATTTTGGCCCAAATCGAGAGACCTAGACCAGTATAGGTCCAGCACGTGTATCATGAGCGTCCTCCGGATCCATATCCTATTCAGCTTGCGGTTCAACGACATCACATTCACCTTGCCGCATGCCAAAATGTTTACCGGACTCGAGCCTTGTCTCGTCATTATCCTATCGTATATTCCACTCCTGTGACCACTCATCCAACGGTCGCCGCAGTCGTTCCAAGCTACGGTGGGCCAAGCTCCCAGATGCCCCGTGCTGTCTAGAGGAGGCCCGACTGCTGCCACTAACAGGCTGGACTCGTTAACGGATGACTCGCACCCACCATGGTTGCGGCAGATGGAGCACAATGTGTATGCAGGAGTGGCATCGCCCCACCCGTATGCGCGGAACGATCTGAGTATTAGAAGCGAAGAATCCCTCGGTAAGAAGCACGCGCAGCATAAAAGTCTCGGTCAGAACCCAGCTGGGGGGATCAGTGTCACCCAAGACTTTGAGGTTATCGAGGAATAGGGACATCACTGTGGCCATATTATCATTCTCATTGTGGTCGCCCCGTCACCTATGTGTTGTATAGTATATGATTTTCGAGGGTCTGTAGGATGACGGGAGAAGAGACGAATGAACATTAGTTCCTCGTCGAACCACATTCCGGCCGGCCATATCAGTAATATCCACACTATTGTTAGCGGCGTATCTGAGATCTGGAGTCCCTTCCTAAAATACTATTTGAAGGTACAAAAGCCAGTACCAGGAATGAAGAATGGCGTTGTTGGTAGGGGCAAATGTGGGACTAATGGGGCATGATAGAAAGATTATAAGATGAACCGATAGATGCGGTGAAATACTTGATGACAATTATTGACCTCGCGGATTGACATATTTGATGTAATGTAGAGATCCTTTGATAGAAGAGTTAAGATTTGGACCGGATGGATGAAAGCTATCCGACTGCCCGGCGATTAGGTGACAGGCCACTCTTCTCGGCTATTGACAGTCACTCAATTCTAGACAACCTAACTGTAACCATCTGTTTACACTGGCCCTGGAATTGGCCACCCGTTTTCCTCTTCAGGATCATATGCAAATTGCAATCTCGATCGATGTTGCATGCCTACGCCGCTTTTCGACTCCAACACAGTCGATGCAGTTCACGAATTTCCTCATCCAGACCCGGTGCGGGCCCCCCGACTAGTATACCCGGTGCTACCTGATTTATCGGGAGCGGCGCAACTGGACCTAGTGATACCCCGGATTCCGTCTTCCATTGTACCAGTTGCTCGGACGAGCTGGCGTATATGATTCTGCCAAGGCCCGCGTATGCATGGGCCGCCGCGCACATCGGGCAGTGCTCGCCAGAGGTATAGACAGTGCTCGTGGCGCGTTCCGTGGGACTGAGATTATCCTGGGCCCATTTGACCAGCGTGAACTCCGGGTGCAGCGTAACGTCTGAATTGGTGACCGTCCGGTTGCGATCTTCCTTGAGGACCTGGCCTGTTGCGTCCACTAGAACTGACCCAAAGGCACCATCCCCCGCTTGAGCCGCTTGACGAGCGAGCTCAATGCAGTGACGCAGGTGTCTAGCATCCGTCTCCGATATCATGATGTTGCCGGTGTTGGAGAACGAGCAGAAATGGGACGTCGTCGGGTGGTGAATCTTTCGAAGACTCTGACCTGCCACGGTCAGACATTCATGATACAATTATACACAACAAAATCGGTACCTTGTATTGTATGGATTACTGTACAGGCAACCAAGTCCCTGGATGGTGTAAAAACTGTTATGGTGGAACATTGCCGGGTTCTTTCTCGCCTGGTAATGAGATGGCTTACCCAGCCACCGAATCTCCTGCGGGGTAACTTCGGTTCGTATATGTCCCTCAAATCTCACTACTTGGTGATGCGGGGGGTTTGGGGAGTTACTAATGCCAACCCCTTCAGAATCAGGATGGTTCATCTAAGATCAATATCGTTGATTATACCCCGAGATGGTGGATGGTGGTACATATATCCTGTGATCTCCAGATGCTAGCATTCGGCTCCTCCAGGCCCAGGTAGAGGTCCAACTGAGATAACCTTCGTCTATATATATCTCGATCCTATCGTCAATTGTTTGCTGCGGTACTCATCTAATCTGTCTAATTCGGTGGCATTCTCCCATCGCTCATCCGTGTTGGACTGTCGCTCGGAGGCACGACTTACTTATTATGCTACAGCCCTATCGCACCTATGTTGGCATTAACCCTTTACACAATATCTTTCTGCTGGAGCTGGATCAAATAACAGAATAAAGCGACGCTTACCTTCCCCCCCCGGCTTACCTTCCCCCCCCGCTCCCCCTAGCATTTACTGGCGTCTTATGAAATCACCAGCCAGTGATCGCAGGCGTCTCGCCACCAACGTTAGTAACCCTCATAAGAATGACCATTATGACGAGGAAGTCCGCCTACTTTCATTGTTGGGATCTCCGAAGTATGTCTAAATCATTTATTGCCACTCTCTTTAAGGTTAACTACAATCCGATTGTGCATCTCGAACCACCAATTGCCTCTCGGTTTGCGTTGAGCCGGATCCACCTCCCGCATCCAAACCACGGAGTCCGGTAAGCCTTGACGACATCGATGATTCACACAAGACCACAATTGGAAATGGAAAAATTGGAATTCTAGAACGCCAAACCCGGTGCCACATGGCACTTCAGCATGGTCACTGTTTCTTATAAAAGGTTGTGGTCGCAGGTCTCAGCTTCGAATTTAAAATCTATATATTCTTCACTCTCATTGTCAACGTACAGTATTTGATTATCTCTCGTCATCATGAAGATCTCCTGGTCCATCATTGCCATCGCTCTCGGTCTTTCCACCACCGTCGTCGCCGGTGGGTGTAAGACCTCCGAGTGCTGCGACAAAGAAGCCAACAAGTGTCGCACGGCTAAGGGCGCCAACCAGGCGTACTGTTCCGCAGAGAAGGCCAAGTGCTATGTTGGGGCAGGACTCAAAGATCCTTTTGGAGGATAAACGGGTGTGAGGTAAGGTAGTTGTATATTCTTCACTGCTTGAAGTAGCTGACTAAATCTTTTAGACAGGGTTCTTTCTTCTCAAATCTAGCTTCTGTGTTCTGTTTATTGATTGATGCCAATGTTGCTCGTTGTCAAATAATCTGCGAATTGTTCATTACATTTCAATTGAAAGTTCTTTACATAACTGGTTGACTGGGATTGTAAAACTGGCGGCATTGTACCCCCGCCTCTTATTTCGTCGCAAGATGGCTATAAGATGGTAGGCACAGAGCTCAGAAGTGTCTACATACCTTCTGTAGCCGAGTGCTCTTTGCCACATATTTTGTGGACCCATCCGCGAGCATTCAAGACTGCAAACCGTCGAGGCGCTCATGCTGTCATGGATCGGCATATGACAACGGCAGGGGTAGGCGATGCCTGGAATAAGTTCTAGACTCACTCGCTACTAGTTACAAGGGTGGGACTAATGATGGATAGATAGTGCATGCGTTCTCTCAAAAGCTGAGTGACATTGGATAGCAAGTGCCATGAGTGTGGGGCTATCTAAGTGAATTTGTTCTTGCAATTCTCTAATCCCGATTCAGCCAGAGAGAACTCTTCAGCATCTACATACAAGCGTCACGGGCCAGTAGTGATTCGCGGGATCCACCATGTCGGGCGGGTGCAGAACAGCTGGGCCATATGATTTAAGCTGTGTACGTTAGCTAGGTTATATCACAGCAGTCCATCACCGGGACCCCGAGGTCGATTGCACGAAGCTGGACTGGACTAGGATCGTTGATGCCGTCGAGTCTGCCTTGTGGATGTTCCCACTTCCCGCGACATGGTTCGTCAGCCCGATCTCGTCATCCCCCAGTCGTTGGCGGCCATCGAAATGTGGCGCCCGATTGCCGAACACGGAGCTCCGCTGGGGACCCCGCCAGGGACCCGACGAACCGTACGACTTAGACCCGGTCTTATCCCGACTGGATAGCACGTTCTGGTGTATCATCCTCAAGAAGGGCGCGAGGTGCGGCAGGCAGGCGCAGATGATGGCGACCGAGGGCTCGATGGTACTCCAGATGAAGACGGGGCCCATGAGCCAGGTGATGTCGAGGGCGGCCATGAACACGGAGAGATACCAGATGCGGACAATACTGGCTACGCAGGCGCTGGAATAAATATCGGCATCAGCTCTGCCTCTTGTTTGGAGGGCGGGTTGACTTACAAGATACCCACCGCCATGATCGCGCTAATGGCCACCTTCTTCCGATTCGTCATCTGCAGCTTCAGAATGCGCGGGATCGGAATGAGCAACACGATAAAGTCGTTGAACATGTTGATTATTCCCAGGGCCAGGAAGAAGGTGTTGACATCGATGCATGTACCCTTCTCCCCAATGAACTGGTTCCAGTAAAAGGAGAGCGGCCTGCAGCAATTTCCCATAGTGATCCAGATGATGATCGGGTAGGAGATAGTCAGAAAGAAGCCGAAGGCAATGGCGTATCGGGAATACCGGTCCAATGGAGTGAATATTCGGATGTAGAAGCAGAGAATGGAAACTTTGGTCGAGGCACATGCAGCGGCATAGACAAATGTATAGGAGTGGAGGATCTAGATAACCCCGTCAGCGAATGTAACCCGTGGAGATGCAAGTCTCATCGACTAACCCGGAAAATCTGCGAAATGTTGGGCAACGAGAGAGACCAGAGGTGCGCTCCTGCCCCCAGGGTACCACCTAAGCCCGTCAGCCTCCCACTCGTCATCGTCAGGTATGAGAACATGAGACCGCTTACCAACGATGCTCAGACCTGCCGTCGCACCTATACAAAGCTGCACCAAACTTAGCATCTTGAGCCGGGTCCACAATCGGATCAATGGGGATCATACCAGAGCGATGACAATAACCCAGTCATCGGCCATCAACGCATTCCCCAAGGTAACTCGAGCCGTGAAGCGCAGAAACACCGCCACGGCGGCCAGACAGACCATCGCAATGACCGCCCCATTGTTTCTAGACACTTCACTTTCCGACAAATCGAGCCCCGGTGGTGGTGGCCCGAACACTTTGATAATACCTGGATCAATTCCCATTGCGCTCACTTCCCACCTAATTGTAAGCAGTGGTCATGGAAGAGAACGAAAGGAAAGAAATCACCACCAGCACAGTGCAATCAGAACCGGGGGTGTCCATCCCGGAGATTTTATTTCGGAACATCCTACCCAGTACGCAACCCCGAATCCTGCACGACTAACATGTTTTTCTGGTATATTCTCACCCCCCTGCACCTGTCGAACATGTCAGGAGCCAGCCGCTACGGACCCGAGAAATCCTGGATTGGGAGCTGACACTCCGCAGGATCAGACTAAAAACACGCCAGCGAGTCCATCTCCCACGCTAGGGACGGGGAAGGTTGACTACGCCCGAGTGCAGACTAGTCCTAACACCTCTCATGTCGATCTCCTCAACGGCGGGCCATCCACTTTTCACCAAAACCGGCCCGATCTGGCTTGGCGTGTGATGGGGCTTGCTCTAGTTGGTGGGGCAGGGAGTCAAGTCAAGTCGACATTGGATGAGGGGTCGATAGACAACTTTCTAGATATAACAGGGGTTGGTTGACCGGTCAGGTCCTTGATTTGCCATTCCGAACCTGTCATTTTCCTTCATCGCGCCACGCAATCGACGATTTCCGGGGAAGAAAGAAAACCGAGCCCATCCCGAAAAGCACGAACAAGAAAGCCCGGGCGTTTCAGAACGAAACAGCGATGGGTTCAATCGGAGAGGTCCCCGCCCTTACCGCTCTCGAGCGTATCGGCCCTAAGGGCTATCTTCGATATGTCTTCCCTTTCCGGCTGGCCGACGACTACCAGATCGACGAGGTAGCCAGAGTTCTCCGGACGGGTTATCAGGCCCTGGAGCAGCGGTTACCTGTGGTTGGCTGCGAGCTCATCCCTGACGAAGACGTTAAGCAGGGTGGAGTGGTGAAGCTGCAGCGGCTGACCGATCCAAATGTCGGGGGCGTCGCGGTCAAGGATCTGCGCGAGACCTATCCATCCAGCTACGCAGATCTCAAAGCGAGAGGATTCCCCGTCGCCGAATTTGATGGCGAGGAGCTCTGTCGGCGTTCAGTATGGCCTTCTGCTGGCGAGAGATTGCCGACCAGTCTCGTCCAGCTCAACTTCATCGAGGGCGGCCTGATCCTCACCTGGTGCATCATGCACCTGGTCGGAGACGGCACCTCGTTCTACACTTGGACTAAGATTTGGGCTGAAGAATGTCGTCGGGCTCAAGGGATCCCCATACATGAGCTGGCGGACCTCCCCCCGGCCATCTGGACAGACCGGGAACTCGTGATGAAGCCGTCTGGCCGCAACACGGGGTTGCCTGAGAACCATCCCGAGTACACCATCCTCCCCTTCACCCCGCCCGGGGCACCGCCAAAGATGCTTTCGCCAAATCACTGTGCCCAGGTCTTCTACTTCTCGCCCCAGGCCCTCGTCGCCCTCAAGGCGGAGGCGTCGCCGGCGCATGCCACCCAGCCCTCGGATCAGGAATGGATTTCAACCAACGATGCCCTGTCCGCCCTCCTATGGCGCACGGTCATGAACGTGCAGTCTCCGCTCGCGACCCTGGAGGGTGATCCTACTTCTGTCTTCAACGTGGCCATCGACGGGCGCCGGCGAACGTCGCCACCCGTGCACCCCGAGACCCTAGGCTGCTTCCTCGGGTACATCGCGGTGACTATGTCGATTCGGCGCATGCTGGGGGAGCTGAGTCTCGCCGATCTAGCCATCCTCATTCGCCAGGCTATTCAACGCGCCGATGGCCAGTACGTGGATGACGTGGCGATGCTGGCCGAGAAGCTCGAGGACGTCAACCGGCTGGTGCCTACGGCCTTTCTCGACGTCCCCGGGTACAACTGTGTGCTCACCAGCTGGACGGGATTCTCGATGTACGATGTGGAGTGGGGGGCCATGTTAGGGAAAATTGAGGCGGTTCGGGTGCCAGCGATTGGGGTGATTAATGGGTGCCAGGTGGTGTTCCCGCCGCTGCCCGATGGAGGCATCGAAATTCTCGTTGGCGTGGAGAACAGCTGCGTGGACCGGTTGTTAGCTGATCCATTGTGGACTAAATATGCCGTGGCTCGGTAAACACCATGGCCTTTGCCCAGTTCTTACAGTGTTCCTGTACATACGCTGTCGCACGTCGGAGTTTGATGCTGTCAAAGCCCATCAGCCCTTATTCCTACGATATATATTACAAGCGGCAGTCCAATAGGTTATTAGCCCAGTCACTCATAACTAGGCAATTGACCATATTATGCGAACCCTATTATAATCCTGGTAGTGTAATATAGGGCTGTCTCACCTTGGGAGTGGCCCCGCATTGGGACCATGGCTCAACGGCTGACGTAGTAGGGCTTTTCTACATGGCCCGTGTGGTCCCTGTCTTAAAAAAAAAAATGGATCAAAAGTATTTTTCGTGCGTCTCCCCTACGCCAGTCCTTCACCTAACAGAATATGTAATTATCCACTTTGATTCAGGGGGGCATCCGAAATGGTCTTTCGACACCCGTCTGCGCAGTTAGACATGTTATATGGCCAACCATGCGGTCTTGTGTTAAATCCGACCGTGCCATCTTTGTGTGGCCCCCATGCGTTGACCCTTATTGCAAGGAATGGTTTGGGGGCCAAAACCGATCGCGTGGTTGACATATTGCGTCGGGGAAACAGGACGCCGATCGTCATACCTTCGTTCGGGCGGGATAAAAATAACCAAGCAAAGTTGACGAGACGCAGGGATCGGTCTAGTCGTCGTACTGCCCGGGTATACGGCTTCATGTGTTGAATTGCAGTCTATCTGGCGCACCACCTTCTTCTCCCTCGTTGAGGGTGGCCCAAATGGACGCCGGACTATTCCATGCCCACTGTACCCGATGCGGTCTGGACCGTCGCGAGTGACCATCCCCAGTTCCTAGACATATTATACTGATGTTCGGCATTCCCCTATGGATGGCTGATGAAAGCCACTATGGTACGATACTCGCTGTTATTGGGTGGTGTCAATAGCAATGAATGGGTAGTCACTCATATAATGCGATCGAAAGTATTCAGGTGCCGGATCGGACCAAGGTTTGGTCGAGGACAATCATGGATTCTCGACAAACAGTGATATTACCTCACTGGCATCCGAGTAAGATTCAATGAACTTTCAGAGGGTGTAGACTATCACAATAGTATGCCGAGCCAAAATACCAGAACCAGTAGCCTGGAATACAGGGCTGTTGTGCCAACATCCCAGCCGTAGATGCAGGGTTGAAAGGCCATGGGTTTGATATAGACAGGTCACTTCTTAGTAATGCGACACATCTTACATGTCATATCTACATGTCCAGATTATCCTTGACCATCTTTATATGACATATATCATTGATCCCAGCCGTGACACCGTTTGATGTGTACAGATGATAGTTCGAAACTTAAAACTCATGCCAGGAACCCATGCCTTAACTATTTGAGGTTGCATGACTGCCTACTCCACAGGTATCAATCCTGCGTGGACATTACATAATGATAGTTACTGCAATCAGTTTGCATATATTTCATCGGGTCACTTTTGTTTTTGATTCTTCCTAGTTTTTACAGCCTATGCCACGGCTTAGCCAGAGCGCAAGCATCATCAAAGTCATTACTACCTACTTTCACTATTTGCGTCTGTATTCTCCCAGAGTTTGGAAAACTAAAGGAATATATAAAATACACAATGTACTAGATACTTTTAATACTAGTGGAATTGGCTGGGATAATATGAGTGGCACGGTGGGTTGAACCTCTCTTGGTTAAATTGAATTTCATCTAAGATATATATCCGAGCACGGTTATCCTGCATCCACAGCCAATGTGATATTGGCTCCTCATGACATCACGTACGAGGGAATATGACAAATTCTATGCATATTACTTATCTCTGCTTGTCTGCCGTCTTTGTCTATTTCTGATCAATGGCTAGCATAGATCTAATGTGGCATGTGATGGTGTGCAAAAAGAGACGGTTAATTGGTACCCCGCGTCAAGGATGCTATGATTGTTCCAATGGTTATTGAACTGTGGAGCTACTTGATGTTTTATATATCTATCCATATGTTTGTTTTGTTTTCATGTTCTCGTTGGAGGATTTGCGGCAAAGATTTGGGTTATGCGCAGCGTCGAACCTCCTTTTTCGCGCTCTGAAGTTCCCACTCCACCAGAGTGACAGTTCAAACCGGACCGAGCCCCGGACCGCGGGTTGCCGTTACCAAGACGGCCTGTTACTCCATAACTCACCAAATCCACAACGGTCCACACTCCATAGTCTCCCGGGTCGACCCGACGAATTCCAAATACCAAATTCCAAATTCCTGCCTTGCCAGCCCACTCCCCCGCGAGGCAACTACCAAAACCCACAGGCCCGCTCCCCCAGGGGTGTGTCACAGACAACGCAAGGACACCTCAGTCCACTGGGACTTGAGGAACAAATATGTAGGAACAAACATGTATACATAATATGAATAAGTTTTATGATATCCAACTGAAGAGAAACAGAAATGCAAATAAATACGGAGTTCTCAAAGTTGACTCGGTAGGCCAAAATATCACTGTAATTACAGGGTTGGGCACTAGAGATAGCACGACTTCTGTGCGTTTTATTTATCTGGTGATTACATCCGTTTTACTCTACGTCGACCATCTACAGCATAGTGGCTATCAGAGATGCGGTCTGAAGCATTACACCCGCGACCTGGTAGACCTAATGAAAATATACACTTCGGATATACTAGACCGGCAACCAATATCAATATGGGTTGAAGTGCGGCGAATGCTTATATATAGATTGATACCAGGAAGAAGCAACTCCCCATCATCCCTGGGAGCCATAGCTTGCCGCGCAGCGTCGACGCGGGCCTCTAATTCCCACTATTTCCGACAGCCGCGTCATTTTTATACATGGCTCTGAACTACTGGTCCCTCATCCCCGCATTGGGAGACTCATCGGCGTACTCGGTCGTCACATTCCAGTGGACCTCCTTGATGATCTGTGACTGGGTGCCACCGCCGTCAGCCAATTCGACATCATCCTACAGTAGGGTAAGTCCAGATTTGCGCCGAGCCCGTGACCGGGAGGTGCTATCATCCTGGTATCCGCCCCCGGTGAAGTAGCGTAGACCTTGGGTGCTCCCTTCGCCGATGAACCTGGGGGCATAGCGGCGGCAGAACTGGCGGAGGAAAGGAAGGCAGTTGCAGATGATAATGAAGTTGGGTTCAACGTTGCTAAAGGGGGGCAGCAGGTAGAACCACGCCTTAGGATAGCCGAAAGGCGTCACACATCCAGAGATCTGTCAGGCAATCCTATATATGGGATCGGCAGACTGGAGGAACGGGAACAAGGTAACGAGACGGATGACACTGAGGTTCGTTCTCCGAGAGTTGCATTGATCGTTGCCGCCGTCGATATATTAGGGTTATGTGCAGGGAGGCTGGTGCACATTTGATAGCGATCGGCACTGTAGTCTGGTCTGGCGATGCAGCTTGGGAGATGAATGAAAACGTCACGCTCATCTGTAGATGAATTGTTGAATAGGTTTTGGGGCTACTAGGAAGGCTATGACCCTTGATTCGAGAGGAGCTTACGTAGTACACATCGACCAAAGGACCGGGTGCTCCAAGTAGTTGAGTATTGATATATCCGACTGATACTATGAGAATGGTACAAGAATCTAAATAGAGAGAAAATGCTGTGCCTCACGCCTGGGTGATCTTGAAACCTCCAGGCACTTGTGTCTGGAAAACGCCATCAGGGTCGTAGGTCTCGGCCACCTTCTTAATGTACTCCAGGTTTTCCTGTCCATAACCACGGAGAGGGTTCTGGGTGCGATCCGCGTAGTTGAGGTATACGTACTCGTTGAACTTTCCCTCGGATTTGGCATACTCATTGAGCTCTTTCAGTGCGTCGATGCCGGTCTGTCGAAACAGCTTGTCATCTGCCGCGCCGCTCCAGGAGTAGTCGTACAAAACCTCTGCAGGGGCAAAAGAATTAGGCTGCGAGGAACGGGGCATCGGGGGGAAAGAAGGAAGCCTAGTTGGGGTACGTACGGAAGAGGTTCTCGTCATTTTGTTCCAATCCCAGGACGTTGCTGCCCTTCTTTACGCTCTGCTCCCAGAAGATTTTCGGCCACGGTTGAAACATAGCGTAAATAGTCCAGTCTTTGCTCTTGGCTTGGGATTTGAGCACATCGATCTTGGAGTCATGGATCTTGACGGCTCTGGCGAGGACCTTTGCATCGTTCGCGTACGTGCCAGTAAGGAAGACATCCCTAATCATGTAATGATGAGCTAGAATCGCTTTTGCAAAACCCGTCAAACATACCGGTAACCATCAGGCTGACCGATTTCGGCCGTCAGGTTGGCCATGGTCGCCAACCGCATGGTGTCGGAGACATTCTTAACCTGGTAGAAGTCATGGAATGCGGGAGGATGCGGTTCCGCTTTGGTGTATTCCAGAGCGGATGCCACGGTGTTTTGCTTGGTGGCCGTGCTATACTGCCACATTCCGATATACGAGGCATAAGGGTCCTCGTGGAGGTGGTCCACGAAGTTGACGAATGCATCCACCAGCTGCGGCGTGGTGGAATTCTCGTGGGCGACAAGACCACCCCAGAGCTTGTCTTGAGGAATGATCTTCAAGTCATACTTGGTGACAATGCCAAAGTTCCCAGTGCCGCCCTTCAGCGCCTTGAAAAGGTCGGTGTTTGTCTGTCGGCTGGCGTTCACCACTCCTCCACTCGCGAGGACCACCTCGAAGTTCTCCACATTATCGGTGGCAAACCCAACACGCGCGGTGTGAAAGGTGTTACCGCCTGTTATTGCTGTTAGTCTATAGGAACTTGCTACGAAATTGTGAATCCACGACTGTACCTCCGAGCAAGAACCCGCCAACACCAACCGGAGCCGTGCGGCCACCCGGGACCGTCACCCCAAAAGGCTCCAGAGCCTTGTAAACATCCCCCCACCGCGCACCGGGATGGATAGAGGCAGTTTCGGCCCCCTTATGGTAGGTGGTGCTGTTGAGATTTGACAGATCGATGGTGACACCATCCTCGATGTTGTTGGCGCCGGGCCATGTGGTGTGGCCTCCGCTGCGGACGGCGAACTTACACTCGCTCGTAATCGAGTTGGCTAGAATCTGGACGGCAGTTGACACCTCGTCGGTTGAAACCGGCTGGACAATGCAGTTGGGCTCTAGTTGTACGTTCACCGCCCAGTAGGAGTCCACCGATTCCTTGTAGGACTTCGCGTGGGGCAGGACCACTCGGTCACCGATCTTGCTGCAAAGGAGAGCATCGCACTGTTGCCAGCAGTAAAGATGTTAGCAAATGGTCTGTTTCCACATCCCAGATGCCACATGCCGGGGACTCTAATTTATTTAAACATACACAGGGATCCACACTGCGGGCAGACAGGTTCGCTTGGCAGTATTCCACCAGTGTGCCAAGCAGCACCGCGGCCACCGTAGACGTGAGCCTCATAATTCTAGATCTGGCAATATCTCACGTTTTGAATATAGAGACAAAGAAGTTGGTAGATAGAATAGATCTCGGCTCGGTGGGTTCTTGTATTTGTGTTCAAGTGACCATCAAACCCCGATTGGGGCCGAACAACAACCTAGACGAGTCATTCTGGCCGCGGCAAGGAGACCGCAGGGGAAATGCACTGATTTGAAAGATTTTATGCCCCGGCAATTCGTCTACGAGGCAGCGACAAAGGGAAATAGTGGGTCCTACAGCTGAAAACTGGTTGGGAAAAGAATTGTCGATCATGATGCCATCGAGGAAATCAGGCCAAAAGAGGAAACTTTGTTCGAGCACCAGAAGATAGCCCCTGCATTAGTTGTCTTAGACCTAGCTATAGTTTGGAGGACAAATACTTTACCAGGAGACACGAGCATAAGACATCGGTTAGGTTAGCGTAGTAGCAGAATCGCCAGAGAACACTTGTACAATGCATCAATATCACCAATCAAGATACCACTCACGGTAGTTGACAGTAGTAGTCTATCGGAGGGATTTTCCACCTGCCGACTAGTGTTACCTGTTATCAATCTTGCTCACCCTAGCCGTACTTCTTTGGGGGTATTTGTCTTAATTCAACACATGTGGCGTCCCACATGGGGGAATTTACCCACAGCTTGCCTTCCAGGGAGCTAGAGTCTGGGTCGGATAAGAACATGATAGTCCGTCAAGCCAAACACATGAAAACGACAGTCCCGCCATATCTAATGACAGACCCGGCATACCTGGCCCCCCATCAATGCTAGAACAGACTTGGTGACACCTCTTGAAGAGAACCTGTCCGCCAATACTGGATTCACAGCTGATACAATCCCTACATTCTGTCCGGTGATCTTTATGCGCCCATTGCACTATTCCTTGGAAGTAGGAACATCCTTCGGCTTTTGAGCCATTTCCACCCCTGCCTCGCGGAGAACTAGGCTTTGATTCAAAAGCGTGTTAATCACAACATCATCATTATGATTCCAATGGAGTGTAACTGTGATGTTCTGAATAAGTTTTCGACTTCTCCCTGTTGAAGATTGTATAAGAGGGGTTTTTGAATAACCATTCTCTGTGGTAAAACCATACATGCACATTTCATCTAAGTCAGTGCGCGGAGAGAATTGACTCTCACTCTGGCCGATCACACCAATATGGCCGATTTTGGCCGATAAAAGCAGCCTATCCACCTAGTGTTGGTATCACCAGAACTTGGGAAATATCCATTAATGGGAAAGAGGCCCTTTAGCCCCTCTACGGAGTTTGGTAATTCGGGGAATATGGGGAAGTTGTGTAAAGGGGGTAACATCAAGCCAATGATATTACTTTCTTTCACGCTTGCTTTCCGTCTCCCGGTTAATTTTTGATTGAGCTCCTTTCTGAATTGTATGCAACATGGTTGATTTATCTGGTCAGCAAAAGCCATAATGCTTTCAAATCGATACCCTATCTCCTACAGGTAGCCCTAAGGACTATCATCCAGCGGAGAGTCGAAACATGATCTCTCGAATAGATCGTCGTCTCCTTCTGATATGTGGCCTTATAACCAGCGTGAGCCATATTGACCGCACCAATGTATCTAATGCTGCCATTGCTGGTATGAATGTGGATATCCATTTAGACTAAGGTACCCGTTACTCCATTGTATTGCTGGTATCCTTTGTGACATACACGCTGGCCCAAATACTATCCAATGCCATTGTGAGACGAATTGGAACACGATGGTTGATATCGTCGTTGATTCTTGCCTGGGTCATTATGACCATCGGTTTTGGCTTTACGACGTCCTGGAAGCAGATGGTCGCGGTATGACTTTTCTTGGGACTCCCCAAGGGGTTCGTTTCCCAGCATTGTCTTTCTCATGTCGACGTGGTACGTGCGGTATGAGCTGTAGAAGTGACATATGGGATACTACTTGCTAGGGATAACGGCATCTGCGTTCTCCGAAATACTTGCGTATGGTCTCTCACAGATGAAAGGTGTTGGGGGACTTGAAGGCTGGCATTGGATCTTCATTTTGGAGGGCATTCTCACTTACCTTGTGGCAGTATTGGCATTCTGATTTTTGCTTAAACTCCCTGACAGAGAACCATTATCTCAACCCTGATGAGGCCGACTAGGTGACATTCAGTGCCAGTTTAATCTGCAACGACTGACCGAAGACCGCAGCCGTTCCAGCCTTGACCCTTTTTCATGAATAGCCCTCCTTTCTTCAGCTTTCGAGCCCAAGACATAGACGTTTGCGGTTCTCTCCTGGCCGCAACAGAAGTGGCATACTTCATGACGTACTTTTCCCCCATAATCTTGCACCAGGGCATGAGGTTAAATGTAGCGGCCTCGTACTGCTTAGTTGCGCCTTCATACGCGTTTGCCGCTATTTACATGTTCGAAGGCGCTTGGACGGGCGATAGGTACCACATCAGGGGATCGATCATCATAGTGAACTCCATCTTTGCCATTATTGGCCTCGCGGTGATGGGCTATGCTGCATCCCCGGGAGCCCAACATGTCAGTGTCTTCTTCGTTGCGGCAGATGTTAATGCCAGCATCACGGCATTCATGATATATCAAGCAAGTAATATACGGGGCCAGTGGAATCGGGCCTTTGCCAGTGCATCTTTAATTGGGCATGGTGGTCTTAAAGGGATCGTCGGTCGAATTGTTTTTTCAGTCAAGTCCTGCTCCATGCCATATCCCTGGTATTTGGATGTCCATGGGGCTAATTTTGCTAGTCCTATTTGTTGTATTACTCTTAAATGTCTATTTTCTTATTCAAAATCGGCGGGAAGAGAGACAGGGCGTTATCTTGGAAGGGCTCGAGGAATTTTGTTATATTATCTAACATAGATTTGCGTGGATGTTCGGTTGAACGCAATAACTTCTGTGTTGCCATAGCTTGCTACAGGCATGATAACACTCTTGGTGATCTGCATTTCCTGTCCCCGTACGTCAAGTAGTAATGTTATATCCTTCCTCCCATTATTCCAGTCTCCAGCTTCCGTCTAATAGGTATATTCCAGGTAATGGTATTACTCACAAACATGATGTAGAAACTCATGCTGTAATCTGTATATCATCTGATAGAGCTTTTTCTCTTTAGACAGGAATATCTCTTTCTGATATTTTACTAGTGTTATAATAGTTATCAGAATATATTAAAGTAGAGTGGGATAACCACACTGCGAAATCTGCACCAAACCACACTGAATGCAATTTTAATTATATCAATCATTACTTTCATATTAATATGTTAAAATATACTCAAATAACTCACAAAAAATGTTTAAATCAAGCTAATTCTAGCTTGGTTTTACAGATCGAGAATCTGCAACCTAGCTCGCACTATTCAGGGATCTGAAACCGCTGCGGATTCTGACCCCCTGCCACCGAACGCACACTACTGCTGGTTTGGTGCGGTTGGAGGGGTGTGGTGCGGATTTCATGGCGTGATTGTGCCACCCTAGACCACTCCAATAGCTCCTATTCCTGAAGAAGCTGGCAGATATTCATGCTAGTAGCTCTGCATTGGCTGGACCTCTAGGCTTTATATTATTGAAAGCTAAGATATATTAGGTTGGAAAAAGTGACTGCGAGATATATTTTTAGAGCTTTATTACATTCATCAACTAGCTACAAGACGAGGAATACGGAGAAAACTAGGGGATAGTCATAGGCTAGTGGCCTGCTAAACTATTTTAGAAATTATTCAGTGCCGGATAACAATTCTGCCGGTATAATCGCCCGGCCACTCGGACACAACTCCCGACAGTCGGGATTGCCAACCGAAGAGATTGATATTTTGTCAGCGCGTTTTGCGTAGACGGGTGTTGGGAATTTCGAATAAACAGCTACATCTCACTTGCTCCTACACAATGTTTCATGCGAAAACGATCGGGCGTGTCTCATTCAGGCAGTAGGCATCCCCACCGCCCTGTCTCCATATCGCCACTCATGCTAATCTTGTCGCAGGTCTTACAATGTCATTTTGGGGTATCAAATTCAAAATCAATCATTGAAAACTTTCCGAATGAGCTCTTCTGCGCCTGCTGCCACCGCTACCGACAAAGATTATGTCGCAGCCCAGAAAAGTTACAAGATCGTCCAAGATGTCGGTGGCTTTGCAGAGAATGAAGCCGAACGCCCGGATTTCGACCAAGCGGAGCCTATTCAAGTGACCAAGTCGCCTTTCCCCAGCTGGAAATATGGGGAGGGTGTGCCCGATAATGGGGCGAGTCTCGTTCAAAAACATCATGAAATCGACCCATACGCGCCAGATCGGCCAATGATCAACAACTATCGCCTGCTGGTCTCGGGCATCGCGCCTCGACCGATCGGCTTCCTAAGCACTGTCAATCCCGAAGGACAGAAGAATCTCTCCCCCTTTAGCTATTTCCAAGTCATCGATCATGACCCACCAATGTTCATTGTGGGGTTCTCATCGCGTCCCGGACGTGTCAAGGATACATTTCACAACTTGAAAGAGACTGGAGAATGTGTTATTAACACTGTCTCTGAGAATATGATTGAGGCTGTCAATGCCAGTTCTATTGATGCCCCATATGGAGTATCGGAGTGGGAGGTCTCGGGTCTCCACGAAGCGCCGTCAACAACAGTGAAGCCTTCGCGCGTTGAGGAGTCTGTCTTCAACATCGAGGGCAAGGTGATCGATATTAAAGAATTCACCGATCATCAACAGCCTGGAATGAGCATTGCTGCTACTGTTCTCATTAAGGCCACTCGTTTCTGGGTCAAGGAGGGCACCGCTAATGCGGATTACAGCCACATCGACCTGGAAAAACTGCGGCCAGTTGGACAACTTGGCGGCATTTCCTACAGCCGTGTCCTGTCAACCTTCGAACGGCCACGGGGCAAGTGGGCTGACGAAGTCCCCAAGAGTGAGTTGTTGGCCAAATTGGATGCAGCCAAGCCCAATTAAGTATAATAGTGTTTCAATTGGTGGATATTAGCATTTCTTGCAATTGATTAGATTATGTGGGGAATTGGCCGATTTGGACGTAGAATTGGTGATGTTAAGCTTCTATATCCAGATCCACCCCATTTTAAGGTCTATATAGGCCTAATCCGGACCGAACACTGAGTCGGAGTCTTGGACCCAAAACACAATTTAGCCCGGGTACGGTCCGGGTTGGGCCCGGGTCATATTGGGCTGTTTGGAAGTCTATCCCCGCCGTTGGGTAAGGATTCATTCACTGTACTAGATTGGAGTACCTGCTATTATGTAGAAAATAGATAGTGTATTATGCATAGTAAAAAGGATTCGGTATACTATGTATAATGAGAAGAAAGAAAGGAGTAATATATTCATCCTACTATGAATACGTGGTCAAATAGCCGCCGATGAAAAAGGAGTTTTAGCCCTGTGGCCACTACAGCATGCCGTACCCTAGGTAGCCGAAAATATTGTCAAAACTTGTTATGTTCTTTCCAGCTCAAATACGATTGCCGACACCCAATTTCTCCACTACTAGAACTGACATGCCCTCACGCTGAAGGATCGAAAAACATCTATCTTATTATTTCTACCCTGGGTGCTCTTCTCAACCACACCCCGTAGGATAATTATATCTGAATATGGAGCCATTCAAGCTCTCTCTACCCAACGGCGCCACTGTATCCGGTCGCCACCACTTCCCTAGCAGGGACTCTAAATCATTTCACCTGCAACCTCTAGTTGTGTGCATCCCTGGTGGCAGCTATGATTCTCGCTATTTTGATGTACAGGGTCCTCAATCAATATTCAATTTGTCATGTTGTCTAAACATCCCGGTTATTGCAATCGATCGTCCTGGATACGGAGCGAGCACGCTAATTCCCAACGTTGAAACCGCACCGACCTACGCCCAGGAACAGGGAATTTTCATGAATTTAACAGTCTTGCCGGCCTTGTGGCAAACGTTTGGTGATCGTGCCGCAGCATCAGCGATAGTGCTGTTATCGCATTCAATCGGCGCAATGATTGCAACGATTGCCACTGGGTCTTATACCGGTCTCGAAAGCTATCCACTAGCAGGCCTTATCACATCTGGAATTGGGGCCGAGCTCGTGGAAGGACCAAGGCAAGGCATGATAAATCTACTGGATGAAGGAGCCGAGTTGATTCAGTTCGAAGCTGAGCCTAAAGACGCTATTATGCTGCAACACCCACGTATGAACCTCGCACCGCCGGAGATGCGACAATTTACGGAACCATTGAATCAGCCAGTTCCTCACGGCGAATTACATGATATCAACATAACGTGGCTTGACTATTGGAAGGAGTACTCCACGAAAGTCAAGGTTCCGTTGCTGTACGGATTAGGCGAATTTGACAGTCTCTGGACTTGCTCCCCTGGAACTTTGGATGCGTACAAGAACGCCTTCCCACATAGCCCGAAGGTGACTTGTGAAATGATTCCTATGGCCCCACACTGCATGGAGTTGAGCTTCCAAAGCCGGGCCTGGTATATGAAATGCTTTGCGTTTGCGATGGAGTGTACTATAACAAAACCACTACAGTCTGAATTGCAAACCGACGAGAGACCAGGAAATCACCATCCTCCGACTCAGTACTCTCATTCGTAGGATTAAGGGACAGAAACAAGCTTTCAAAGATAGAACGTTGCTGCAATATTCCTTCGAATCTACATCTATTCCAAAGCTTGAGCCTCACACATCTTACTATACATCCCACCCGTGCTAATCAAATCAGAATGTGATCCCATCTCCACAATCCGACCCTGGTGAAACACACATCCACTCGGCTTTTGCAAACGACTTTCTACAAACGTTCGTGAGCGCAGATTCTGTGCAAGACTGCAGCCTAGAGATGCGCCAGACTCTCGATGCACTTGCTCAAACCGTCGCGACACTCAAAAAGCAGACTGCCTCGGGTGAAATAATTGACTCTCACGTCCCCCCTACTCACCGTCCCCGACTGAAAGGCCTCGAGCTTCCTCCCATTGAGAAAGCTGTTGCCCTGACCCGTCGTGCGAAATGTGAGTACCGGTTTGCGGCTGTGATCGGCACGTATCATATCTAACCCGTCTTTTTCTTAGCCCAGAGCCTCGCTGGTACCGGCTGGATCTATGAATTTATTCAACTGAATCAGTTTCCGGACATGTGCCTTGGTGTCTATTTCTCTGATGATTATTCTGGCGTTGATGTTATATCTGTGAATGCCGGTCTGCACTCTCTGTTCTCGGACTATGCGTTTCAACTGCCCGAGGAGCAACGTGAAGAATACTTCGGCTTTGCGTCTTTATGTCAAGACAACCTAGAAGTCGCGCTAGCTGATCTACCTCTGCATCTGCCTGCAACCCCGAGCGCAATTCTCGCACTTATTTTTGGTGTAAGTATCTCGTCTTGTGATTGGTTCCTGGATCTAATCTGTTTGCAGGCTTTCCACTTCATAGAGCTCTCAAAGCCCTCTATGTCCTGGACATATTCATCAAAGGCGTCCGAGCTATGCCAGACACTCGGCTATCATAAGAGTGTGTCCATGCAGGTTGACTCGCAAGACACCATCCAATACAAACTATTCCTCTTCTGGAGCGTCTACTTTCTTGACAAGAGCTTATCGCTTCGCCTTGGGCGAGCGTCAACTATTCCCGACTGTGAGATAACACTACCTCGGCCTACAGTAAACAGCTTCAGCCATGCACCTGTCATGGCATACTTTCCCTTATGGATTGAATGTGCGCGATGCCAGGGCAACATATACGCGATGCTATACAGCCCCTCCTCACTTGCCCAACCCGACACAGTGCGGCACGATCGAGTGCAAATTCTAGTGAATGACCTTCAAACATTGGAAAAGGCAACTCGCGATACACACGTAAGTCACGAATGGGCCGATCAATGAAAGTGTCTAATATCGCATAGAACCAATGGATTAAAACTGCCAGCCAGACCTCTGGTGAAGACTTGATGAACTTTTTCGCTTTCTCTGACGATGTCCTCCGTCGATCGCTTCTCACGCTGGTTTATCGGGCCGCTCCACCCGCAAAAGAATCCTCCACAACCTTCAGCTTAAACTGCATCAAAGCCGCCGTGGCCACTTTACAGGTACACCACGACTGTATCAATTTGATACGTGTATCTACTTCGCCAAGTATATTCATTGGTAAGGTTGTATCTCCGGACGAAGCCAAGGGCTAATGAAGCCCCCATCCCGCTTCATCTCGTCACGAGGCACTAACGTATTCAATCGCTTCTAAGGACCCTCCTCTTCGCGCCCTTCTCCCCCTTCATCATCATATTCTGCCACGTAATCGAAACCCAAGATGAAACCTACCTATATCACATACATGCCTTCGTCGAATCCATCGAATTAGCACCAACGGTCTCAGATGCTGCTGCTAGGATGTACCGTCTTTTCCTAGTCCTCTACAACGTAGCACTGAGCTACATAGAGTTCCGCAAATCCCAGAAACCAGGCTTGATACCGGCGTGTGCTGAAATGGACGAGTATCTGGTTGCATTGGGACTATCCGCACCTGTTTCAGGTGGCATCCATCAACTGGAATCACAGTCTCTGGGCACAGACCCTATCCAATGGCAGTAATTTTGATTTTGGCATATTTTAATGACCCTATTAAGTAGAGTTGATTACCTTTTTTCATGATTATGATCGGTCATTAAAATATCTTTTTACATATCCTCAAACTCGGAAATATCATATTTGCACTATTTCTTTCAAGGATTAGGAAATCTTCAATTCACAGGTATGTTTCTTATATTTATATATTTTTGGGTTTTTTTCAAGAAGGAAAAACATGTGTAGTTGTGGAAACGTCAATGCGTTCTATATATTTCATCTCTCCTGAACACCGCGTATATCAGGTTAGCATGAGGCAGTCGCTCCTTCTTTCTACAACACTACGCCAGCCACAATGCATCTGGCGGTGAGTGGGTGGCCCCATCCTCCAAACCTCGTGCACAACTTGTATGCCAGTTCTCACGGCCTCGATTCCATACAACTCTACTCGGCTGTACCACTGCCGGAAGCGTTCCTGTTGTCGGGGCTCGAATGCTTCCGTCGCCCCCATGAAGGCGGGCCAGAACAGTGGGGCGGCAAGAATATTGGTCTCTGCTTTGATCTGCTCGATGGCCTCGATGCTGTCCAGAATCGCCTGGACGTACTGCCGAAGGTAGCGGTGATTCATCAGCCTGACGCCCTGGGAAAAGAATATGATGAGCGCGTTTAGAAAGGCCCTCGTCTGGTGATATATGATCGTGGCGCTGACGCCGTCCTTGGACACCTTGTATCGCTGGAGACGCTCGTCGAGCGGCCAGTCCATGATCCTCTGCTCGAGACGATCGCACGTTTGGCCCAGGGCTTCTGGGATAGACGAGGCCTCCGCGATCGTGCGGTGACTATTTAGCTCGTCTATGAATTCGATGGATTCTTTCAACAGAATCAGGAGACTCTGCGGTATCCCGTAGATGCATTCGTAAGACGACATGTGCACAACCGGGCTCTCACTGTCCGGCATCTCTTGTACCATGGGCATTACTGAGGAGGATGTCTCATCGTCGTCGATGATAATGTGCTGCCTTGGAACCGCTGGTTGCGGGCCAAACGCCTCGTGCGAGCCCAATGATGATGAAAACCGAGAAACCCCGCTTCTGGGTTTCCTCACGGCAGTACTTTCGTATATCACTCGCAGGTAAAGGTATATGCGATGGAGAGATTGAGCCTTACGGGAGAAGGTAGATTTGCGAGCACACGTGTGGTTGATGAGCCTTTCAGCGCCGTCCAGATGGACGCCGCAGGTGCTCGTGTCTCCAGACATCACCTAGGAGAACCGGGGGGTTGATATTAATGAGTGATGCGACGGATTTACCTGCGAGGTTGTTTTAACTTACATTAATGGTAACCATAGAAAGCATTGTGGCAAGGAACTCTTTATACTTGGGTTTCTCGTCCGCGTAGAGATCGGTCTCAACAGCGTATTTGAGTAGTCCAATCGCGTCGCACCGGTATTGTGAAGCTATCATGCCCCAGTTCTCGGCCTCGTCGGTTTGATGGCGGGCTCTTTGGTCGTTACATAGGTAGAAGGCACTAATGGACAGCAGCGTCTTCCGCAGTGCGTCGCGAATACGCGTGGTGGTGCCACCGAGGCTCAGCTCCCCCGCGCACTGCAACACTCGGGGCAGGTGGATGGTCTTCCAAGGGCTTTTGGCATTATCAATTACACAGAAAAGGTTGACTACACGGTTCCGATAGTGGCCCATAAGGAGCTGCTCCTGGGAAGGAACCGCCAGATGCTCCAGTGCGTTCGTGGGCCTCGGAAATGTTGGCCCGGGCCCTGTCTTGCTGCAAAGGTTGCTGTTGGTGCCCCCTGGTAGCATGAGGCCTCCAATTCCCCGAGGCGGTGACAGCGCCGCATGGCCCGGAGGGATAGGGTGGTTTGGGACGAGCCCGGGGGTTAACGGGACGGCAGACGGAGCCAACTCCCGGTGTGGGGGTAATGCCAGAGACAACTCTCCCTCGTGCAAATTACAAAGATTCCACGCCGCCTCTGCTTCAGAATTCCCATGTGATGGATCGGAATCCATGAGCACGGATCCGAGATCGAAAGGCAATTCGTATCCACTGTCTGGCTGGAGGGCTTTGGGCATGTCGGGCGCCGTGGTGCCGAGATCACCAAGGGTCGGGCATGGCCCATGCGCAAGACTAAAGACACCAAAGTTCTGGATGCTGGCACTGACATCCTCACTACTCGGATTGATAACCGACTCCAGCGAGTCAAGATAACGAAGAATGCCATCTACTTGGTCCCAGTCTAGACTGGACTGGGGAGGCTCTAACCACACGCGCGTCAACGAGGATGTACGGAAGTTAACCGCACTTAGGGGAGAGATTGCCAAACGATAGGACCGTATCGCCCAGCGAGTTAGACTCACCTACGGGCAGCAGTCGTCGCAAAGAATGACTGATGGAGCCATCAAACAAGGGCTGAGATCGGAGCATATCCTGGCCTGTGGCAGGGGTGAGCCACTGCAGGCGGGCCGAATATCCCTCGCAGCTGAGATTCTTCTCGTAACACTGCCGGCAGGCAGGCCTGCCCTCATCACACTTAATCTTGCGGGCCCGGCAGGTCCAGCACCCCGTAAACGTTTTTGTGCGCTTCCGGGGTTGAGTGGACGCGGACATCAGTCTGATCGGAGGCCTGGGAGCCACCGCGAGTGTGCAAACACCGATCGACTGCAGGTGGAAGCAGCTTGTTCCCCAGGTGGTAAAGTCCGAGCAGAGATGTACTCACCCCCAGCCAGTGGAGTAGGGGGCATAGAAGGGGAATATTACAGAGACCGCCAGAGAAGGCAGCTTAAAGCGTCAGCGGGGCGGTTGGGACGAAATATTCGGGCCGGAGGCAATTCACCCCGCCGTGCGGGGAAGCAGGTCAACTTTGGACCCACAGACCGATTAAGTTTCACTATCCATGATTGACTTACGGCGTCGTGATTATCAGCGGTGGGTTATCGAGATCCTGTGGCCTCCCAGAACTCATGCTCTGCACAAGGCCAAGTCCCGTTCTGTGAGACCGGCCGGCTAGGGTCGTTACAGGAAACCCACTGCGTCGGCGTGGCTTTCCCGTATTGCTCCCTGTCCTCTCCCGGCAAAGTGCGCCCTCGAGGTTGTCTCCCCAAACCATGGTGACGAAGAGTGGTTTCAGCATACTCCATAAAGAATGGTTCATATCTTGTAATACCTGATCGGGCGTGCACTATTAAGAAACTTTTATTGATGTCAGGATCAACATGGACTGTGTCGCGATTGGTGTCGCGATTGTCCTAAAACGGCCCCAAAAAATGTTCATAAGATAAAGATCTTTAACCATCTACATATTGTAAACTTGCGAAGACAAACTTCAAAATACTAAAAAACAAGAAAAAAACAAAGAAATCAACAGGAACAGGCAAAAATCCCACCCTCAACTCGGCAACTCGACAACCACCCATGATGACCACAACCGCGACTACCCAGGCCATCGAGGAGCAGGGTCATTTCATTTCTGCCGTTGCAAAGACGCCCCAGCAAGCTGTCGGCGCCCAGGCCGCGCTGGCTACGGGCGGCTACGAGTTCCCCGGAGTCCCCCAGATCAGCAACCCCTACAAGAAGCGACAGTGGCAGCTCGAGCACATGGCGGGCGCCTTCCGAGTATTTGCACGGAAGGGCTTCACGGAGGGCACCAGTGGCCACATCAGCGTGCGCGACCCTGTCGACCCGTCGACTTTCTGGATCAACCCGTAAGAACCCGCCGCCAACCCATGGTCATGCCCGGTCGAAGGTGACGGTGTCACTAACATCGCTTTAGAATGGGCAGGCACTTTGGCATGCTCAAGTCCAGTGATATGGTGCAGATTAACGAGGAGGGCCAGGTCATCGGGGGCAACAGGACAGCCATCAACGCTGCCGGCTTCATGATCCACAGTGCCATCCACCGGGCGCGACCGGACGTACATGCGGCCTGCCACACCCACTCTCCGGCCGGGAAGGCATGGTCGACCTTTGGACGTCCGCTAGACATCATTAATCAGGACACCTGTAATTTCTGGGGCACCCAGGCCGTCTACAAGGCCTTTGGCGGAGTGGTCCTGGGGGCCGAAGAGGGCGTGCGGATCGCCGAGGCGCTGGGCGACACTGGCCGGGTGATGGTGCTCCAGAATCACGGCCTTTTGACGACGGGCGGCACGGTTGACGAGGCCGCCTATCTGTTCACCTTGATGGAGCGCTCCTGTGAGGTGCAGATCATGGTGGAAAGCACGGGTCTTCCTAAGAACCTAATCGGAGAAACAGAGGCGAAGTTCACTGCCCGGGTGAACGCCGACGCGGTAAGTCCTTAACCTCAAGCCGCCATGCGATGCCATTCGGTGAGAGAAAAATACTGATAATCCGATGTAGGAGACCCTGTACACCGAATTCCAGCCCGACTTGGAATATGAGATTTGGAAGTCGAACGGGGAGCTCTGCAAGGGAGATTAGAGGGATGCGACGAAGATACCTCTCCTGCTCTGGGGTGCAAATCAGAATCAGAACTCTCGTCTTTGCTCTTCATTTGACGTGTGTTCTTGTATCCTCACTTGCATACGCTACGATCATATCCGAGTAACTAGCGCAGCTCGGGCAGTCCGACACCTTACTATCACCGCAATCCGACTGCCGTTTTGCGAAAGAATGACATGATAGATATTTTTATGAGCCAAACATCGTGCCCCGTTGAACCAACCCTCTGATACTTCAACATTTTAGCACATGTTTGGTGACTGGCATTGTAAGATCTAAACGGCTTCTGCTTAGATTCCAGAGCGAAATGGACAAGGCGCCTGGCGTCAACTGTCAGGTTCAGACCAGCTGGCATCGGGGCTTTCTTATCACACCAGTCGCATAGATAACAGCTGTCGCAATATTCATAACGCCCATAACCGTAGAGCCGAGCTGCAGAGCACCCCTCACGATTTTCCCCGACGGAAAGCCGGCGAGGGCGAAAGGTCCCAAATTCCCAATGGGTGTCTCCACTAGCCTCTGTGGGCAGGCGATAGCGACAAACCCGGACCCACCGTCTCTTCTCGGCCTACCGCACTCTCCGCCGTCATCCACAACGAGATACAGTAGCTGGCGACGCCCTAGTTGTGGCGGAAGAAGTTGCTGACTGATAGCGGTCCTCAAAAGAGCTTCAAGTCTCGGTTGTCCCCGTTTCCACATGCCTGGGTTGGTTTCGGTCGCTGGATTCATCCGCCTTTCGTCAACCTCCACCTCACCTGCCTCCCCGTGCAACTCAGTCACGACAATGGCGAACCGGGGAAAGACTCTTGACCCGCAGGTCTTTTGCATCAAAGATCTCGAGCGGCTGGGCTCGGACAGGATGCTCAAGACCTATCGAGGTGAGTGGTGAGCCCGCAGGATGTTGGACTTAGCCGATCGCTGACAGCCGGCTGCTAGAATATTACAATGAAGGCGCCATGGATCTCATCACGTATGTTTTGACTCAATCCCCCACGGTGCCGGAGAGAAACACTGACCTCCGCTCGTGCGCAGATTGCGGGCCAACGAATCCGCCTACAATCGGTACATGATCCGTCCGCGGGTCCTCCGCAACCTGTCCAGCCTGGACACCAGCACGACCATTGTCGGATGCAAGGTAAAGTTCCCGTTTGGATTCTCGCCCACAGCCATGCAAACTCTGGCGCACCCCGTCGGAGAAGAGGGCACATCTAAGGCCTGTGCCGGCTTCAACACGATGATGGGCCTTTCGAACTACTCCACCAAGGGGCTCGAGGGGGTCATCGCCCACGGCCAGGGCAACCCGTACGTGATGCAGATGAGCCTGCTGAAGAACAAAGACGCCATGATCAGACTCATCAAACGAGCCGAGGGTGAGACCGTGCATTGGGATCCCTTGGGGGCTTTTTTTTTCCATTTTTATTTTTCCCTTGTGTGTGCTGACCCACGGCCCCTCAGCTGCCGGTTTCAAGGCGCTGTTCGTCACCCTGGACGTGCCTTACCTGGGTCGACGACTCAACGAGTACCGGAATAACTTTGGCGTGCCAAATGGCATGGAATACCCGAATCTTTTCCCTGGTGTCGATGTGACCAACCTCGAGGACGGTGACGACTCGATGGCTTATGGTGAATAATTCTCCTACCCGTTTCTAGTACGCTCGACATTAACGAGCCCGAAATAGACAATGCGGTCGAATGGACCGACATCATTCCCTTCTTTCGCAAGCACACCAAGATGGAGATCTGGGGCAAAGGAAGTACGTGAAAACCCTCTTCGCTGAAAGTCAGCCCCGGTTCCATGAACCCTCTGGACTGACATCTCTCCTTCCATCCAGTCTATACCGCCCCCGATGCCGAGCTTGCCATCAAGCACGGCTTCGACGGGATCATCATCTCCAACCACGGCGGTCGCCAACTGGACAGTGTGCCCTCCTCCCTCGATGCGCTCCGCGAGATCGCCCCGGTCGCCAAGGGCAAAATCCCCATCGCCGTGGACGGCGGGATCCGCCGGGGCACCGATATCTTCAAGGCTCTCGCTCTTGGTGCCGACTTTTGTCTCGCCGGCCGGCCGGCTATCTGGGGTCTCGCTGTATGTTTGTCCCTCCCATATGACAATTCACGTTTCACTTCGTGATGAGGCGTCTGAAGCTGACAGGCCACAGTATGACGGGCAAAGGGGCGTAGAACTTGCCCTCGGCTTACTTTATGATGAGTTCAAAACGTGCATGGCATTGGCTGGGTAAGACCTCGATCCTCTGGAAGCGCTACCTTCTCTTGCCCGAATCTTTGCTGACAGGACTGCCAGTTGCAAAAACGTATCTGAAATCAGCACGGAGCATATTTCGCTCCTGCAGCCCGATGGCCGCCTGTTGAAACTTTGAATGTGAAAACTACCCTTCTTCGTTTCGTTATGACTAGCTACATCAGCAGTGACAGTATATATTGGGTACTCAGGGACATACATTTAATGATCGTTTGTAGCGTAGCATGTATCATGACATGTCTGCTGCATTTTTCTTCGCAGTAACTCTGTGGAGAATTGTCGATCTTGCTCAGAAATGGCATTTGTGCAAATCAGAAAGAGCCTATCTCGGATCGGGTCCTCACTGGGTAGGAATTGACACTTTGGGGGATTTGACACTCCCCAAGGGAGACCTGTAACTGTTGAGAGCGAGATGGGAAGCTCTAGATGGAAGGAAAGATGAATCACCTCATTATAGAGAAGTATGAAGCTACCTAGATCTGTGGAAAGAGAATAAATTCTCCTTCCTGGTGGGAGATAGGCCTAAATAGGTAGTTGATGCATTGATTGTATCGACAGTGACTAGTCATGGTCGAGATATTAGAGAGCTTTTGCTTTGCAACCTAGGGGAGTATGAACCGCAATGTCCTTGGCTTGGGAAAATTTCTGCCTGGGCTACCGATCACTAGTAAAATGTTATTCCTGGTCGCTGTTGTAAACGCTTTACCCATGGTCAAATCTCCGAGAATCTTCTACTGAAAAGATAGAAAGAGGGTCCGTTACGTGTGACCTTGAACTTCCCATTTATGCCTATTGGTAGGGGTTATCGGCGCTAAACTTTGGCTCCCACAAGCCCTTGCTCTCCTTGACCTTGAGCTGCAAGCCCCGGAGCACGCCGTACACAGTCCGCAGCGTGTGCATCGAGACTCCCTTGTCCTCGCCCTCGCGCAGCGGCTCGCCCACGATGTTCTCAATCTCGATGAAGTTGCCCTTTTCAATGTCCTGGCACATGGATGGCTTGAACGCCGTGTGAAGCGGGTCGGTCCGGATCACGGTCTCGGGCAGGTCATCGGCAAGATCCGTGACGCCGTTGGCCCGTGCGGCGGCAATCACCTCCCGCATGATGGGCCGGATGAGGTCGTCGATGATATGCCCGCTCATCCGCATGCGTGGCGTGTCCAGTCGCAAGATCGTCGCGATCGAGTTATACGACGCGTTGTAGATCAGCTTGCGCCAGCGCGTGCGCCGAATGTCGGCGTCAAAGATGATGTCCAGCTTGCCGTGCGGGTTGTACACGTCGATGTAGCGCTTTGCCGCCTCTTCGGCCGCCTGCGCGGGGACCCCAGGTGTGCTAAAAGGTCCGATCTTCTGTTCGTCGGGGTCATCATGCAGGACGTACCCGTCAGTGCCCTGCATCGCGCCGATGTACGACACGCTGCTGATGATCGGGTTGTTGGGGAAACGTGCGACCACCGGTTTCTCGATGTTGAGACCGTTCTGGGAGAGAACGATGGCGCTCTTACCCGGCGTCACGGCGGGCTCAATCACATCGGAAACAGTGGGCGAGATGTCCGGAATGTTCTTGATCGTCACTAGGATGAAATCGAAGGGGGGCAGGTTCTCCTGTGCCACGTTCGGAACGGCCTTGACAACTGCCACTGTGTCAGCACAAGTAGATCCATCGCAGCGCCGGCCAGATTCCATATACTATGCGTCGGTCTCCATCCCTTGATGCCGTCACCATACTGGACAGAGTCGATGCTGATGCCGTTCTTCAGCACGGCCTCATAATTCGATCGAATGACCGCCGTGACTTCGGCCTTGCCCCCCTGCTGAAGTGCATAGGCGGACATCGTGCCGACACCGCCAGTGCCGACAACCAAAACTCTCGTCTTTTCCTGTGTCATAGTGGAAATCCCGCGGGGATAGCAGTGGTGAGCTGGAGCAACGAAGAAAGAGCGCGCCCGGAGCAGTCGTGCCGATCGCCGCAGGACTTTAAAAGGTGCAATTGGCTTGCCGAGAACAGACGACATGAAAACCCCCGGCGGTGATAACAAACTCCACGCCCACGAGCTTCGTTCTCCGGGCCCCGCCCCACTTCTTTAATACCACAAGAGGGGGAAACAATGGCAAGGGAAGCTGATAGGGCTCGCGCGGCGGTAGAGTCCGTGGCGGTCCACTTTTTCCGGGAATGGCATCTTACGGCGTAATCGCGCTGTCGACTGCTCCTGGTCTAGTGAGTCATCGACCTAGTTTGGTGCATGTTCTGACGTTCCCGCCAGGATCCTGAAGACAACCTTCTCCGTGTCTTTTCTTTTTCTTTTGCTCCTAGAAGCGGAAGATGACGAGAGGAGGGTTCGTTCTAACTAAACCTATGATGACAACGGTCGGAGACAAAAGGAGGGGGGAGAACAAAACATCATCGACGGTTTAATCCATCTCCCGGTAAATGGTTTATTCGCTGTGTAGTCTAATCCAGTAGTGATTAGGGTTTTTCAAGTTTACTGTGATATACTGGGCACAAGTTTGGAACAGCGGAAGACATTTAAGTATTGATATAATTTTTGCGCTCGATATATATTACCAGTGCTCACAGGTGTGAAGTGATACCTGCACTCAACTGCTTGACCACCTCCACGGCGGCTCGCTCTCCGCTGCGAATTGCACCCTCCATGTACCCCTTCCATTCTTCAGCAGTCTCAGTGCCCGCAAAATGCAGGTTGCCCGCGCTTTTGCGCAGCGCATCGGGGCCCAGTGTGTCGAGGACACCGGGGGTGAGCGCAGTGCATGGACAGCCCCAGCCCGACCACTCATCATTCACCCACTCGTATGTACTCATCTGGACAAACTCGTTGTCCAGGTTCAATGCACCAAAAAGCTTGGCAATTTGCTGCAGTAAGGCCTGCTCGCGCTCCTTGGCCGACAGCGCAGCCCAGGCGCGGCCGGGGTCACTCCCCATGAAACATGTCAAGATATACTTGCGATCCTCTGGGATGCAGCTGTCGCGAATCACACTGGCAGGGCCGGTGAACGACTGGGCGAGTCCGCAGAAGCCGGCCTTGACCCAGAATGGCGAACGGAACTCCATCATGGCCTTGGTGTAGTACCCGTAGGTGGTGGACGCAATCCACGCCTGCTTGGCCAGTGGCAGCGGGGGGTGGAATGTGATGGACTTCATGACCGGGCTCGGCACCGTGATGATGACCTTCCGGGCAGCATAGATGGCGCCTCTGGTCTGCACCTTTACGGTCTGGTTAGCATTTTGGATGATCGAGTGAACGGGGCTTGAGAGTCGGACGACGCCTTCTGGCAGCGAGGATGCGAGTCCCAAAGAAAACACTTGAGTACCCTGGCGCACTCGCAGATATTGCCCACCGTGCTTACGGTCGGAGCGCATCTGCAGCAGACCACCTCCAGACTTGCAGTAATTGAGAAAATAGAGAGCCGACAAGTCCTTGGGGTCCTGGCCCAGCATTGCGCGGGTCCAGACAGTCGCAGTATCGATTGCCACCTTGCTAGCTCCCCGCGAGCGTAGGTAGGCCTCGAACGTGATGGAGTCCAGTCTGGTATCCTTCAGTCTCCATGTGTCGAGTTCTTGGCAATCCGCCTCACACATGTCGCGAATGTCGGCTAGATGCGCTTTGGTAGCCTTGTCAAACTGTAAGAGATGTATTAGCTGCGCTCTTCCATCTAGCTCCATGCCACGGTCAAGGGTTGTGATGATTGGCCTTACGTTCGGGGGCTCTCCGTAGGGAAAAGGAGAGCAGTTGCCATCAGCGTCCTGCAAAACTATGTTCCCGTTGGTGTTTTGCTCTATCAATTCGGCCCCATACCGCTGCGCCAGAGCGTAAACCTTGCTCTGGTTGGAGTCGTTAATCCAGGCGGCACCCAGGTCAACCAACCCCTTGCCATCCTTGAGCGGCGTGCTCCAGGTCTTGCCACCAACGCGATCCCGGGCCTCGAGGATGAGACATGACTGACCCGCGCGCAGAATATCGTGGGTAGCAGTAAGACCAGCGAGACCCGCGCCGACGATGATAACGTCGGTCGTCTCTTTTGCAGCAGGCAGAGCAGGGGGGGTGGGAGGCTCGGGCTGGTTGATGACGGCGTCCACCTCGAATAGCCAGGAGGGCACCGCCAGCTTGGGGACCGGCAGAAGGGTGATGGCCGGCCGGTGTCCGCCAAGAAATCGTTGGATGTGACGAGTGTGCTTGCGATTGCCGGCGTCGTAATCAACGATGAAAAGATTGAGCTTGACGATGTCCTCAATGGAGGATCCTGCGGCGATGATGAGCTTTCGCAGGTTCAGCAACGCCAAATGGATCTGCGACTCGTAATCAGCAGGCACTAAGCCATGCTTTGTACTGCCTGGCTGGCCAGCGATATGGATCATCCTGTTAGCCGGGGCAATTGTCGCAGGCGAATAGCAAGCGCTGACAGTGTTGGAAAGATCCACTGTCTCGACGTTGGACCGCATTGTGAGGGAGGAAGGGGGTTGAAGGAGATGACTGAGGAGAGCAAGATCCAGCGCGGTCAATAGCCCTGATGCTATATATGGCGGCGGAGATATGAGCAGGGTAGATATGGCGCAGACCAACGATGTCATTGATCGTGCCATCCAATGATTTCATCCATTATCGTGACCGCTTCTCTGGCGGTACCTTTCGCTGGATTCCACCTGCACCTAGCTCGCGCTCGCTGTGACTTGTCCCCTGTTAGGGCATCCCACCGCCAGCAAGGGCGTCTCGGAAGAGCTTCCCCACTACCACAGCATCGCCCAGCAAATCAGAGGAGATCTATTGCGAGCAAAACTGGGAACTCGCATCACCTTGATGCGCCCGTCTCTGTAGCCTTACTCGCTCTCTCCCTGAGACCCCGCACCGCCGCGGTCACCTACCGCCGGGGACATTGGCCCCATGCAGCGAGGATATCAGCTAATTAAATAAACGGCCATCAAACGATGAGGGGGATATTCAGACCAGTAGACAAAACATGACTAGGACTAATCATATCCTGTAGTTAGAACAGTTCTAAACTTTGGAATATAGTAAATATGTAAACAGCAGCGTGCCGATTTAGGTGGGGGTTGGGATAGATATTATTTAGGCGGCTAATCCCCTACTTATTAACTATGTATATATGTTAAGTTGTATTTTATCTGTTCTTAGCTTCTGTTCTTGCTCTTTAGTAATTTATTATCTTTATTATTCTTAGATATTCTACTATTTCTTATCCTATTTTTTTTCTCTTTTTTAGTATTATTATTACTCTTAAGTATTTTATTATTCTTTATTCTATTATTTTCTTCACTACTCTTGAGTATTCTATCTTTTTTTATTTTATTACTTTTTCTATACCCTAGTATGGAATCGAGTCTAGGTATGCTGCATTTCTTCGTGTTCTTATTAGTCACGCCCCTGTGCCCACAGGTAGCCCTACCCCCAGGATCCTTTCTACACTGCTGTCTTGCCTGTCTAGATACTTTAAATTACTTTCTTCTTTTTCCTACTTCTTCTTAGTAATTATAAGAGAATTAAAATACTAGTAATAATATAGATTATATTTTCTTTTTCTTTTTCTTCTTCTCTTTCTTTTCTCTAAATCCCTGATATTATATAACTTATTAACTAACTAACTTATTAATCTATCTATTTATTATATTATTATTATAAATCTCTTTATTTATAAGAAGTCTTACTCTCTTTAGATCTGTTACTTATATAATTAGATTATATATTTAATTAAGTTACTTACTTATCTTACTAATTATTATATTTATTATTTCTTTATTATTATAAAACCTCTTTATAAGACTATACTAGTCTTTATATTATAATATTTATAAATTAATCTAATTTATAAGTCCTGCTTAGTATTATCTCTAGAAAATTTTTTAATTCTTGAATTACTAGTTTATCAGGGCTATTATTATATATATATTATTTTTATATCTTATAATCTACTAGTATTCTCTTATTATATTATTATAAGATATACTAGGATAACTAGTCTTATAAGTACTTATAAAAAGAAAATAAGAATCTTCTAGTCTTATTATAGGTTATAAGCTACTAGTACTTTTTTTAAAATAGAATAAATAATAATTTTTTTTAGATTATCTTATTTATATTTATTTTATATATATCTTAGATAGTTATTATAAGTAAGATTAAGATTATTTTTATATAAATAAAAAAGACTCTAGTATAAGATACTTATTTAATAAAGATTAAAATAAAGTAAATACTAGATCTAGATACTTGTCAAGACCCTAGGATCCCTTGATGCTTCTGCTGTACTAGTGTTAGTGACTTAGGTTATTTAAGATAAAGAACACCCTGTGATCTCCCTATCAGCTTATTAATAATAGATTTGTACTAATCTAAGGCCTTATATAGTAATTATACTAATTATATTAATTAATAAAGTGATTTAATAGTTTAAAGATAATTAATAAGTAAGAAGAGAAGTAAGATATATCAGGTATAAAAACCTGATTACTTAAATTAAGTATAAATAAGTAGAAACTAGACTGAATGTATACTCAGACTTGAAACTATTATTAAATATAACTAACTAAACTATAAATATAGGTAAATAAGTATTCTTATATATTCTTTACTTATATACTTCTTTGTATATCTCTTGAGATATATAGTAAGATATATCTAATTAATATACTTATTCTTATATACTTCTCTGTATACTTTTTAAAGGGTCATTAGGGTCATTAGGGTCATTAGGGTCATTAGGGTCATTAGGGTCATTAGGGTCATTAGGGTCATTAGGGTCATTAGGGTCATTAGGGT